GAGCACTGGGAGGAACTACGAAATGGGGCACGCCAGAATTTCCTGAAACAGCCAGATCCCTGCCTCCGACCCAACGCTCCAATGGATGAAGAAATGCTAGAGGCTGCTGTCCAATTTGTGGACGAACTTGTTGAACTTGGGGTACTTCCAAGCATCGATGAAGGACTGACCGTCCTCACCAACGCCCCTCTATTTGTGGTCGGGAAGGATGGCCAACCGGGACAATGGCGGGTAATTGCCGACATGCTACGGGGTGGTCAGAACGATTGTGTTGGGCAGGACCCTGTCTTCATGCCCAGGATTGCTCACATTGTGGACCAAATGTACACTGAAGGATACTCTGCAGTGGTCGACCTGTCCAAGTTCTTTTACAATTTTCCGACACACCCAGATGACCGACCGTACCTTGGTCTCCTACATCCTAAGACCGCGGAGCTACTGACCTACTATGGGCTAGCTATGGGAGCCGGCAACAGTCCAGCCATTGCCTGCCGAATCGGTCTCGCCTTTGTACGACTTGTGAAGGAGAAATTTGGCGTTTTCCAAGGTGAAGCCAGAGCTAACTGCTACTGGACGGGTCTACAAGCCAACGGATTCGATCCCAAGCTTGGCTATGGATTCATCTTGACCTCCAACGATGGAGGAGCTGTGCACATCTGGGTCTGGGTGGACGACTTCCTCATCCATGGGCCCACGCACGAAAAGACAGCCCGAGGGCTGCAATTCTTCTTGGACACGGCAGTTGACTGTGGATTCCTCTTTCACCCAAAGAAATTGGTACCGCCTCAGCAAGTTGTCAAGTACTGTGGTTTCCTCTTTGACACCACAGCTGTCCCTTGCCTTCGAATCCCAGAAGCCAAGAAAGAAAGGGCACTGGCCATATGTGATTACTTGATCCAATCTCCAAAGCACAAGAGGTGGTCCCGTCTTGGTCTTGCGGTTGCAGTCGGCGTTTTGGAGTCTCTTACAGAAGCAACTCCCCGGCGATTGGGACATACGCATCTCAAAGAGTTCCACACCATTGTCCACCCACCAGGACTTGGCAACGGAGCGGCACCCTACTACACTACCACCTTCCTCAACTCGGAGGTGCTCGACGAACTCCATTGGTGGCGACAGTTCCTCACTCGGAGTGAAGGACGCTTTGTCAGAGGATGGGAAGCTGCAACACTGGTTCCAACCTTTGGCGACGGAAGTGGAACTGGCACCGGAGGCACCATACAACTCCCAAATTGTGACTTTGAGATGTGGCGAGGAAAATGGAAACCATCCATCTACATCTTCCCTTCTGTATGGAAAGAGTTAGCGACCCTGAAAGAGACCCTGCTTCGAATCAAAGAAAGCCCCCATGCCCACCAGGTGATTGGGACTACCGTTTTCTACTTCACTGACAACTCGGGAGTTTACTGGATTGCCACCACAGGCTCTTCCCGGACACGCTCCCTCCACAAATTGATTAGCGAGATCAGACTTCTTGAACTGGACCTGCAATGTGTCCTCCAAGTTGTCCATGTACCAGGCCGAGTGTTGATCACCCAAGGGACTGATGGCCTCAGTCGCGGCGTTTGGATGTCGGCACTTCAAAACATTATGGATTCTGATAGACTGACTCAGGCTATCTTTGATCCAGTCCCCTTTGACATGGCTTTGGTGTGGACCCACCTTCCACAATCGGCCCCTGTGACGCAGTACAGATCCTGGAACCAACCCTGGACAGCATCCCTCTGCCTCCACCAAACCACAGTATGGTGCCCACCGCCGGAGCTGGCCCGCCAGCTCCTCACCTTCTTGCTCAACTCGTGGGTTGAATGCCCCTTCACCACCTCCGCGCTGCTCTTTGTCCCCAGAGTTGTTGAAGCTTCCTGGCAACACATGTCTCGTTACGTCCGCGAACTTGACACCATCTACCCGCACAAGACCAACCTACGCTTCCCGCCACTCCTGCCGATACCAATTGTTGTTCTGTACATTGCGCCTCACACTCTCTCCCTCAATCCCAACTCTAGGTTGGACAAGACTCCCATTGCCGCCCCCTCTTGGCATGCCGCCCAAGCCACACTTATGCGCGGGTTGCCAGAGAGGGTTCAGCCGCAAGGAGACTGAGACACGGCTTCAATGCACGTTTTCCGCTAAGGGATTCGGCCGATTCCGTGCCTGTGGCTCCACCTACCACCGTGACTGTTTCCGCGCTGGGGAACCCTTCAAGACTCGCCGCCTCCGCGATGAAGGCTTGACCTTCCCCCGCCACGCCACCTGGCCCAACTTTGTCTGCGAAGCCTGCACTGTGCGACAGTACCTACAACGCGAATTAGTTCGTGCCGACGACCTCCTCCTCTTGATGTTGGAACGCGTCAGGATGTTGGACATCATCTCCTCATGGGCCAAAGGAACCCACGCTAGCTACAAGTCGAAACTGAGTATTATCCGCCAATTTGAGACCAATTTTGCCATACAAGTATTGCAGCCCACCGCTCTGCTGGAGCCCCCTTCCGGCCCTGATATATCCCCCTCATGTGGTGTCAGGAATGGTACAGCCTCCGCCATTCCACCAAGAAACACGACCGAGGTGCTCAAACTCCCATCAGCTTTGGCACAGTCCGAGCCCTCCGATCGGCCGCTTCCCAACACTCCGCAAAATGCATACATGTCACAAGACAACAAAGTTCTATATCAAGATTGTCGACCGACGGATAGTTTGTCCTTCCACTTATTTGCAAAGGGAATGGTAGCACGAATGGGGGATTACTCCCGGCCATCGGTGGCCCTTTTGGATCGCCACATTCGAGCTCTGGATCACTTCTTGGACCGCCAATTCTATGAAGCCACTTCTGACGTCCAACGCCGAGACATCGCTCTAGCGGGGCTAGCTAACCTGGTCCTTTGGCTGGGTTGGCTTCGCTCAGCTGAATGCTTTGGCCTCAATTGGGAAGACTGCTCCATTCTGGAGCCTGAAGATTATGGGCAAGCGGACCTCCCAAGGAACTGTGGTATGGTCACCTTCAGACTTAACCCAGTGACTAAATCGGAACGCACCCGCACGGCCGATGTCATTATCGCGCACACTACCCGGTCAGGCCTCTGTACCGGAAAGTGGTTCCGTCGGGCACTATCGTACCGGGTCCGACGTACAGGGCCCGTTTTCTGCCATGCCAATGGCATTGCATGGACTTCTTTCTTCTTTCGCAGCACCTACCTTTATCCGAGTCTCTACAAACAACGCCTGGAAGGTGACCCCCTCCTGCTACCTTTTGATGGTACCCCTTCAAATACCATAGAAAGTCGCTTCTGGTCCCTCCACTGCTACCGCCGCGGTGGCCGCTCACATGTCTCCCGAGGAGACACATGCGGCGGTCGCCGTCTCACGATTGCCTCTGAAACCCAGGTCTACAAACATGGGCGTTGGCGCCTCCGCCGCTCCAACGAAAAAGTAGGCACGAGCTATCGCAAATGGAAACCTCGTGAGCGAGTCAAGATCACCTTATACTGTCACTGAAGTGCCAGTTGCTTGGGGGGGAGAGCAATGTTTGTGGGTCGTACATCTGAGAAGGCAGAGGGGGAAAGAAAAGGACGCAGGATTTATATCTTGCGGAGACTTCAAGTTCGTGGACTCTTCGAGTTGGAACTCTTCGAGTTCTACTCTTGGAGGCCCGAATCTGTGTCTCGCCCGGATCGGAACCTGGAAAGCCTGCGTGGGCTAGGACAATATCTAGCCACCAATTATGAAACGAGATGTACGACTCCTAACCCTGTCTACTGCGCACAGACGCGTGTCATCACGATTTGATTTTAGGACTTTTTGTCGCACCTACAATATCTATCCTTGATCTTGTAGCAAGTCTTGTGTTCTCATCTGTTGTGATTGAGCCGGGCAGAAAACTGCGATTTAATTATTTTCAGAATAATAAAGAAACATTCTAAAGATTGCTATGGCATGAAAGCATGGCAGAGAAGATTATCTGTGATGTTATTGTGATTTTCGATTTATTCTTCTATACCCGCCCCAAACAAGAGGAGGAGGGTGCAGTGACGAGAATTGCAAGGTTTCGAGTAGTCCGCCGTTCGTCGTCTAGCATGATGACAATGCTGTGGCTTAGATATCAGTATCGTTCTATACATGCGGTAGCTGGAAAATTGCTCCTGCTCCTGCAACTGCAACAAGCAACTCACCATCATCTTTCTACTATTTGGTGGTGGATGGTGGTATCTTCAAGAAGTTTGGTCTGTGTGATTGGACTACAACCAATCGTATCCATACCCTGGTACTGGTATGAGCCACCAAAAATAACAGTTTCTAAAAGCAAACGTTTTTGAACGTACTATTACTCTCAGGCACTGCTGTACCGGTGCCCAAAATTGTTATTCGATCAAAAATGTTGGACTTGTGGTACCATACCGCCACCAAGGTACACGTTTGCGGGTCCTTCCTGAGCGGGTCCTAGCATGCAGTAGAAGAAAACCACAGCACAATTCTGACGATCCATTCATTGTGCTTACCATATATATATGTGCCTCTGCCTTGGACGTTGAGGGAATGAATGGGAATGCTACTTTCAGGCACTACTGTACCCAAATGCAAAATTATCGGTCTTATTATTCGATCAGAATGTATTTTTTAATAATATACCTTACGGACGTAAAATACGTCTTTGATTACAAATATCGGAGAAAATCATAGAACGTCATTACCGTTCCATTCATAGTGCCTACCAGCACCATGTCACTCGAGAAGAAGTTCATTTTGGACCTCTGAGAAGAAGGTGCGTTTTTGTCCAAGTGGCGGGAATATATATTATACAACTAAAGTACTGTACGGATTTTTTTGATCACAACTTCGAAGCTACATAAATCCAAGAGCATCTGAGGCTTCGCTACAGTTGAAGAAAAGCGCCGCTTCCAGTGCGGATCGCATTGACTGGCATAAATGTTGCCTTTTGTATCCCTGCTGTTTGCATTTGCAAATAGTTCATATTTCCTAGAACTTCCGTGTATGCCATTTGCCACGCAACTAGCTTCATCTGTGCTAACGATAATGTCGAAAACGAATTCACTGCCATATATGTTTTTCCGACATCTATCAAATGACAGAAAAGACCGCATCTGAGTATAAAAGTTGTGGGGAGACATTAAATATGATTTGGGATCTTTACGCTCTTTCGGAGGAACTGAAAAAGGAAACCAATATCATCCGCGAATCGAGGCGATCTCATAAAAACAATTGAAAGAAGTTCTCAGATCTGATGAAGAGGTTTGTCTAAAACTTCTCGCACATGGGCGATTAGAAATTTTGCTCCTTTTCCAGGTCCTATCACAAAATCAAATCTACCAAAACCAACAAGCAAATTACAAAATGGTACAGATGACTAAACGTGGAATCAGAACCAGACTGTCCTGTGACTTTACTCCCGGAAGGTTCACAGTGCTATGTGGACGAGGCAAGGAGTACACTTCGTCGACCGGTAACCAACACTTGAAATCGCTTGTCCACAAGTATCTCAAACCATATTCCGAAGCCAAAAGCAAAATGGCCAAGTCTTCGATTGTGGCCGAGATCATGGGACAAATCAAGGGTCTATGCTCCGATGCAGCCTTTGTCAAGCTTAAGAATGGAGTTTGGTGGGAGGTTGACGATGCCTTTGCCCGAGAAAAGATTGGTAAGTCGAAATCATTGTAACAAATACTTTGAGTTGCAGCCAGCATTCATTTCTTTCATTTGCTTACATTCCTTCTCTCTTCTTTTAGGATGCATGTTCCGTGATACCCTCCACACTCAATACCGATCAAGTACCAAGGCCAAGTTCGCAAGAAAGAAGGCCAACCAAACAGGATCAAGCGGCAGACGGGACTCTTCTTCTTCTTCTTCGAGTATGGCGGAGAGCATCCAGAGTATGGTCTCCACACTATCGAGCTCATCCGCGGAAACTTATGCCTCCGACTACGCTGTAGAGATCTTTGGACAACCATCCACCCAAATGAGCTCCCAGAAAGTTGAACCCGCTACTCTTTTCAATCCACTCAATGACTACTACTCATTGCTTTCTAGCTACTTAACACTTGGTCCAAAGGAGCAACAACAGCAGCAGCCGAAGAAGGTTTCCACACCCATCGACTTTTGTGTGATGCCAATGCAGATGCCTTCGGCTCTGGCCCTGGAACCTGTACATTTTGATGATATCCCAGATGATGATCTTTCAGGTATCTTTGATGACTTTTGAAAACATGTCACTTTGACAATATAAAATACATCTGTGCTCTACATATCGCACAGCTATTATATAATACAATATACTCTAGTAACAAATAACATAAAGGGAAATATAACATTTCTTGAATTTCTTGAAACTAGCTACTCGGTCTATTACACTGAATTGGCCCAGCTGATTTAATCGCCAAATTGTGATAGTTGGACAATTGGTGTTTTCGGACTTCAATTGCTTCACGATGTTGACTTAATGACAGGGAGACACCAGCTAGACTCTGTTGATAGGCCTACGCCCTTCAATTCATTCTTGTTTGAATTAGCTGCTGATTTTGGTGGGATCCAACTTAATCTCTGTAAACAAGAGTATATACTCTTGCTATAAAGAAGCAACAAGGGGTGCGGAGGTGTTGGGATCTTGAATCTGCTCCATCGACTAGATTGAATTGGTCCAGCATGTGGAAGCGGCAAATATTACCAAACAAAAATGTCCAAAATTCGAGCTTCAATCGGATTTTTTTTAAAAGTTGTAGTAAAGTTCGGATTTCACGTTGAGATCGGATCTTCAAGTTGTTGAGTTTGAACGCGTGGAGCGCCTTTGGTGACAAAATTGACAAAAACGTCTCACCAAAACAAAAAAGATTTTGCTAATTTCCATGAGCTCTTTGGTCAACAATATTATGTACAGGTACAACTGAGAGGGAAAAAACCGTTCACAATTGTTTGCATTTGCATTGGCCGGGTAAACTTCCGATTATGCCCTTCGTGAGTTCGAAACAATACAAAACCGAAGCTATATATATAATTTCTCCGCGGATCTGATTAAAAAAAAGCACCCTTCGTTCGGATTCCTGTTTAGCAAAGACGACCAGCTGATTCACAGATGAAGCTTCCCATGTCGAATCTTTTAAGACGCGAGCCTTATTTAGCTATTGTGCGTTTTCAGCGTTTCGGAAGAACTGCAAGCTCACCCATATTGTGGAAAGGATGAAGGCGACCAGAGCTTGTTGAACTTCTGATTCTGGAAAGGAAGTTTGAAGTGAACTTCGCGCACATGGGCGATTAGAAATTTTGCTCCCTTTTCAGATCCTATCACAAAATCAAATCCACCAAAACCAACAAGCAAATTACAAAATGGTACAGATGACTAAACGTGGAATCAGAACCAGACTGTCCTGTGACTTTACTCCCGGAAGGTTCACAGTGCTATGTGGACGAGGCAAGGAGTACACTTCCTCAACCGGTAACCAACACTTGAAATCGCTTGTCCACAAGTATCTCAAACCATATTCCGAAGCCAAAAGCAAAATGGCCAAGTCTTCGATTGTGGCCGAGATCATGGGACAAATCAAGGGTCTATGCTCCGATGCAGCCTTTGTCAAGCTTAAGAATGGAGTTTGGTGGGAGGTTGACGATGCCTTTGCCCGAGAAAAGATTGGTAAGTCGAAATCATTGTAACAAATACTTTGAGTTGCAGCCAGCATTCATTTCTTTCATTTGCTTACATTCCTTCTCTCTTCTTTTAGGATGCATGTTCCGTGATACCCTCCACACTCAATACCGATCAAGTACCAAGGCCAAGTTCGCAAGAAAGAAGGCCAACCAAACAGGATCAAGCGGCAGACGGGACTCTTCTTCTTCTTCTTCGAGTATGGCGGAGAGCATCCAGAGTATGGTCTCCACACTATCGAGCTCATCCGCGGAAACTTATGCCTCCGACTACGCTGTAGAGATCTTTGGACAACCATCCACCCAAATGAGCTCCCAGAAAGTTGAACCCGCTACTCTTTTCAATCCACTCAATGACTACTACTCATTGCTTTCTAGCTACTTAACACTTGGTCCAAAGGAGCAACAACAGCAGCAGCCGAAGAAGGTTTCCACACCCATCGACTTTTGTGTGATGCCAATGCAGATGCCTTCGGCTCTGGCCCTGGAACCTGTACATTTTGATGATATCCCAGATGATGATCTTTCAGGTATCTTTGATGACTTTTGAAAACATGTCACTTTGACAATATAAAATACATCTGTGCTCTACATATCGCACAGCTATTATATAATACAATATACTCTAACAAATAACATAAATGGAAATATATTTTAGATCTATTGAGAGCCCTGGAACACAAAACTGACTGGCAAACCTCATCCATTTGACGACAGGCGTTCGGAAATGAGGCTACTGATAAGTGTGCGAGTCCAGTTGTTGTGGATCCTTGCTACTGTATTCATGACAGTATGTTTCTATATTTGGATACTTTCTACAGGGTACTGTACTGATCCTCTTTAAAAATTCCATCATTGTTCAATCCATTGAGCCAGCGCTTCCTTCTTGATCACAACCGTTCCCTTGGCCCGAGGAGGAATGTAGGATTCCAATTGAAATTCTGTGTCCAACATGGACCGCAAAAAGTCTCTTAGCGACATGGCGGTTTCTTTCGACGAACCCGTTTTATTTTGTCCCTTTCGGTGGAAAGTTCCGACTCCAGTAATGAATGAAATGTCTTCGAGGTCCTTTGGTTTAAGACTTCGAATTTGGTTCAAGATATACCGCGAAGCAGCGCTGGCAACCGGAATAGACATGCCTGATAAGTCCGTCTCCCACTGAGAGTCCAATCGATTTCCTCGCAATATTATCCCACTATCGACAGCTTCAGCAAACACTTTGTCCATTTTTTTAAACTGAGAAGCACGGAATAGGGTGGCGGTACAATCAGTCAAAGTAATGATATCGGGAGACGCCGAACTCTTGGCCCTGGCAATGGAGTTTGATGGCTGAGAAAATGTGGTGGTGGGCTTGCCAATCATTTCTCGCCATAATTCGTATGTCTGCAAGAAAAATAAGAGACATCTGCTGAGAAACAAGAGTCTAGGCCCGATTTGTTCCAAGATGAAGTATTCAACTTCGTGCTTCATACCTTGTCTGCATCCCCAGCCACGCGAAAAGCCGAAAACAAGGCATTGTATGCAACTCGGTCTGCTGAGAGTCCTTCGTTTTGCATACTTTGGAATAGATTCAAAGCGTGATCAGCTTCTCCGGCTCGACCACAGGCGCCTGTGGATTTCCATGGGGAAGAAAGCAATACACTCTGTCAATGAGAAAAAAATACTCACCTATTATACAAGACTTCATTGCAATCCCACAAGGACTTACAAATGGCAGCTGTATAGGCAACCTTGTTCGGACGAGTTCGTGGTCCTCCTTTCTTCATCACTTCAATTAATTTCAGCGCTTCTTCCCATCGACCTTCGGCTCCACAACAACTGATTGCCGAAGAATAGCAAAATCCATCTGGTTCGATTCCATCCTTTTTCATTTGTCCCAGAAGCAGCAAAGCGCGAGACCACAGGTCTTCAGAGCCGATTTCATCTGATTTGACGCCAGAAGATTTTTTGGCATGAAAACGCGATGCCTTGGACAAGGCAGTAATGGCGGCATTGTAGGTAATCAAATTCACGTTCATTCCTTGTTGGCGCATCTAGCATGGTGACCAATGGGAAGAATGCGAAGTTAGTTTCACTAAAACCGGAAAAGTTCTCTTGCCAGCACCACAACAAACCAACTGGTAAAAGATACTCACCAGCTGCAAAATATTTAGTGCCTTTTGCCATTGGCCTCCATTGCCACATGCCGAAATGGCAACGCTGGAGCGTGAGAAAGAATAATGTTAGATGGGGGCCAGAGAGTACTGCATCAGCAGCTAGTAGGTCTAACCAATCGTACCTATATGTCACTTCGGTGGGTGCAATGGCTTTTGTTTGCATTTCGTCCAGTAAAGATAGTGCCTGTTTCCACATTCCTCCCTTGGCACACGCTGGAAAGAAATTGAAGAGTGAAAGCTGTGAGACAATGGCAACGTAAATACATGAAGACCGCGAAATTGGACTCACCATCAATGACTGCTGTGTAGCAGTAACTGTCTAATGGCAGTCCTTTATCTTTTACAACTTGCAACAGACTTAGCGCTCTCTTAGGGCTCCCACCCCTTGCACAAGCCCTAGTCAAGGTAACAAGATAATGTTGTCAGTGGAGTGGTTTGGTAGAATAACGAATGACACAAAACTACAACTCACCTCATTGCATTCGTGTAAATGTAAATATTGGGAGTCACTCCTGGTTCCCGATAGCACTGATCTAGCAGTGCTAATGCATCTTTCCACCGAGCAGTACTGGCGCAAGCCCCGATAACCGAGTTGAACGAAACTTCATCAGGTCGCATGCCTTCCTTTTTCATTTTGCTGAGTAAGTTCTTGGCCATGCCCACTTCTCGCGATCGTGCACAAGCAGAAATGACTGTGTTATAGGTAACGACTGTCTTGGGCACATCGAGCTCCTCCATCAGATCCAATATTTGAATTGCCCGTCGCCACTGCATCTTCTTGGAAAAGGCGGAGATGACCAACTCACAAACATAAGTATTTGGCTAATTCATGGCAGTAAAGAAATTCGCGTTAGTCTCTTTTCACAGTGCACACCACCTCGAAGCCTATTTTATATGAATTGTCCATTCTTACCTGAACTCCATGATGCTTCATCGATTTGAGAACTTGAATCGCCTGTTCGGCTTGATTCGATCCCGCACAACTTTCAATCACTGCCCGATAAGTGGACAGGGCTGGCGTAGGATAGATTCCATCTTCTTTCTTTGCAGTCTTGACCGAACCCTTTTCCATCAATCGAAGGAATCGCACAGCTTCTTTCCATTGGCGTTCTTCCGCCATGCATTCAAGAACAGCGTTGTAAGCCTGAATCGGAATGGGATTATTGCGCGATGTGATGGAACTCGAAGAATCGCCATGGCTATGCTGCTTCAGTAAGGTCAATGCTTTTCTCCACCATCCATTTTCGGATAGGTTGTTTCGACACATGGCAGCAGCTGTCAAACCAATATCAACTGGTTCTGCATCCATTCCTGCTTTTTCCATAGCACTTAATATTTCTTGTGCCGATGGTCCGTTTCCAGCCCCAAAGCACGCTTGTAAGCAAGCTCGATAGGAACTTCGCTCTTGTTTGAGACCGTGCCGCTTCATGACATCCAAAACTTCCAGGACGTGATCCCATTCATCAGATGCCACACAAAGTCCTAACACTTTGTCACAATATGACTGCGAAAGCCCCAAGCCCAATTGATCACGCTTTCCAACCTCTGATAACTTTCTCTTTAATAGCCCTTGTGAAAGCTGAAAGGGATTCCTGACAGCGACCACAGTATTTCCTTTGCGTTTCGTTTTGTGTGGAGTTCCATACAACGCCGACGTCAGACTGATGATGCCTTGTTTTGACAGTTCTGTTTCATGTGAGTTCAGAGCTATCGGTGCTTTCGTAAATCCCAAGGCACCAATAGTCAGTCCCCATACGAGCCATAATAAGGAGATTGGATTGGTTAACATATCTTTATTGCCTCCAAAGCTTGTAACAGCATAAATAATATCCACTCTTCTTGATTATTTCATTCTATTGACAACTATGGTACTCATCGCTCCGGCGTTTCCCAAACGTCTAAGTAAGTGCCTGGTAAAGGACTTTAGTAGTACATCAAAACATGCTGTATTCATGCCGTACAATAGTAGTCTTCATATCGTACCAGATTCGTACCACACACTAACACAGGTACAATTGAACACAACAGCTTCGCCTGCTTATATACGAAGATCACAGAAGCTAAGCAATGCTTTCCTCAATAATGCCTCTGATGATGAGATAGGTTCTAAGTATTTAAAAACAGGACTACACCACTTCCTTTTGCCTATGAGATCTTTTTGCATGGTAACATGAATGTAAATCACATCGAGTTGAAAATATTCTCACTTTTGCTTGGAGAACAGGCGGTCTTTGTAGTTTCACTCGTGAAGGCAATATACCAAGTTGTATCACCAAATTCTAGTCCGACCATGCCTAACCTACCTCTGGTGCACCTTTGGGTATCAGCACAATAGCTAATTGGGATTAAAAACGTAATCCAGTTGTGTATGCACTATTGGGTAGTCATTTCCAACGAAACTCTGCTCTGCTCTGACGCTTCTACATCACTTCATCATCAAGAGAGGTTGAATGCTTGGTATGCCTTCACGCATCTCCAAATTGCAATGTAAAGAAGGGTTGTCCAAGTTGATGGATCTTTGAAACCTTGCTTCGGATCGTGGAAGAAAATAAAGGGCCATGGGCATCGTTCCATAATGCCTGCTGTTGGCTGGTCGTCATTCACAAAAATCGTCCGTTTGAGCCCTTTCACCACAACCGCTGCGAGTGAAAGTATCCCAATGTGACGGACCAGACCAATTGGTGGAACTGTGGTAGCTTGGAGAGCTGTTGGGTACCCCCAATGTCCCAATGATTGTCTCAAGTTACAATCAGCATCCCTCCTCAGAAAACCGTCTCTTGACAGCCAACGAGTTTGTCGAAGATACTGTCCTCGACTTCGACTTGCCATTCCGGAGAAAGCCAATGCCTGAGGAGGAAGAACGAAAGTGGAGAAAACTAGAAACCGAAAAAGATAGTAGAGATTCATTTGTCCAGGTGTCAATTGCTGAAGAGCCAACAACCGAAATGAGAACACTCGTACAGTAACGATCGATTGTAAAACAAATAGTCCCATGTCTGTCCTTCCACTCGGATTGATTTCAAGATGAATAAAACAAGTCGGTCCGTGCGTCCGGTGAAGCAAGGATACCGAAAACAAAGTGTAACCATCAGTCATTCGAATGGGTCAAAAGGTACACGTGTCAGACGTGTCATGTTCGTACGCACCACGCTCCTCGATCGGGGTAATACAGCACTATATTGACCACTGGTGGTCAATTCCGCTTCTAGCTAGAGTAGCGATCGATACGCAGTCGCACTCACTACACGCTCCTCATGGATACTACACGCTCCTCATGGATACCGCGAGCGCGAGCAGATCAGTGCTGTCAAGGAGGTTCAAAAAAACAAATTACCTTATGCCCAAGAAACGTAATAGCTTTTCGAGTACGAGTATTCTGCCGGTATTTAGTAGCTATCTTTCAAATTGGTACCGTGTACGCTGGCGAATTTGGATAAAACGGTTCGCTTTGAGGTTTAATTCTGACCGCTTCTTCGCCTTCGCAGTGACGATTGTCTCAAAGAAAACTAGACAATTATGACAACCATTCCAACGATCAGAAGTAAGACTACAAATGACGAAAAGTGTTGAAGTAGGAAAGAGTAAACTGCAAGCTGTTAACAGTTTTTCGGATGAACGTTTGATGCTAGCAATAGTACCCGCGAATCGAGGGGACCTTCGAATCACACATGACCACAAAGTTCGAAATCGGATGAGGAAGTTTGCTGAAAACCTTCTCGGACCGCAAAGCGAATACACTCAATTCCCATAGTTATCTGATCATCCATCCCGTCACAAAATTGAACCCGCCTCAAAAACAACAAAATCAAAACACAACATGGTGCAAGTGACAAAACGTGGAATCAGAACCAGACTTCCCAGTGCCTTTGCTCCTGGAAACTACACAGTGCTATGTGGACGAGGCAAGGAGTACACTTCGTCGACCGGTAACAAACACTTGAAATCGCTTGTCCACAAATATCTCAAACCATATTCCGAAGCCAAAAACAAAATGGCCAAGTCTTCGATTGTGGCCGAGATTATGGGACAAATCAAAGTTTTATGCACCGATGTAGCGTTTGTCAAGCTGGAAAATGGAGTTTGGTGGGAGGTTGACGATGCCTTTGCACGAGAAAAGATTGGTAAGTCGAAATTATTGGAACCAATAATTTGAGTAGCAGCATTCATTTCTTTCATTCACTTACATTCCTTCTCTTTCCTTCAGGATGCATGTTCCGTGACACCCTCCACACCCAATACCGATCAAGTACCAAAGCGAAGTTCGCAAGAAAGAAGGCCAAGCAAATAGGATCAAACAGAAGGGATTCTTCTTCCTCTTCTTGTTCAAGTGTGGCGGAGAGTATCCAGAGTATGGTCTCCACACTATCGAGCTCATCCGCGGAAACCTATGCCTCAGATTATGCTGCTAAAGTCTTTGGACAAGCATGCCCCCAAATGAGTTCCCAGCAGAAAGTTGAACCCGCAATGCTTCTTAACCCGCTCAATGGATACTACTCACTGCTTTCTAGCTACTTGACGGGCGGCCCAAACCAGTCGCAACAGCAACAGCCAAAGAAGTCGTCCGACCCTATCGACTTCTGCGTGGTACCAATGAAGCCGCTTTCAGCTTCGCAGCCTGTACATCTGCTGGATGATTTCGCCGATGATCTTTCAGGGATCTTCGATGACTTTTGAATACATCTCGCAGTGACACCTGGATAGTTTTGCTATTTCTAGTAGTACGTGTCGCAAAGTAGTCAGGTCCTAAACGATAGCTTTGTCAATAATTTTATTTCATATCGAACTAGTAGTACACAGTAGTCTTTGTATCAGGGGTATAACAATGCAAGTGTTGTACGAAGTGTAGGACCGTATCTCTTCTAGCAATAGCTATGCTTGCAACCGACTCAAAAGTGTTCTACCGGTACCCAATCGGCAACAAAATTTGTCCCGATTAAAGTCAGAAGTTGCATACATCAACATTTCGATTCGATGGAGTCAATAAAGATACCATGCGGTATCATCAAACAGTACGGTACCAGGGTACGAGTACCACGAAATTTCGAAAGATTAGGATTTTTCGCGTCACCTTGAAGCAGGTTCGCTAATTCATATATTTTAATATATTATCTCCGTCACAATCGGCGAATCGGTTCGAGAGAAAACTTAAGAAACAAATTTTAATTTCAAAGAGAATTAGGATAACGTTTTCTGACAATGTCGAAGTCGAAAGCGTACCTTAAAAGAAATATATGCGCTAGTGATTTTTTTTGTCTGAGGAAAGGATGAAGTACTTATTTGGACGAGTTCCCAATCTCTTTTGAAAAGCTAGATGATAAAGTTCTTGATTGAATAGGGAGTTTTCGCGCACAACGGCGATTACTAATTTCCTTCCGATCATGCGGTGTCCTTTTTTCTATCCTTTCACAAAATCAAATCCGCAAAAACAAAACACTCAATAAACAAAATACACAAATCAACATGGTGCAAATGACTAGGCGTGGTATCAGAACCAGACTTCCGAACGACTTTATTCCCGAAAAACACACTGTACTCTGTGGACGAGGCAAGGAGTACACCTCCTCCACTGGTAACCAACACTTAAAATCGCTTGTCCACAAGTATCTCCAGCCATATTCCGAAGCCAAAAGCAAAGTTGCCAAATCTTCGGTTGTGTCCGAGATCATGGGCCAGATCAAGGGTTTATGTTCCGATGCAGCCTTTGTCAAACTTGAGAAGGATGCTTGGTGGGAGGTTGACGATGCTTTTGCTCGAGAAAAGATTGGTAAGTGGAAATGGGGTCAATTTTGATTTCTTTCATATTTCTATCATTTACTTACATTCCTTCTCTCTTCATTCAGGATGCATGTTCCGTGATACCCTACACACAAAGTACCGATCAAGCACCAAGGCAAAGTTCGCAAGGAAGAAGGCCAAGGAAACCAAAAGTAGAAGTGATTCTTCTGCTTTCTCTTTGTCGAGTATGGCCGACGAGAGTGTGCAGAGTATGGTCTCCACGCTATCAAGTTCATCAGCAGAAACTTGTTATTCCTCCGACTATGCCGCCGAGATCTTTGAGCAATCATGCTTAATGAACGCCCAGAAAGCCGAACCAACAACTTTCAAGCCAATGGGTGACTACTACTCATTGCTTTCTAGCTACTTGACGTTCGGTCCAAATCAAGCTGTACAACAGCCGCAACAGCAGCAGCCAAAGAAGTTGTGCAACCCTACCGACTTTTGCGTGATGCCAATGAAACCGCTTTCAAATTCGCAGCCTGTACAATTGGACGATATCCCAGATGATCTTTCAGGGATCTTCGACGACTTTTAAAACATCCCACTTTGACGACCTACACTCATTTTTCCGTTCTATACCACTACATACTATATAGCATATCTAAACGATAGCTTTTCAATAAACTTTCATTCACTATACACCGTGCATTTAGCAGCTTTCATATGCTACCGGCACCCCAATGCAAACGCAGATAGTACAGGACGGCGTCTCGTCTCTAGCAAGAGCAACCAGGTCTGCAAGACTGAAAATAAATGCAGTCCCATCAGTCAATCTTCCGACGGCAAAAGAATTCTATCTTTGTCATCGGAACTCCAAAGTATCATTTGGTAACCCCCATGGTGGGGTCCCACTACGGTACCGTACGGAATTGTTTCTTCATCCTTCAGTGGTTGCGGTGACGCGCGCAAAAGACCTTCTACCATTTGTGACGTTGGGATACGGCGAACTTCAACGACTTCTGATCGGACAAACTCCGAAACTGACACCGACATTTTTATCTGCAGCACCGAACTGGTTGAATAATCAGCACTTGAAACATCGGAGATCAACCAATGAACTTCTACTTTCTGCTTCTGATCGGCCACTTATTGCGCAAGCGCGAAAATGCGGCTTGACGAGAGCCACCAAGAGGGAATTCGAATGAATCCCCATGCTGAAGTATTCGATCCCCACAATGACATCAAAGATGATGACGTATGGGAGGTCATAAAATATTCGATGTTGCATCAGTGTGACTTCAAATGACGGCATCTTTTGAGAATGGTAGCGGCAAATACCATCGAGATTGCGCCGGTGCAAGCGTGCAGTCTCGACCGCCGAATAACACCTTTTGAAAAGGGACGCCAAAACAAGAGTATAGCCAAAAGATATTGTGTCCAAGCGACAACATCTAGACCTGTTGTTGGTGGATTATTTTTTATCCTAATAAAAAGAAGACGGGCCACTTTGCAGATCAATTGCCCGACTGACCAGTGCTGTATGGTGTATGATGTATGATGTATGATACATCATATATTCTAGGAATGGCTATACTGATGGTGGTGGAGGAGAGTTTCTCCAGCTACGTAGTCGTGGAGGAGAGTTTCTCCAGCTACAATATACGTAGCGGTCTTCAGTGATATTTGATAGATACCGGTATATACAGTAACTAGTACTTCCTACCTATCCATCATCCCGTTCCTTGAACTTCAGCCTGTCGACAACATTCTCTTGAATCCATGGCACCAACTTTAGGGCAAAGCCTATTCGGAAAGGGGCAGCAAGCCGAAGCACATTGACAAAGGCAAAGGATTCGCCCCCGAAAAAGGCCATATCTTCTTGGCTGTTGAAATCAGGAAAGTGTCCCGAAACTTTATAGAATGCAAGTACAATGAAAGGAAATGTGCCCACCCAAAAGCCAAGTTGGACAATGCCAAAGGCGATGATCCCGGCAACCCCGCTGTCCTTGATCTTTTGCATTAAACCCTTGCTGTCTTTTTTTTCTCCTTCTTGACGCGACAATGACGACGCCGAATAATCGTCAAAGATGCCCGAGGCTTCGTTCATTTGTATCAGATATTCCTCAATCTGTCTTTGACTTCGTTCTTCCAAGTAGGTATCAATCTGTTGCTGAACCACCACTGTATCCTGGTCAACACATTGTGATGAACCAAATGGCGGTGGTGACTGTTGTTCATTATTGCTGAACAACAATCTGGATTGCCATAATCTTCCTCCCCCTCCCACAAGAATGTTCTTTATGCAGCACTCCTCACGACGAAGAAGTAGAAAGCTGTGGCATGACGGCACTAAATGCATGCAAAAAAACAATAGTCGAAGTTTCGCCATTCCTCTACCATGGTGGATATTAGATGCTTTTTGACTTCCACTTGTACCGGTGCAGCGTACGTACCGGTACCACATACCGTAACAATTATGGTCTTGCGGTCGCTGGATTTTTTTTTTAATAAAAAAACCATCTATCGGTGGTACAGCAGCGGTCATGCTGACGTTATAATTGTGGAATGCAGAGTAGTTAATTGTTTTATTTCTACTTAACAAATCACAGTGCCAAAGAACACTCGCTTTTTCCTATCCTCCAATTGAAACGATGTATTCTACCTGATCACTCACCCGGTACCAAAAAAGTGCCAATTTCAATTTGCAGTTCCGGTGAAATGACATCCAAGCAGATGTTGAGCCCCACCAATCTTCAACAGTGACATGCCAGCAAACACTGAAAAAAAAATTCACCCAACTCCTCTATCCTAACTACCGATTACAAGTAGAGGAAAGACAATGAAACCTTCAAGACAAGAAATCATGAAGCGAATAAAAGAAGACGAGAGATCCTCCGAGAAGAGATCCTCTGTGAGCAAGAACCCCGCGTCTGTGAAAAGCCACTGGGGACAATACTGGCAAGACCTTCAGCAAAACAAAAAGGGAAAATCCAAGCGAAAAATTACAGCTGTGTGGGCCATTCGGATAGTCTTTGTCTTGGTCATGATTTTGTTGTGTGCACTCCTGGGATATCTAGCCTACACATTACTATACGAACAAGAAATTAGAATGGCACGAACCCAATTCGAATCCATTACGACTCGGGCGATGATTCAAGCGAAAGACGATCTTAGAAGCCGGGTATGGGCAGGTATCACGCTATCCAACATGGTATCAGAACTCTATCCAAATGCCGAACAGTGGCCTTACATTGAATGGCAAGGATTCGAAAATGCAGCGAGGAATATATTAGAAACATCGCACGGAGAAGACGTGGGATTTGTCCCATTTGTGGACCCACAGAATTTGACGGAATTTGAAGACTTTGCACAAAATCTATACCAAATGATTGGATTGCCAAATAACACTGCAGTCAAATCATGGGGATTTGGGGTTTGGGCCAGAGATAGGTCTGTAAATCCAGTTGAAATCTACCACGATACTACCGCAGAGACTCCCTACAACAGTCCTTACAATGTGATTGCACCCATTCTGAGGACGGACGAAGGATTCCATCCGGTTCTCTTGTTCAACGTTCACTCTCAGGCCTTTACTGGTAACGCCATTGATAGTATTCTGACCTGCAGTGAACGTCGGCGGAACCGATATCAAGCCGAAATTGATGCCGAGAAAGACAGTCTTGGCGGTAGATTTCCAACCATGCCACCAAACCAGTGTGGAGCCTTTACTGATATCTTTCAAAATAACAAATTGGGTGGTCGGTGGACGGTGGGGAATTTCAATCCCATCTATCCAAGGAACGATCCGCTGAAGGTAAGCAAGAACAACACACTTTTTCAAGACGTTGGAATCTGATAGTCGTTATGCTAAACCAATTATTTTCACACTTCAATACAAAGGTGGTTGGATATATCCCCGCCATGACCCCACTGGATAATCTATTGGAAAACATGTTCCCATCGCAAGTGACTGGCATCAATGCTGTTTTCGAGACGGGCACGAGGACCATCTCATTTTCAATCGTCAATGGCCATGCCAATTTAATTGGTGAAGGAACTCATATCGACCATGACGATCATACACTGCGCACGGAAATAGAACTTGCAGAACCGGTGGAGTTCTTTTCAACCGATGATGGGCTTAACGTTACCAAGAAGCTTGTCTTGTCGCTGGTGTCAAATGAAAAGTTCTACGAAGGCTATCGGACCAATGGCCCGCTCATTGCTGCGGTCGTTGTTGTTTGCAGCATTTTGCTTACAATCTTGGTTTTTTTGCTGTATGACTTTTATGTTCGAAGGGAATTCAATGCCAAGCAACACCTTTTGGAGGCTAGAAGACAATTCATGCGATTTGTGTCACACGAGGTTCGGACGCCCCTGAATGCAGTCTCGATGGGTCTCGATCTCATGCAATCCGAAGTCGCTAACGCACTTGGTTTTGATTCTCCTACCACCTTCCGTGCAAACTACGAAATGGTCGATGACGAGGCCTTTGAAGCCAGTCAACGAACAATGCGAAGCTCGGATCAATCCATTGACATTTCAATGTCGAGTTCCAATCATAACATGCGCAAGATAGAAAGTTCGTCGTCCCTTGAAGAAATGGGGGATATCAAAATATCAGCAATGATGGCCAAGTCATGGTTTCAATTAAGCCAAGAAATTCAGGGCAATGCGCAAGGAGCAGTAGACATTTTGAATGACCTTTTGAACTATGACAAGATCGAGCAAGGAAAGCTGATATTGAGTTTGGAGAAAGTTGCGATCTGGGACCTCGTGGAGAAGACTGTCATGGAATTCAAAGTCCCTGCTTCAAGCAAAAAGGTTGTTCTTGGGGTCGCCTTTGGTGAAGAAACTCGCACTGCACCTCGCGCCCAATATCTTTCCCCTGAGATTCGCAAACTAAGCGTCGCTGGAGATCCCGTCAGGCTATCACAAGTCGTACGGAATCTCATGTCCAATGCTCTCAAGTTCACGCCATCCGAAGGATCCATACGAGTACAGGCTATTTACGTACCGAAAGGGTCAGAATCCCCAGAAGAACACTTTGAACTACAGGAGGGTCACGTTTTCACTGGGTGTCACAAGGGCTGCCTTCATGTCCGCGTCATTGACTCAGGTGCAGGCATGAGTCAAGATCAAGTCGAGCGACTCTTCCAGGATGGTGTCCAATTCAATGCCAACGAACTCCAAGCGGGTGGTGGATCCGGACTAGGTCTTTACATTGCCATGGGAATCGTGATGCAACACAAGGGGACGCTCCAAGCCAAATCGGACGGACTCGGCCAAGGAACGACTTTTGAAATGATACTGCCACTGTGGGATATCACCTCCGACGGCAAGGATGAAGAGTATGATGTGGAGCTTTGTCTTCCTGCTGACCACGACGAAGGCACAACATCGCCGACCTCGCCATCCATCAAACTTCCAAAGTCCAAGCTGAAGGTTTTGGTGGTCGACGATGTCAAGTCGAATCGCAAGCTTTTGCGGCGAATTCTGGAGATGAAGGGGCATGAATGTCACGAGGCTGAAGACGGAGATGATTGCGTGGCCATGGTTGAAGCCACGGAAGGCGAAGAAACACCCTACGATAGTATATTACTCGACTACGAAATGCCCAAAATGGATGGACCAACTGCAGCTAAGGAGATTCGTTGTACCTTATTGGACGATGGCGTTAATATCATTGGGGTGACGGGAAATGTCCTTCCAGAAGATATTAACTTCTTCCAGAAATGTGGTGCAAATGCCGTCTTGTCCAAGCCAGTCAAGATTGCGGAATTGACTCGCCTCTGGGAAGAACAGGGGATATTGGCAAAGCCAGGAGAAACTGGCACTGTTGGCGACATCCGAATACACAAAGTATAGATCAGCTCAAGAAAAAAGATAATAGAATATGCCAAATAAAGAATACTTTTTAAAAAATAAAGCCATCTCTCGTCATTCGTCTCCTTTATTTTATATGAGTTTTGACTATTGGCTTCGATGACGACGTCGGCATGCATGATACAAATCGTGACTCGTACGCGTGCATGTCAAAGTGGTCGTCGACTTATCCGACTTCATGTTGCGCTGCTATGCTTCGAACTTTTTGATCGATCATGCGGTTGTATCTGCGATGATTCTCCACGTGCAAATAACACATTCTTCGTAGTCACTCTCATCCTCCACTTCCAACCTCCTGCACATGCAATTGCAAGGAGATCAGCTGCTTATATAGAAAGACAAAGGGTGTTGAAGTAGGTGAAAAAGCACCTGCCAAATCAAGTTCGCATCGTGACTAAAGGCCAGGAAATAGCGAGAACCCATCCTTAGGATTGCAACTCATTGAGTCAGAACACCGACTGTTTCAACGGTGAAGACGAGAAATGTCCAGTACGGTTTCCACTAGCTCACCTGGATCACCTTCCAAGAATAAAACTTATGTCAGCAATGTGATGTCAGCTTCCAATGGCGATGTCGCAGATTGGGCAACGCAACTACCGTTGCAGCAACTGACCATGACCTTGTACATTCCTACTTCCAGTATTGGAGCCATTATTGGAAGAGGAGGAAGCAATATTGCCAATATTCAAAAGAAAGCCCAGAATCTATGCTCCACAAAATCGGCCTCGAATGTTCGTGTGAGCATTGTGGGGCACAAATATCAGAATCATCAGCATGAGGAATTGAATACTAGCACAGATGAAGAAAATACTTTCTTTCCCCACGAAGACACCATGCAACTCGGCAGTGACCCCAATTTTGCTCTTTCGGGAGCGACAAGTTCTATTGTTCCTTCCACCTATACGGCTCTAGACTGGTCGAGTCCCGACTGGACTCCGGTGGTAGTCAAGGCTGATGTTGCTGCTGTCTTGTTTATTGGCAAACAGTTCGACAGTATGACAACTCTACAAGATACGATTATTGATGTCCCCATTTCAAGGCAGCGACATGCTAGTATCGTCGGAAAACGCGGTACCATCTTGATGGGACTATCCGATTCGACGCAAACAAGAATCATGGTGCCTCCTAAGGATCTGAGGCATGATGTGATTCAATTGGAAGGACCTCTGGACAACTGCATTCAGTGTTTGCAAGAACTCTCCAAGATAGTATATCCCAACGTCAATGGAAATGGGGGTAGCAAGGGATCATCGGGAAGCAAAGACGACAGTCCTTCGGAAGCCAAGGCGCCACTCCCCTTTTCCGAAGTCATTGTGATGCAGCAACTGCCATCGCAGACAAAACTGCGCAGTATCGGCCGTAAGACGGAAACTTCCATCAAGAAGAAAAAGAGCGGCGATGAATGGCAGGTCACCATTATGGGAAAGACGGAAGCTCAAGTTCAGTCGGCTGTCACGATGCTCCAAAAATGGCAGGAAAATTCCAAGAACAACAGTGGTGGCAGCAATAACAATGGAAACTCTCAAAACGTGAATGGAAGCCAATCTGGAAATGCTGGCCGAAGCAGTGGTGGTCGAGGACGGAGCGGAGGCCGCGGAAGGGGAAGAAAAGGAGGAGGACGTGGAGGGGGGTCGTTTCCACGCAAGAATTCCGAGTAACAATCAGAGAAAATGCTCGAAGATTCAACCGAATCGTGCCCCCCATGCTCTGTCTTTAGCTCACTTGAAGAATACATACCAGAGGGGGTTTCTGAAGCTTTCGAAAAACCGCCGCAGATGATGCAGATATATGGATTGCAAAATGTTATACCAGGGGAAGATAATAAAGGAAGCGGATTATTTCTGAAGCAATGCAGTTTCATTTCTGATTGGTTGGTGAAAGGAACCCTGCCACTTTAGTCTGTACTGCACACAAGTAGTGTGAAGAAAATAAACCACATGGAATATGTAATACAGTAATACTAGGATTGCCTTGGAGCGTTTCCTCTTATTCTAGTTAGTCGATTCGGAATGACCTTGAAATATAATATGAAAATCTATTTTTGCGCTGCGTTTTTTCATGCATGTTCATAATCAAAATGCAGGCCCGAATATAGTAAGACAGGACAGGCACAAGGGGGCATTGGGGCAAGGCACACACCATGAGGCGAAGATTTCAGCTATGGGGCCAGCGACAGAAATCAAAACGTGGTTCTCTATATGATTCCATGGAGCTCGATGGCCGTACACCAAGCAAACGAGACATGAAGAAAGAGAATAGCACAACTAGCATCATCGCTAACAACACCACTGAGGATGCTGTGGACACTGAGCAAATAAAGGAGTTGTCTACCGAACAAACTATATTGAAAATACTGAAGGTTCAAAAGGAATTGACGAAAGTAAAGAAGAGAATACAGGACAGGAGAGTTGTCCAACAAATTGAGATTCACAATATGCAAAGCCGAAAAAGCAAGATGCAAAGTGATTTGAAGTTGATGCTAGCTGGATCACCCTTGAATCACTCTGAATATTTAGGTGTCCTCCGGGCTGTCTTTCAAGATGATCCCTTTCCATCGGATAAAAAATTCGCGGACGAAGCAGTCAAAACATTGAAGCAAGAACACAAGTGTCACCTATTGCAAGGGATGGCCACTATGGTTTCAAATCAAAACAATGAAGATCTTATGCTAGTAATGGGTTCAATACCGGGCTTGAAGGATGAAATGAGCAAGCGATCAGAACGGATACGGAGTGTCCTTGATCAAGTGAAAAAGCAAAACCTGGAGCTCAAGAATGTTCTGCATTACAAAGAATACGTTATGAACAAGATGAAAAACAAAATGGAAATTCAGTTCACTCGAAGGACAAGTCTCAGTGCTGCAATGGTTGGCTTAAAAAGCTTGGAGCTAAGGACCCTTCAAGAGTTGGCTGACGCTGATTCTGTCGCTGAATCTATGGACGATTCAGTTGGACAAAGCTCCCATACACCTTCAAAATGGAACGAATATAGAAATAAACCTGAATCAGCAGGACTTGCTAGCATTTCTGATGATGAACCATTTGATGAAAACGAAGACAATGAGGAAAGCGAAGTCGATAGCCGAACCTCGGATGATGACCTATCAGGAGATGATTCGATGGACGGCTCCTTGGATCAGAATTCTGATGGTGATGCTGCGCAAGTTGGAGGAAACGATGAAAAGTTGAAAAAGACTAGCCAGAGACAACGAGCCCAAATTGCACGGAAACAGCTTGAAGAAAAAAGAAATCGCAGATATAACTCGAACTCAACGCATTCGAGCTTTGGCGGTTCTGAAACGTCAGAAAGTGTGTCTGGGCATAGTGCTACCGATAATGGGGATGGAGGTGATGATAGACAACGCAGGGCCGAGGCAGCTCGAAAACGAATGGAAGCGAAACGAAGACAGCAAAGGCTGCAGAAAAGCACTAGTTCCACAAACGAAGCAACGGCAACATCGGATGATGTGGATCGTCAACAACAGTCGCTTCAAAACGATACTCACGAAAAGCCACTTGAATCGAACGGAGAAGGTTCTGCAGAGAAACCAATGATGTCTGCTGCACAGAAAGCACGACTAGCGCGTCAACGTAGAGCAGAGAAATTGAGAGGAAAAAACGAAAGAGAAGCAAACAAAGGAATCGAAGGTCATGCTAATGGAACGCCACAGACAACAAGTTTGGACACTTCTACACGTGACGAAGGCTTCGACAGCAGCTACCGTTCGATAACAAGAACTGTGTCTGTGCCTCCCCCAGAAAATTTACTACAATCACCTCTTTGGTCAGTAGCAAAACGAGCAAAGGATCGAACACGCACGAAGAGTAACAGGAATCTGAACGATCCAAAGGCGTCGCCACCTGCAATATCGTCGCTACCAACATTACCAGATTCCTCACCAGGCAGAAGGAAGGCTTCACCCGGTAGAAGGAAGGCTTCTCCAGGTAGAAGGAAAGCTTCGCCAGGCAAAAGGAAGGCTCCCGCTTCCAGACGTGTTGCTGAAAGACAAAAACGCATAGAAGATCGGCTTGAGCGGAATTCACAACACAAGCATGGAAGTGCTAGTGAAGACGAGCTGGAATCGGACTCAAAGCCGCTTAGTTTCTCTCAACTAGCCAAATCACATGCAAAAGACGACTTTCCAAAAACTAGTATGCCATCTATGAATTCCGACACACAAGCACGTATCCGAAACAGCATGAATAAGGTCAACGCAAACCCACCAACAAAATCGAATGATGACGGCTTCACAAAGCTTGCGAAATCCCATGCAGACGGCAACTTCCCAACCAACACTGCACCATCTATGAATGCGGATACGCAAGCACGTATCCTCAATAGTATACCTAGGAGTGGAAGTTTACCTTCAGAAAAGCCGCTGGTAAGTCCTGCTGAGCACAGAGTATTACAAGCGATCGCAGATGCACAGAGAAGGAGTAGTATGACAAATGCACCGACTGTGAACCGAGTGAGCTCTGCTGAACAGAGAGCATTGCAAGCAATTGCTGACGCCCAGAGGAAAAGTAGTATTTCAAACGCATCAATGGAAAAGCGAGTGAGTACTGCTGAACAGAAAGCACTGAAAGCAATTGCTGACGCCCAGAGGAAAAGTAGTATTTCAAATCCACCAATTGAAAAGCGAGTGAGTACTGCTGAGCAGAGAGCACTGCAAGCCATTGCTGATGCCCAAAAAGGTGGTTGGAGCCAAAACCCACCAATTGAAAAGCGAGTGAGTAATGCTGAGCAAAGAGCACTGCAAGCTATTGCTGATGCCCAAAAAGGTGGTGGAAGCCCGGATCCACCAATTGAAAAGCGGGTGAGTACTGCTGAACAGAGAGCACTGCAAGCTATTGCTGATGCCCAAAAAGGTGGTGGGAGCCCAAACCCACCAATTGAAAAACGAGTGAGTACTGCTGAGCAGAGAGCACTGCAAGCTATTGCTGATGCCCAAAAAGGTGGTGGAAGCCCAAACCCACCAATTGAAAAGCGAGTTAGCTCTGCTGAACAGAGAGCATTGCAGGCGATTTCGGATGCACAAAAAGGTGGTGGAAGTCCTCCTTCAGAAAAAAGAGTAAGTTCTGCTGAACAGAAAGCCTTGCAAGCGATTGCCGCAGGACAGAAAGATGGGGGTAACTCGAATGCAGACACACAAGAGCGCATTCGAAACAGCGCAAACGTCATCAATGGCAAAGGCCTTGTTATGCCCGAGAAGCAAGCAGGAAGCCCTAGCATGCTGAGCGCAATGCCACCGAAAAAGCAATTAGGCAATACGAAGAGCAACCCGGTCGCAGCATCTCTGGTTCCATCGCGGAAAGACATGATGACGAGAAAACAATCGACTAGGAAATTGGAATCGACTAAGAAAATAGACAGTGATCGGTTAAAGGAACAACGGCTGAAGGCACAATTGGCCCGGCAACGTTTGGAAGAGCAGCGGAAGCTAAGGCATGCCAATCGAAGCAAGCGCAATTCAAACATTGCAGATACCAGTGAAAGTCCTGCGAAACCTGCTGCAAAATCATCAAGCAAGGATGAGACAGGTACCGATAGCAATGCGGCTTCATCGGCAAGTTTGCGTCGAAATCGCACAGGCTCAGCAGGCTCCAATCGACAAACTGCTATCGAACGGTCGCGTGCCCGAAGAGCTCGACTCGACCGGGCAAAGAGCAACGAAACGTAGTGTTGCAGTTTCGCAAACAGAGCTCTGCAATGGGTGGAACATCTGCGGTATGATGTATTATTCCTTTTTGACTATATTAAATTAGCTCTCACCGCTGGTAGGTCTTACCAAATATTCAGTCCGCCATAGTTTTCAAAATAGTTTATGCCTTACGACGATATGGTATTGTAGCCAATTCGAAAACGAGTCGATGTGGTCGACCAGTGAGTGCGGATGAATAAAATGTAATGTACGAATGTCAAAGCGCGTTGACACACAATTGAGTTACATATTCATTCATCAGCTTATTGAGTGGACCAGTGCCAGTACTCTCCCGTTCACACATTTGGATGAAAAGATCATTAAAAGAGAGCAGGGATTACGTCGTTACAATAGACAATGGAGGAAATGATTGCATGGACAAACAAGGAAAGCAATCGCCACAGCCACTGAAAGCCAATATTGAGAAACAAGCAACGTCATCGTCGTCAACGGATGCGAAAGACGGTTCATCTTCATTGACCACAGCTGGACCTTGCTCATCCAATATCATTTCACCAGATGCGACTCCGCTGCTTTCAGCAACTTATGAGAACGGCTGCCACGACACCATTGTTGACGACAGTGAAAACGATGTGCCATCACCAGCCACGGCATTGGGTGGCTACCATAATGCTGTGACACTTGTATTTGAGAAAGCCCCATTACACAAAGCACCAAGATTGCACAAGGAACGCCCAGATAGAGTTGAATGGATTCGACAAGGCTTACAGAACGAAGGATTATTGGACAAATGCCACGTGCTGCAAGACTATGAATCCCGAAACATTGAATGCGACAAAAGGACTGGTAGCCGCAATCAAAAGAGACAACGGACAACAGTTCAAGAAAACGTATTTGAAATGGTACAGAAAGTGCACTCACCTGGATTTGTCAAGCGCATGCAAAAGCTGAAGGACTTTGCTGGGTGCCTGAAAGAAGAAGCTCACCAATACGACTCGGTTTACCTAACACCACATTCATGGACCAGTGCCCTCCAATCGGTGTCTTCCCTATGCAAACTTGTAGACCATATACTACTACCAATGGGAGAAATCGAACTGTCCAAATTTTCACTACCCAGCAACAAGAAACCGGTTCGATTTGGTTTTGCCTGTATTCGACCACCTGGGCATCACGCTTCCAGTAGTCTTGCCAATGGATACTGTCTGATCAACCATGTAGCGGTTGCAGCAACTTATGCCCTCGAATATTTTGGCGGTCGATTTGGAGATGCGGAACTTGTACAGGATGAGAGCCCAAAGTCATCACCAAAGAATTCCTACCCTTTTCTTCGAAATCCAAAGCCACAACGCAGGGTGGCCATTCTGGATTGGGATATTCACCATGGCGATGGCACGCAGTCAATTTTTTGGAACGATCCAAATGTATTGTTCTGCTCCATTCATGCCCAGAAAGCCTTTCCTTTTGTGTCTGGATCATCTGCTAAATCCGTTGGTGGACCAAACGCTTTTGGAAGAACAGTCAATGTAGCATGGACATCTCACGGTATGGGCGACAACGAATACGTGTATGCTTTGCAAACACTGATATTGCCAATCTTGCAAGAGTTTCAGCCCACTCTTATATTGATCAGTGCTGGGTTTGATGCGGCAACCGGTGATTCTTATTGTGGCAACTTGAGTCCAGTCAATGGCTTTGGAAGAATGACAACGGAAATCCTACGCGTTGCAACCGAAATGGACTGTCCCGTGATTGCTAGTCTAGAAGGAGGGTACAAACAATCAGTATTGGTACCATGCGTTGCCAGTGTGGTCCAATCCATGGTGGTTTTCGGCGAAGAAAGTATCATGACTCGAAATGAAAATGACGAGAGGAACTTTCTGAAAGGCTTTGCCAATGATGCCTTGGTTGGAACGACTAGTAGTATCAACCACGCCATCACTGGATCAATAGCCTCGTCTATAGATGGCGTTTGTCCGACTGCCGTGAAGAATATTGAAGCGACGCGAGCAGCTCAACAGCAGTTTTGGAAATGTCTCTCGGTCAACCATCTAAAGCAAGAAAGATAGGCATCTAAGATCATGATGAAGGATAACTTATCGGAAATAATAGAAGATTTGGGACCAAAATTGTCTAATGGTGTGACTTTCTTATGCGCTGTAGACCGAGTGTGACCTGCCCAATTCAAATTTAGAGTAAAAGGAGGAGTGCGGCAGACGCATGAAGACCACGTGCCGGAAATAGGGTAGAAGGGTAATGTCACCTCATTCGTCACTTGTAGATTATTTGTGGTTTGATATTTCGTTGGGCGCTTATTGGCCAGTGTCCAATATGTTTTTATGCCTCAGTCTTTTTGTTGATCTTGACAGAGTTCGTAGAGTTCTTGAAAACCGCAAGGACATTCTTGGATACACCAGCTGAGCTGTGCGCTCTGTTGGCTTTTTGCATGATTTTCTCTGCAATTTCTTCTTCAATAGGCACTAATCCGCGTGCCTTGGCCTCTTGTAGAACTTCAAAGTAGTCATAGAAGACCTTTTTGTCACCTTGGTTGTAATCTCGAAGTGTCAACGTTCCACTTTTCTCACCAGTTGTGTAGAGCATCCCAGCTACTGTGATTCCTTCCTCCTCCAGTTTCAGTGTTTGTGCTGCAATGACAATCGATTGTGCTAATTCATGGGCCATGGTATGATCGTGCTGTAACTCTTCTCAAACCTTTTCTATTTGTCGTTGGTTTGTGAATGCATCAATCGATGGTGTGTGCGACGATGTGAGAGCTGACATCTACCCACGACTCCGCGGTCAATCCCGAATTTAAATTGCTGACGTCAGCATGCCTCTATTGTGAGTAATTTCAAATTGAGGATATATAAAAAATAAGCTGGTCGCTATACCGGTAGATTGTTATTGTTCAAGAAAGGATGCACGCAAATGAGAGATATAAGCAAAGCGTTTACCATCCAATCCATCGTTGCCGTCCCTGTAATCATTTGGAGGCCAGACCGTACTAGAAATCATCAGCCCAGCATAAAAGAGCCAGGGAGTGATCAAACAACAACACATGTGATCCATTGCTTCAATTTCTCTTACTATTGGTGTCCTCTGTGTTGTCCCAAATAAAAGAGTGCATTCGCCATCAGAAACGGCCACGGCCACCACAGCCACCAGGTCCACTACAATGACCTCCACGACCGTGAAACCCCCCTCGACCATTGCCAGGAGGAGGGTGACCACCACCAGGTTCGCCAAAGAAACCAAGGAAACCTCCCAGACCACCACGGCGAAATCCTCCAGGCCCTCCTCCAAAACCACGTGGACCACCATGATGCATGGATCCGCCTCCTGGACCATGATGGTGATGCCGACCAGTATGAAACGCAGTAGCTGCTAAAGCCGACTTCTGCGGCCATGCCAGCAGCTGCCATCAATTGCTGGAGAAATACCGCTAGAGCCGTTCTGTTTACCATTAGCATTATTGCTAGCAGTCCCTGCATTTCTCGTGATTTGGTCAGACGAAGATGATGGAGGAACATCACTGTTGTAGTTGTAGTTGTAGTGGATATGGTCGTAGTTATTGTTGCCGCTTCCACTATTCTGATCTATATATTGTGCGCCTTGGTCCCCAGAATTGTTGGAGTCATGCACAGGGTATGCCTGTGCAATTGGGATATACTCTGAGGTTTGATGATTGGTGCTGCTGTCACCATGCAATAAGTATTAATTTTGAGAGCTACTTCCTGCTGAAGATGATGATGGTGGGATGTAGGCAGGATTGTTGGTAGCTGGCGGTGCTGATGTTGTGCGCAAATTTTCACACCGTTATTGAACCTAATACTGTCTCGATGTCACTGCAATACGATTGAGAGGTAGCCTACAAAAATTTGCAAGTTTTGAATTTATAGATCGAATAGCGGCACTTCTACTGGCGAAGTGCTCCATTGCGATTCCGAGAATCGGGATGACGATGGATCATCACTTCTTGAAGTGTTGTCTGCTCCTGAAGAGACCGAGTTGGATGCCTTTTTTGCCGCAACCCAGTAAGTCTGAACTTTGCCTTTCCCTTTTGCCTCAACGAGCTCGTCTCTTTTCTTTAACCAGTGAGGCTTGCCTGATGCCGCAATGAGGTCGGCTGTTGCTTGTGACACATGGATACGATTCGGCATTCCTGTCGACTCCATTCTCGATGCCTGAAAAAAGAAAATCAAATTATTGTGAGGCAATCATTTTTGCAACAGAGGAAGAGGTACCGCGACAACCACAAACTCACCGTGTTAACGGTATCTCCAAATAACTGGAACCTGCTCTTCTCTCCTCGCAATACTCCTGCAGTCACCGGGCCTGAATGTAACCCAATTCGGAAACATAGAGTTCCAGTATCAGGACCCAGTGTTGCTTCCAGTTCTTTTGTAAGCAGGTTTGTCTTGTAAAGTAGCTGCCGAGCGAATTTTACCTGAAAAATCAATGAATTGAGTAGCAAGATTAGCTTCAACAGTGTCATTTAAAACCTACGAGCAAAGGGTACATTATTCAATTGAATGCAGAGGATGCTTACCATGATAATATGGTGCCGTTCCTGTGGGTGTGGTAGTCCGGTCACCGCCATGTAGCAATCCCCGATTGTTTCTACCTTGAACACATTCATCTTTTTGGCAATCTTATCGAAGGAGCCGTATAGAGTTTCGAGAAGCACGAATACTTCCGTAGGTTGGCGAGTGCTGCTCCATTTGGTGAATCCAGCAATGTCTCCAAACATGACAGTTGTACTCGTGTATATGTCAGCAATTGGTGGAGTGGTCAACGGCTTCGAGTTGTTCAAGGAATGGTCAGAGTGCAAGAGAAATGGACTGCCCTTGGGAGATATACCCTGCTTTTCTTGATAGAGTCGATCCCGCACAGTTCTTGGGAAAAGTCCAGAGGCAATTACGTTACTCTTGTGTGCTGTTTCTGCCAAGAACTTTTGACGGCGTTCCACAAGAAGGTCATACAGAACGAATACTGCAATGGCAAACGCAAAGATTGTTGCCACACCGACTGTGTAGGCTACCGGACTTGTCGAATCAAACGCTTCGCGCATCTGACTCGATGGATACACAGTGGCAAAGTAGGGACAGAATCCAGTTGATAATTGGATCTCTGAAAATGTCGAGATGTCAGTGTTCAGAGTGTAGGTTTCCTTGAACTCGTTGAATTTATCCTCGTGTAGGTCTCCAGGACCCAAGTAGGTCACATCCGTACCAGTAATATCAAAGGTGATAACCTGATCACATTCATTCCATATCACAACAACGAGACCATTAGCATCTGGAGGCAAATTGGGCAGCAAGAAAGACTCCCACTTGGTGGTCATGGATAGGATGGCAACCACATCCCTGGTGCCTACCAGATCCGAGAAGACTGGGTACCAAATGTTCACAGCTGGACCCCCCAGCGTTGCATACACAGTGGCTTCTGCTGGCCCAGAAGAACCAAACCCATCGATCGCTTCTTCGGTACTCTGGATCTCGCCTTCAGGGATCGATTGAATCTCATCATGCTGAAAGAGGTTGTCTGAAGAAACACCCCAAATATCTTTCCATTCTTCCTGAGTGAGCGCATGATTAATAGGATCAAAGTCGTACCCTCGAATACTATCTGAAAGCTCATAGATCATACCAAAAGCAGCCTGTTGGTTAGTCAAAACTTCCAAGATCGGACCCTTGTTTCCTTCCTTCTCGAATATATCATAGTTGATCCAGGGCAGCCCATCCAAAACAGGACTATGCTGCCAAAACGGAAGGGTGATGTTGGCTTCGGATCTCTTTGGAATACCATTTTCTACATGAAATACAAATTCGGATATGTTGTACTGGTTCCGGATTCTCGGTGGTTTGGTTCCTTCTTCTTGAGTCTTTCTTCTCCTTCCCACACCGCCGTCGCCTTGTTGCGATTCGAGAGCTGATGGGTACATTTCTTGAAAGTCTAGATCAGAAGTGATCCATTTCTGCTCCTTTTCGGAATACTGCTCCCAACCTTCCAGCAAGTCGCTTGTGACCACTGGTTGGAGTGCCATTGAAATACCCCCAGCAATTGTCAATACGCTGGCAGCTCGATAGGAAAACTCGGGGATTGTGATGTTAGGCCATGTCCTGCCTCTCGAGTTGGCATAGGATGTAGTAGTCACAGAAAGAGAGTCAATAGCTCGAAGTTTTGATTGCATTTCATTTTCCAACGCGTTTCCAACTTGTGCCGCTTCATCCCAGAATCGGGTCTCGAATTCTCGTTGTTCGGATGCTCTGAGACTGCTGTATACAACAAATGATACAACAATAGCTGCAAATATAAGGATGAGAAGTGCAGCTGCTCGAAGCACACGAATTCGGGTATCTTTGCGCAACAGATTGGTGCTTTCCAATACATGATCTTCTTTGTTGCTAGATGTGTTGGATCCGGTTGTAGACATTCTCCCCTGCTCCTCTGCCTTGGAGGAAAGAGACATTTCGTCGTCAGTGGAGAAGTTGTCGTTGCTGTAATCGTCGTCCATAGGATCACTTTGCCTGCTCTTCATGATGTGTGATGTGGCGTGGAATAAATGTGGCAATGCGATGTGCTCCAGAAGCATTCGTGCGTTTTGATTAAGAGCAAAATACCGCCCTTAAGTTGCTGTTTGACACGATTCCTTTTTTGGAAGCGATGTGCTGGGCTTCATATATAAATGTTACAACATATAGCGCACCTATCGGTGCTGGGAAGCAGTCGTTGTGCGAGAAAAGTTGTACCAATAAAATAATCTGATATTGACATATATATTATATAAATATATACAGTCCCAATCAAAATCAGACCGGATATCGTGGAAAATCCGTAGTCGTGGTACAAAACGCGACGTTCGATTGACTCGGATTTTAAATTTGATTTATTCGACTGGCAAATGACCGAATTTTTGCCAGTATGACGCCTTTTCGGAAACGAATTTTCATTCGTCAAAAGTCTTAAATGAGTGGCACGGCCCGGCGCGGATCACATAGAGTCCTGACGTACTGTAGCATATGCTCTCGACACGGTGTTCATCAGCAGCTGCTGCTCGACCGCCCTTTTGCATCATTCCGAATTTTGTTGAACAAAACAGAACTGTGATCATACCACAATTCGCTTGAGATACTACTACTAGTAACGATGTTTGATTTCAGATCTTGAAATATAATGCAGGGAGGTAATGATAAAGAAATGATGGAAGCAGGCAGTATGAGGCCAGAAAGCGCTATTGACATGGTGCAACAACCCAGTGCGGATAACGCAGGCAAGAAGAATGGACTCTTCCGCAAGATGCAAAGCTCCTACGGGGTGGCGTTATGGCTAATCTTTTCTCTCGTGGTAGGATTCCTTGGCGGATGGTTTGCTGGTGGAGCTGCCACGGCTGCTGGCGAAATCAGTGATGGGGCTGCATCCTCAATGATGAATGATGTGACTACTACTACCACTACAACTAGTGGTAGTACTAGCAATACAACAACGGGATACAACTGCAACTGCACTACGCCCGAGGTAGTCAACAACAACAGCAGCATCACACAGCCAGAGCCGCCGTCACCCGATGATATTTGTCGAGCGCTGTTTCCGTGGATGGGGAGGGAAAACACGACTTGTTACATTGGCGAATGGTACCAGTGCGTTGATGCCAAGGGTACGCTGGACATTAAGTACTTTGACAGGCTCCGGAAAAGTTGCCCATCCAGGAACGATTGCGACGACCTCGCCAGTTGCGCGGTTAGCAAGAGCGAAGTCTTCTTCGAAGGACCATCCGATGGCACAGTTCCTGACGTTTATGATTATTGCAACAATGATGTTGCACATAGGCACTACCCTGAGGGAGCCTCGGCGGCAACGCGTACTCATTCGGAATTGGTCGGGCTTGCAGAGGCATACTTGGAGGGTGACTACAGCCGTTTGGACTACCGGTGCAAGAATAATTACGCCAAGGTATAAATCCAGATGGATCTCCTGTCTCACCTGCCAGGATAGTCACTGCACAACAATCGTTGAATATAAACTGTTAGGCTAGTGATTGATGCTGTCGAACGGATGGTGTATGATATATGAACAGTGATACTACATAGTCTAAAGTCTACACATTACAGTCATCACTATCTTGTCTGTTATTACTCCTCCCAATATCGACCTGTCTTCGTTCTCACTACATGATAATTGATTCGGGTACCGTGCAGCGGGATACAAGAAGGACGGACCATTTCTTCGGAACACTTCTGGTTCGTGTTTCCCGTCCAAGTTGTTCGAGCATGACTTGAGCATCTTTCCAATCATTTCTAGTAGGCTCGTAATGACGAACGTTATTTTGGAGTGCACAGTCTTAAATGAGCGACACGGCCTACATGCAGTCCTGAGGCAGATGCTCAGGTTCGTTTGGAGAGAGAATTGTGCACAGCCTTTTAAATGACTGGCGGCCTAGCGCAGATCACATAAAGTCCTGACTCCTGACGTACTTTAGCAGATGCTCCACACATGCGTACAGGATCAGGTTCGTTTGGAGAAAGAATTGTGCACAGTCTTAAATGATTGGCGGCCTAGCGCAGAACCTTTAGCAGATGCTCCACACATGCATACAGGATCAGGTTCGTTTGGAGAAACAATTGTGCACAGTCTTAAATGAGTGATACGGCCAGGCAGTCCTGACGTACTCTTGCAGATGCTCAGCATAAGCGCAGGAAGACGTTCGTTTGGAGAGAGAATTGTGCGCAGTCTTTTGAATGAGTGGCACGGCCTGTCCCAAATCATGCAGTCCTGGCGTACTTTAGCAGATGCTCAGCATATGCGTACAGGAAGACGTTCGTTTGGACAAAGAATTGTTCGCAGTCTTTTAAATGAGTGGCACGGACTGTTGCAAATCACATGCAGTCCTGACGTACTTTAGCAGATGCTGAAAACATGCGTACAGGATCAGGTTTGTTTGGAGAAACAATTGTGCACAGCCTTAAATAAGTTGCGGCCTGATGCCGATCACATGCAGTCCTGACGTACGTTAGCAGATGCTCTCAGCACATGCGAACAGGTGCCGACCAGAAGCCCCGCCACACCAATCTCACATTGTCATCATCCTGAAGCTCTTGCGGAAAGATTGATGAGAACCAGACCATTTGCGGAGGACTGTAAACTAATCGTTTAACAGTTCACTTCAGATACTACTAACGTTGTGTTATATTCGGATCTTGTAACATCATGCAGGGAGGTAATGATAAAGAAATGTTGGAAGCAGGTATTAGGCCAGAAGGTGCTATCGCAGCGGATGGGTGCATGGTGAAACAACCCAGTACGGATAAAACGGACAGGAAGAGTGGACTCTTCCGCAAGATGCTATTGGGTATGAAAACCAAAAGCTCCTACGGAGTGGCGTTTGGGTTGATCTCTTCTCTCATGGTAGGATTCCTTGGCGGATGGTTTGCTGGTGGAGCTGCCACGGCTGCTGGCGAAATCAGTAATGGGGCTGCATCAATGAATGATGTGACTACTAGCGGTAGTAATAGTACTACAACAACGGTGTACAACTGCAACTGCACTACACCCACGGTAGTCAACAGCAGCAGCACCCAGCCAGAGCCGCCGTCACCCAATGCAAATTCTCGAGTGCTGTTTCCGTGGATGGGGAGAGAAAACACGACTTGTTACATTGGCGAATGGTACCAGTGCGGTGATACTAACGGTGGACTGGACGTAAAGTACTTTGACAGGCTCCGAAAAAACTGCCCATCCAGAAACAATTGCGACGACCTTGCCGGTTGCGCGGTTAGCAAAAGCGAAATCTTCTTTGAAGGACCATCCGATGGCACAGTTCCTGACGTTGCGCGGTTAGCAAAAGGAAAGTCTTCTTCGAAGGACCATCCGATGGCACAGTTCCTGACGTTTATGATTATTGCAGCAATGATATTGCGTATAGGCACTACCCTGATGGAGCCTCGGTGGCAACGCGTACTCACTCAGAACTGTTCGCGCTTGCAGAGGCGTACTTGAAGGGTGACTACAGCCGTTTGGACAACCGGTGCAAGAATAATCACGCCAACGGCAACCGAACATTCCGTAAGGGGACGAGTAGCCCGCACCCCGATTCATTGGGTACTGAAAAAGAAATGATGCTTGTTGGGATATGACGAAATATGAGTTTTTACGTTCCAAAAGAAACTATTCAAGTACGAGGTTTTCGACACGTGCGATCGGAATTTGATCGTGCAAGATGTCGGGATTCGACGCAAGTAATCTGCACAAAGACACCCTGATATCGAACACCACACGATTCCATGGTCCTCAGTATAACAATAGAAGCAACCTCCGCGAAATTATGAAGCTCTTTGTGCCATGAGACTCTGTGGTGTCCCAAAACCCTTCGAAAACTTCTTTTTGGACGTTGAAGGCACTTGCCAGCGGTCATTTTTGGGACCAAAGAAACAAATGAGACCAAATCATTTCATGGGAACAGGGTAGCTAATGTCAATATACAGGTGCTGTTAGCCACGCATCGACTTTGTTGCAGTGGGTGATGAATACAGGTGCCTCAGAACTTACCACCATGGTGAAATCAAATCCATCTGCCTTTTTGGTAGATTTTCACTATTTAGAACCATCGGGCATGTAGTTTTTATTTGACATTTTGCTTCTTTGATATCTTTAGAAGCGTATTCTGCAAAAAAAGCGGGATGCTCGATGTTTTCTTGATGTCAACAAGGGGTTCGAAGGTTAATGATGGAAATGACGATTTGTTGCTTTGATTATTTGGTACAAAATCAACGAAAATCTACGAAGGCGCGCAAAAAATGTGAAAGTACTTTGTTAGACCGATTGTGTGACGTGGCCTACTAGTTCTACGTATTCTACATAGTGTTTCAGAATTTTGATTTGGACTGTATTTTTTAAAAAATATGTGTACACTATCTAAGATAGCCTACTGCCGTCCTCCGTGTGTGTGTTCGTAGTATTTTGTCTTGGTGTGTAGCTGGTGGGAAAAATTGAATTACCACGACACAAGTGGGTGAATTCAATCTCAGTCGATAAACTGGGCATCATTGCCTCGGCGCATCGACAACAACTTTTGACGGTCGAAGGCCGTTTGGCCTTTGTCCGTCTGTAACACAATGTAGTCAAAGAAATCGAACAGTGCGCCTGCGGTCTACGTTGGAATATATTTTAACGGTCCGTCCGCCGCTCAACAGATCATTTTCATACTCATTTGTCGGAAGACTGCTGATCCAAGATTTTTAACCCCATACAGACCTACAATCAAAATTTTCTGCATACAAATGTTTTAGTTTGGGTCCTTAGCTTTCATCCCATTGGGTGAGCACCTCTCTGCTATGCTCTAGAGAGCTGCTGTAGCGCAAAATGTCAATAAATCCTTTGGATAGCAATCAAAAGGAGCTGATAACATTGTGCTAAAGCGACTCACTAGAGCATAACAGAGAGGTGCTCACCCAATAGGATGAAAGCCAAGGACCTAAGCTAAGACATTTGTATGGGGGAAATTTTGATTTTAGGTCTGCATGGGGTTTTGGATCATCAGTCTTCCACCTACAGATGTCCTGTTGAGCGGCGGACGGACCGTTAAAAATATTATAATTTTGAAAAAAGACACAAATTTCAAATTTGTGGAGCGAGTAGAACACGAATGATGAAGGAACAAAAATAAGCAAATATTAGACAATAATACGATTGAGAGGAAGATTGTACCGGTACCATGAAATGCAAAAATGTACAAGTTTCAAAATTTATAGATCAAAAAGCGGCTCCTCTACTGATGAAGTGCTCCGCTGTGATTCCGAGAATTGGAATGATGACGACGAGGGATCATCAGTTCTCGAGGTATTATCCTCTGTTGACAATACCGAATTGGGCAACGTTTTTGACTCAACCCAATAAGTCTGAACTTTGCCCTTTCCTTTTGCCTCAACTAACTCGTCTCTTTTCTTCAGCCAACGAACCTTGCCTGATGCCGCAATGAGGTCGGCTGTTGCTTGTGACACATGGATACGATTCGGCATTCCTGTCGACTCCATTCTCGATGCCTGAAAAAAGAAAATCAAATTATTGTGAGGCAATCATTTTTGCAACAGAGGAAGAGGTACCGCGACAACCACAAACTCACCGTGTTAACGGTATCTCCAAATAACTGGAACCTGCTCTTCTCTCCTCGCAATACTCCTGCAGTCACCGGGCCTGAATGTAACCCAATTCGGAAACATAGAGTTCCAGTATCAGGACCCAGTGTTGCTTCCAGTTCTTTTGTAAGCAGGTTTGTCTTGTAAAGTAGCTGCCGAGCGAATTTTACCTGAAAAATCAATGAATTGAGTAGCAAGATTAGCTTCAACAGTGTCATTTAAAACCTACGAGCAAAGGGTACATTATTCAATTGAATGCAGAGGATGCTTACCATGATAATATGGTGCCGTTCCTGTGGGTGTGGTAGTCCGGTCACCGCCATGTAGCAATCCCCGATTGTTTCTACCTTGAACACATTCATCTTTTTGGCAATCTTATCGAAGGAGCCGTATAGAGTTTCGAGAAGCACGAATACTTCCGTAGGTTGGCGAGTGCTGCTCCATTTGGTGAATCCAGCAATGTCTCCAAACATGACAGTTGTACTCGTGTATATGTCAGCAATTGGTGGAGTGGTCAACGGCTTCGAGTTGTTCAAGGAATGGTCAGAGTGCAAGAGAAATGGACTGCCCTTGGGAGATATACCCTGCTTTTCTTGATAGAGTCGATCCCGCACAGTTCTTGGGAAAAGTCCAGAGGCAATTACGTTACTCTTGTGTGCTGTTTCTGCCAAGAACTTTTGACGGCGTTCCACAAGAAGGTCATACAGAACGAATACTGCAATGGCAAACGCAAAGATTGTTGCCACACCGACTGTGTAGGCTACCGGACTTGTCGAATCAAACGCTTCGCGCATCTGACTCGATGGATACACAGTGGCAAAGTAGGGACAGAATCCAGTTGATAATTGGATCTCTGAAAATGTCGAGATGTCAGTGTTCAGAGTGTAGGTTTCCTTGAACTCGTTGAATTTATCCTCGTGTAGGTCTCCAGGACCCAAGTAGGTCACATCCGTACCAGTAATATCAAAGGTGATAACCTGATCACATTCATTCCATATCACAACAACGAGACCATTAGCATCTGGAGGCAAATTGGGCAGCAAGAAAGACTCCCACTTGGTGGTCATGGATAGGATGGCAACCACATCCCTGGTGCCTACCAGATCCGAGAAGACTGGGTACCAAATGTTCACAGCTGGACCCCCCAGCGTTGCATACACAGTGGCTTCTGCTGGCCCAGAAGAACCGGACCCATCGATTGTTTCTTCATCCTGTTCGACCTCTTCTTCGAAGACCGTTTTTTCCCCATGCTGAAAGAGGTTGTCTGAAGAAACACCCCAAATATCTTTCCATTCTTCCTGAGTGAGCGCATGATTAATAGGATCAAAGTCGTACCCAACAACGCTATCTGAAAGCTCATAGATCATACCAAAAGCAGCCTGTTGGTTATTCAAAACTTCCAAGATCGGACCCTTGTTTCCTTCCTTCTCGAATATATCATAGTTGATCCAGGGCAGCCCATCCAATACAGGACTATGCTGCCAAAACGGAAGGGTGATGTTGGCTTCAGATATCTTTGGAACACCATTTTCTACATGAAATACAGCCTCGGATATATTGTACTGGTTCCTGATGCGAGGAGTCTTGGTGTTTCCTTTTTCTCGAGTCTTCCTTCTCGTTCCAATATCGCCGTCGTCTTGTTGCGACTCAATAGCTGATGGATGCAGCTCTTGAAAGTCTAGATCAAAAGTGATCCATTTCTGCTCCTCTACGGAATAGCTCGCCCAACCTTCCAGCAAGTCGCTTGTGACCACTGGTTGGAGTGCCATTGAAATACCCCCAGCAATTGTCAATACGCTGGCAGCTCGGTAGGAAAACTCGGGGATTGTGATATTAGGCCATATTTTGCCTCTCGAGTTGGCATAGGATGTAGAAGTCACAGAAAGCGAGTCAACGGCTCGCAGTTTGGATTGCAATTCTTTTTCCAACGCGTTTCCAACTTGTGCCGCTTCATCCCAGAATCGGGTCTCGAATGCTCGTTGTTCGGATGCTCTGAGAGTGCTGTATACAACGAATGAGACAACGATAGCTGCGATGAGAAGGATGAGAAGTGCAGCTGCTCGGAGCACACGAATTCGGGTATCTTTGCGCAACAAATTGGTACTTTCCAACACATCTTCTTTGTTGCTCGATGTGTTGGATCCCATTGCACCCAATTTGACCCATTTCTCCCCCTTGGAGGAAAGAGACATTTCGTCGTCAGTGGAGAAGTTGTCGTTGCTGTAATCGTACTCCATTTGATCAGTTTGTTTGCTCGTTATGATGTGTGGTACAGTAGGGCTGATAGAATCAATAATGTGACAATGCGCGACGGTCTGTTTCTTGAGAAGATTTTGTTGTGAGCAAAAAATCTCACCTTTAAGTGGCATGTTTTACACATGCTAGGCCAGGATATAAATGCAAGACAAAATGCGCGCTGGTTCGAAGTAGTTGTCTGTTTTTGTTGTGAGAAAAAGGTGTGCTCATAAATAGCGTGTTTGACACGATTATTAATTGTGAAAAAAGCGAAATATGCGGGAGCGTAAATACTACGGTAGTGTACCGCATATACATTATTACATACATGAAATATAGAAAATGAAATACTGTAATGGAGAGCAAGCGAGTGAGCGAGTCAAATTTGAGGAGTCAATGTAATCAAAACGAATAGAAGAATGCGGTCTCCATTTCATTCGTTTCATTTGCGTGATTGACATTATTTGCTGACATCATCCACACCATGATAAAAACATACCGGAACAACAAGAATTATACACAAAGCAAGGTTTCGCGTCAAACACCGCATAAACACTATCATACTTCAGCATATATTGATTGATGATTCTACTACAACTCGAATAGCATGCTCGCGAGATCTGTTTTGCCGATTTTCCTTCTCCAGCAACTAGGAGGTGCAAACGCTGCGGGATGCGAAGGCATGCTAAATTCCAAAGTGGCATCGCAGTTTTGCCAAAATTTCTTCGACGAGACTGCCTGTAGCCATAATGGTATCTTCTTTTGTCTTTGGGATTCTGACGATGGTTGCGATCTGAAGCCTTTATCCGCGTGCTCCTTGCTAGATGACAATAAAGATGACTGCAACGCTGTTGACGGATGTTATTGGACCGAAATTCCAGTATGGGTGTGGCTCGCCATTAACGTTCCTGTATGGTTTTTACTCGCCGGATTTTGTTTGATCTGCTATCATAGGTACGCTGGCCCTTCAATACTTGACCTGTATGATCGATCAGAAGATTCAATGACAGTTGACGATTCAAGTCAATTTACGGAAGACCAAGAACCCATCCCAGATATGTTCCGAAATCCGATCCAGGCTTCATGTTCGAAGGATAGCACTGAAAGTGAAAATAGCTCCAATGGATCAGACGTGCTTGGGATGGAGGAGGCAGGTACAGTTTTGGAAAGGGATGTGCCATGATGACCACGATAGTACTACTGCGATGTGAACTCACGATGACCTGCTATAGGGTCGTAGTATTTCTGGTACCTCAAAGTTCACACATGGTATCTACGCTCTCGGCATACAGATGTTTGGATTCTGTAGACACAGCGGTCTGCCATCAAAGTAGACGAGACAACGTGGACTTCGCCCGGGCCCACCATCTGAAGAAGTCACCAAGTTCTCATTCAGAATACCAAAAGACATTATGCGAATGTTGATAATCGGGACGATGCTTGGTGACTTTTCTATTCAAGAAGACTAATTGTACATCATAGCTAACCTAACCTCAGTGTATAGTCCCGGCTCCCGACCTTAAATTTTCCATTTTTTCAATTCGGAGGCCTGTCGTATTTTATTCGGAGGAGTCGTGAAAAAGAATTTGACAAAACATACGTGCATAACAATTCTGGCAATCGCATCTCGTCATCCCAATCCCCATTTCAACTTCGACCCTCAAGGTATAGCATGGTCAATCTTGAACGACGACGACATATATACTTTGAATCAGGTCGTAGACTGAGAGAAGAAAAGCTTCGGAATGGGATATTGTCCTTGACCTCTCAAGGTCTCAATGGTGACGACTTGAAGCAGATCCTCATCAATTTGAATCCGCATTTGCCGACCAATGCTGATGAGCCTGCAGGGAAACGACGTCGAGTGGAGGGCAAAGAAGGATTTATTGCAAGGCTGTCATCCTGCTCACACATTGTTGAAGTGGATTTGTCTTACAACCAAAGGTTGGGGGCCTTTGGAATGGACCACATACATCTCTTGCCTCCGCAAGTGCATTCATTGAACTTGAACAATTGTGGCCTGAGCGTGGATGGTTTTCGTAAGATATGCAAATTAATGGAGACAAACACTACCATAACACAATTTCGATTATGTGATACGTACATGAACAATGACAAGGCTGAGTGCGTTGGAACAATGCTAGCAAAGAACAGCACGTTGAAAGAGTTGTCAATTTCCATCAATTGTTTAATGGGATTGGGAAAAGAAGGCTGCAAATTCTTGGGAGATGGTTTAAGGCAAAACAAACGTTTGAAGCGACTTGGATACTTTCAAAAGGAAGACCATGAAGCCCTGTTGTACTTTGCTTCAGTCCTCATGGACGGAGGTGGCTCTGAATTGCAGACCTTTCGCATCCTCACAAATTCCTTTAGCGATGCTTCGGCATTCGAAAGGGTTGTCATTCCTAAATGGACAACCGTATTACAAAAGTGTGAAAACCTGGTAGATTTGGGCGTTGATCATAATGGTTTGTGGGGCAAGGAAATCAGTTTTTGGTTAGAGTTAAACTCCTTTCAGGCTCGTCAAGTAACTCGCGCTGGGAAATCAAAAGAACTGGCAGATACACTTGAGAAAGCTTCTCGAAGGAAACGTGTGGATGTGGTGTACTTTTTGATTCAAAATAATTGTCGTTTGTTTGGGTCCTAATACTGTGGTGTGAATGAAGGTGCTGTGCCTGCCCTGTTTGTTTGTTTGTTTGTTTGTTTGTTCTTGTTCTTGCTGGCTGTCAAGTCTAGTATTCTGGTGACTGAAACAATACGAATGGACTTGTGAAGTAAATTCTGTCAGCCTCAGTGTAATCTTATATAATAGTTATCATGGTCTAATTTTAAATACGAAAATACTTATCGTAGATGACAGCAGGTACCAGGTTCACAAGGCCACGGACACGTGACGTCATTGATCGAAGGGGTCGATCGTGTTGTCAGGCTTCACCGGCGCGCCATGCCGAAATTATAACTTGAATAAGCCATGCATAGCGACGCAAGGAAGAGTGGAATGCTGAGACCCGTCGTTTACCATACCCGTCTTCCTCACTCCTATGGACTGCCCTCATAAAATAAAGAAATAGAACATGTCTTGCAAAGTTACTCTCCCACCATTGCCACCGCTTCATTCGAACATGGCTTCATTGAAAGACACTCATTCCTTTTCGGAAGATGCGCACTGGGTGATTCCTGGTCATTTGATGCAAGGCAAGCATCCGATTCGAGAGAGTTTTGAAAACATGCCATGGCGAGTCCATGATCTGGTTCATCGAGCAAGATGCACCACTTTTGTTTGCTTGCAAGCGGAGTGTCCACCTCAGCGGGCGAGTCATCGGTGGAGCTTCCTGAAATCTGAAAAGAATAATGGCACGCATGTATTTGGTGGCCTTCGAGATTGGAAAAGGAACCCCTTTCTCCTAGAGCCTTATCGGCCACTGGTAGAATCATCTATAAAATCACGGAAGGAACAGGAGCACAAGTCTGAAATCAGAGTTTCTTCGTTCGTTCATTTTGGCATGGAAGATTTGAGCCCCGCCGAGGACTTGAAAGAGTTGGTCGATTTTGTCAAGTATCTAGCTATAAGAATACTCAATGGAGAAGTCATATACTTGCACTGCTGGGGAGGCAAAGGCAGAAGCGGATTGGTAGCTGCGTGCCTGTTGGGGGTTTTGTACAAAGGCATAACTGCGAAAGAAGCCTTGCAACGAATAGGATCCTATTGTCAGTTGCGAAATGCAGGTTACCATATTCATAGTCCTGAAACCAGTGAGCAATTGGAGCAAGTAAGGGATTTCTTTGCACTTCTTTAGTTGGTGTCGACATGGATTATTGGTCACCCAAAGTATTCAGCTTCGGATGCCAAAAGCAGCAGAGCTAAACCGTGGACCAAACCAGGTATTCAAAGCATCATGCTGTTCCAGGTTGTTGTAGCAAAGATCATTCGCTCCATGTCTGAATAGTTGAATGGGTGTACATAATTCTTATGCTGTCAAAGCTTTTGGCTGCCCTCTTGACCGGTGAAGTTGTTCTGGTGCTCTTCGTTTACTCACCAGCGACTGAAAATTCTTGAGGTAGGGGTACGTGTTTGCAGGGGATTTTGAAGGCCTCGAGGAGAAACAGAACTGTCCTTTTGTAGAAGCGTAAGGAGTTGGATGATACCACTGGACTCCGCGTATCCTTCCAAGGAGGCTTGCTCACTGGAAAAGGTTGTCAGCGCTCCAATGTTGTGCAGCGCCGTTGGAGTCGCAAATTTTCCTAAATAAAACGCTTCGTATACTGTTTTGAATTCGATTATTTTGAGCAGCCGAATACTCACCGGAAAAGGTATTGTCGGCTCCGTGCCAAAAGCTTCGTGCTGTTTTCAATCTGATTCTTTTGAGCTACTGTTTCCAGGAAGCTTATTCGCCCGGCATGGAAAATATAACGGTTGAGCTATGATTGGAGTTCAGTCGTATATTTTATATTTTTTGAAATAATTAAAATTTACATTTACATTTTAAAATAATGCTTGCTCTCCAAGTTGCTTGCCCTGTAACAGAAGGCAACAGGATTCAAACCGAGTCTCCAAAGAAGAGCACAAATCAATCGTAACACGGTTTTACAAACATCGTCTTTCAATAGGTATCTTTTAGCCCGTAGACTCCTCACTCCCAATGGAGTAAAAATGTAGAGACAATACCTCCGACAGTAGTGCTCTTTGGCCGGATCAGCAGTTGCGGTAGGATCTTCAGCCCTGTTGCATGTAAGACTGCAATAACTTATTCGTTCCCAATGACTTCCTTGGCCTCTGCACAATCTCCTGGGCCTGTGCTGCTACTAAAGAGCAATCATTAAAAAGCATGTAAGCGGTTTTCGAGCCTCTTCGAAGTTGTTTTCTTCGTTTCATAGGGGCATACTTCGGCATCATTCGAAATGCTTCTACTTGGGGTGCAGTGCTTGTCTCCTTGTTGAGAGATCTCGCTATCATTTTTGCTTTGAGGCTTTTGACGGATTCTTTGCTTCTGTATACTGTCATTCTATCGTGTTTGTTGTGTTTATTGTGGTTACCTAGAGTTTTCTTGTTACAGTGATTGTGATGTGATGTCTGTTTCGTTTGTTGAAATTGTGTTTGGAGGAATTGTGAGCGATGTGAGTGAACAAAAAAGTCTCCGACCAGGAGAGTCACTGTCCCCAGTGATAAGTGCCAGGATTTTTCTAGCGAAACTACCCTGGAAAAAGTTGTCAGTGACCGAATATTGTTTTTAAGCAGACTGACTGGAAAAGGTTATCGTCAGCTCCAATGCCATTTGAGTCGCAGCTTTTAAAATGAAACGCTTATTCGTGCACCGGTACGGGTTTTAAATTTGATTCTTTTGAGCCCAGAAATTTCCCAGTCAGCAGCACCCAAACGTTCTCTAAACATGAACAGAATAAGGTCTAGTTGCAGCAGCTTGTGCGCACGTATTGCAATGTTCTTTTCCAACGAAATGAGTTCAAATTCGGCTACAATGGCAGAAATCACATGAAACTAGGTAATCATCAATCTATAGAATGAATTATAAACGTTATGTTTATCTATGAAAATATATCGTTCTATGTCTTCTATCAAAGTTACTCGTCTTGGCCTGTCACGGAAGGCAACAGGATTCAGAGCGAATATAGTATACATTTGAGGTTTGGTATCGTCGTTTCAGCCACCATGATCAAGCCGTAGGCTCTCAATGGTGTCAATATAGAGATTCTACCTCCCACAATAATCAGTGCTCTTTCGCTGGGTCAGCAGTCGTGGTAGCATAGGTTGAAGTTTCAGTCTTGTTGAATGTAAGACTGAAACTTATTCATTCTCAATGACTTCCATTGACCCCTGCAGAATAGCATTCGCTTGAGCAACTATTGAGCAGTCGTTACATAGCATGTAAGCTGTTTTCGATCCTCTACGAAGTTGCTTTCTTCGTTTCATAGGGGCATGCTTTACCATCATTCGAATCGCTTCAGCTGCTGGTGTTGCTGCACCAGCACTTGTCTTCTTGTTGAGAGATTTCGCTATTATTTTTGCCTTGAGGCTTTTGACGGATTCTTTGCTTCTGTATACTGTCATTATGTTGTGTTGTGCTTGTTGTTACCTCTTCTTGTTTCTTGTTGTAGTGATTGTGATTTGATGTGATGCCTTTTTCCGTCCGTTGGGGAGAAATTGTGAGCGTGGAGTGAACAAGAATAATTTTGTGCTATGACCAAAAAATATATGAATGACTGGCGAATTAGAATGGGTGCCGGCAGGAATGGAAGCGCCTCCGTAAGTTTCATACGGGGTGCACATGAGGCGGTTCTCATCGACATTCCCTTGGGCTTTGTTCGTCGAACAGTTGCTTTATATAACTCAGTCCCAACAGGATTCGGAATTCATTTTCCCATTATGTAAAAGTGGGACATTATGTCCTGTTCACACAAATACCAAACATCAATTTTTAAGACTCCACGAACACACCTGAGTAGACTCGCGGAAGCAAAAGCGGTTTGGAATGCCGAGCGTAAAGACTCCTGGAAACATGAATATGCTTGTCGCAGTTTTGGTGCTGTTATCATGCCTTGGCCCTTCCACGGGTCTTCTTCATCGAAAACCTCCCTTGCCGGAAAATACTGGCACGATTGTGCAACAAGTTTCCCGAAGGTCGGCAATCACTGCAATCCCTTATTCAGCTGCTGCAGTTCTGTTTCTTAGCATCACTGATGAAGCGAAGGCTGCTGGTCCCAATGGATTACCCCTGCAGACTGCGGCTTCGGGTTTGAAATGGGCCGATGCTAAAATGGGGAGTGGTCAACCAGTTCAGAATGGCGCATCGGTATCCATCGACTATTCCATGGCTTCTACAGTAGGTCGCCAACCTCAGATTTATACCACCAAGGATAAGGGGACTCCTTACCGCTGGAAACTAGGTGATGGCAGCACCATTCCAGGCATTGAAGAAGCGATTATTGGGACAAAAGATGGAGAAGTTCCTCCAATGTTACCTGGAGGCATCCGTCGTGTTGTGATTCCGGCCAAGCTTGGATACGAATCCATCCTTTCGGAATCATCTCCCAAGTGTGTGGAAGGTCAAGACATTGGTCCGATTCCACCAAAGAGCAATTCAGATGGAGGATACCAACGATGGTATCAGTTCTACTGCAACCCACGGATCCCTTATCAACCAGACATTGTCATGGATATCAAGCTATATGGCAAACGAACTCAATGATTAAAATATGCAATACCATAACGCTGTTGATGATGCAACAACCATACGGTTTCTCATTTCAATTTGCGCTAATAAGAGGAGGAACTGACGGCCCAGTTTTTCTCCCCAATCTTTACTTTTTCCCTGCTCTACTATTTTACACTGATGTGCGCAGTGGCACTCCACATATCTTACCACTTCTCATCCCCCATGAAGATGGCAACTCTTTTCCGGTGTTTTTTCCAGATCATTCATGTTGTTCTACCAGAATCAATCATGAAAACAAAACATTGCGCACTCACTCTTCTACATTGGCACATCTTAGCTTACTTCCTTCGTGCATTCTGGAGGTGATATATGCTTGTGTTAGAATGGATTGAGGTAGGAGTTTACTTTTGATTCAAGCCCTTCCTTGCCATTACAGCTTTTTTAAATTTAAAAAAAAGAGTTATTTATTTATTATCCTAAACTAAATACATGTATTTATCTAAATTATCATCTAATGATACAACAACAATAACACCAACATTTGTAGCTTGTGTGGTTTGTGATTGTTATTTTCAAAATTGTTGGTCTGCTCGCATGCGCCATGGCATGTCCTCGTAGTATTTACTGGCACAATAATACCAGTTCTTCTGTTCCTGATGGTTTGCTTTCCACGCAGTGTCCCTATTGGAACAAAACTACTGTCTTCTTGATGTGCAATCGCAGAATGTGGTGTTGAGACTGTGATGTACTACATATTCTCTCACACACATCTTTGGAGACATTGATCCATGTGTGTACATGATTGCTGACTTTTGCGGACTGTGTTCACTCATGATTTGTCTTTTTGCGCAAGAACTCCATCCATGCATCCACCACCACCACCAATTAGACGGTGGAAAAGACTTCATGAAGAAGAATCTCGTAGAGTGAAAATGTGGTGGCGTGATTGACGGCCTGTCGAAGGAGACGGGGGGCAAGTCCATCCCAAAAGACACCCACACCATGTTCCTGGTACAGTTTGGAGGCTACTTGGACCAGCGAGAGCTGCTGTTGTTTCGTACCAGCCACACTTCCTTCCGTGTTTTGAATCACCGTCTTGACCACATCAATGGGATAGATTGGTATCCAACAGGCACATCCAGCCGTGGCTCCAAAGACAAGAGGTGCCGCGGCTCCCAGCTGTTCCGTCAAGAATGGATCGTGCATGAGGGCACCATAGACTCCAAAGTAGAGCGAGTAGGCTGGGATCTCTCGTAGCATGGTGCACAAGAGGCCTCTTCCCAGTAGTCCCTTCCATCCTTCGGTACTCAACACGGCCTGCAAGGCTTGATCGTCTCGTCCCTCATACGAGTTGTTTCCGGCTTGCAAAAGGACTTTGATGCGATCGACGGGTGCGGCCAAAAAGGAGGTCACAAAGCCTGCCGTGGCGGCGGCTGTGAGAAGTTGCAAGTTGGTATTTCCATCCAAGGCCTGAGAGGCATGCAAGTATTCCAGCATGTAGGCATTGACGGCAAAGACGACCGCCTTGATGATGGCTTGTCCGACCATGCTGGTTTGGACGCCGGCAAAGAATCCAGCAGGGCCTTCGGTTCGGAGAATGTATTGGGCCACATCCATCATGCTGCTTCCAGCTGGAGGAGGAGGAGCAAGGACGAGAGTAGCTGCACTGCCAGCACTTGCTGCAGCTGCTGCTTGTGGAGCCTTGTTATAGGATGGCTTCTCGGAAGCCATAACTTGAGCGCGGGTCTTGATGGTGTCCAATGGATAGGCGACTCCGACTCCAATGGCTCCAGCTATGGATCCAGAAAAGAGTGCTGGAAATGGAGATGGAAGCAAAAGGTGAAGTTCCGTAGTTGTGCTTGTAAGTCTGCTTGGAATGGTGCTGGATCTTCCAATTGCATTATTACTAGCAACAGGAGAGTTTGTGAAGCCAACCACAGGGTCCGCACAGAAAACAAGAACCAATGACAGAATCATCGTCAACAGAAAAGTTCTGCTGTTCCAAGAACGACCACCAATTTGCAATCGGTGTTGTCGTGTATCTTCTTGTAATTGTGGATGTGGATGTGATTTCAGCGATTGTTGTGCCATGGTTTGGGTTGCTATGGTATGTGTTTGTTTGCTTGCTTGTGTTTTGTGTTTCAGAGAGATGTGTACTGCTGGCAGAAGTTTCTTAACGTTGTGTGCTTTCTGTCGCCAAAAGCTGAGAGTGTTCGTGTGGGTGGCGGCGGTGAAAGGTGTGGCGGTGAAATTATCAAACTAAGAAGTTCGGATTCGAAACAGGATGTTATCGCAAAAAAAGCAGACGGAGAAGCCCAATGGCCAACCAGATTTTCGTATCGACTGAGTCAGTTGAAGTACATGCCAATTACTCCGATCGCATGCGACCAGTTTCGAACTGTTGACGTCATCAATTCGAATTCTGAGGCCGAAATTCAATAAGATAGGTGACGTCCTGAATCAAATAGGTGACGTCAAGAAGAGATGGCGTGGCAAGTTGATGCCAATACTGTAGGTACTGTTTTTAGCAACGCATTTTCAATCGTAAATGAGACACCCTTCCGAAATTGCAAAAGGTTGGTTGGAGGAGGACGACGTGTTTTGAATTTTAGACTAGAATCGAACTACAAATCTCCAAAAGTTGGCAACAAGTACGTATTAATAATATCTATTGTATAGTAGCAATAGATATTATAAAATTCAATACTGTAGGAAGTATAATAGGTATTAAAATATCCAAACCCCCATGCAAATGCAAACCCCCATTGTATTTAGTCGCCACCAGCAACAGACAGTAGCAGCCAACCGTGATATTCAAAACTCAATATATTCGCTTTCCAGCAAATCATCCGAGCTTTTTCGTACTTGTGATGCGACAATGGAACACGCCATGCCCAACAAGGAGCCGTCATTGATGGCCGCTTGCTGCGGTAACGAGGATAACAACAAAGCCAATGATGAACCTGGAAGGATTGTTTCGACAATCGATTGCAGTTGGCTATCCACAGTGTCCCAATCCTCTTTGGTCATGTCATCCATAATATCGTCAACATCATAGTTGGTCTTTGAAAGGTTGTAGCATACGTGTTCCTTTCTTTGTCGCAGACGATTTTCCCTTCTATTATTATTGATTTCATCATGATCCATGGGAGAATGATGGTGGTGACTCCCCACCACCACTTCCGGGCGCAGCTGTTCACTCCGGGCTTGCAAGACAATAATGGCCGCCAGGGCGCGTTCCCGAATATTGTTGTTGCGATTCTGACGCTTCTCAAGGGTTTCCATGGTGTTCCTTACAAAATCGTGCAAATAGCATATCACCTTTTGTAACTTTTTGGCCGAAAACTCAAACATCAAATCCAATTTCTCCCGTTCGTCTTCGTCCAACTTTTGTTTCCGTTCTTCTTCTGTCATGGGGATCCGTGGATATCCCTGATGAAGTCGGACCATTTCGTACTGAGCTCCATAGTCCACAAAAACTTCTCGTGGTTCGCCGTCGGCCAATTGCCGGAATGGAAGGTCATGGGCGTCATTAGTATCACTGTCATTCTCATCGTCGTCATTGTTGTCATTGTCATCACAGCGATACCCCAACACGTAATGAAAGGCGCCCTGTGGATCCTCCATCAATTCAATTTCCGCACGGTTCGTCTCCCAATCGTTTCGTTCATTCACAAAGGGAAGGATGGATTGCTTGGCTTCTGGGATTAGTTCCCCGCGGCCGTGGGTAATGTCAAAGACCGCTTCGTTGCTCCGGCTATTCATACTGTACGAATCGCACCAAAAACTTTGCAAAAAGCTTCTCACCAACATGATATAGTCAGGAGTTTCGTCTTGGGAGGTCAATGGAGCGTAGACGCCGATATCCAAGACTTCTCCTGGTGCCAGTGAAAATACTGGAAGGTTCTTCTTATGGTGCTGTATGCCACTGATTGATGCTGTTGTTGTTGTTGTTGTTGTTGCCGTGCATAATGGTGGATGCAAAAGACTTGTAATGGATAAGAATACCCCATTTCCGCTATTTGGAATGGTAGAAGGCCGGACGGTGAATTCCAGCTGAAAACCGGAATATTGCAGGCACAAACATGGCATGTTGGGTGCCGATTTTTGCCAAATGGTAGCTCGGGTATACAAATCAGGAACTCTCCAACAAAGTGGAAACGGTGCTCTTTGAATAGTCTCCTGGCAATTTGGAATTGGCGAATAGATTGGGAGTGGTATGCTGCTTCCATCGTTCACGGCCTGCATTCTGCCTTGCTTCTCTTGGTATAATAGGCAGCCACCCCAGGCTCGAGCAATATTCACTGGTTGGATGTCAAGAATGCTCAAGTTTTTAATTTGTGTGTGGTTGTTATTCAGAAGGGATCTGGACTGTTCCGCGTATTCGATCGTCAAGTATTCTCCCTTTTTCTCCTTGTCTTCGTCATCGTCATTCGCATGGGTGGGGACGTATTCCGTTACGGTACCAAACACGCATAACTTCTTTCCATCCTTATCGATCCATTCGGCGCAGTATCCATGTTCCAAAAGCTGACTCTCAAGGTCGCACCAACCCGATTGGCCACTTTCTGGAGAAGTTTGTCCATCGCCCAAACCCTCTGTGTTCTTGGCCTCACTTTCCATGTAGCTCTGTCGTCTGTGGTTGATTTCATCAATGGAAATTTCGTGATTCTTCAAGAATTCTTGTATCGTCCGAATGACAAATGTCCCATACAATCGTCGCTCGGCTTCTGAGAAAATTCGTTGTTGTACCAAGTCTTGCTCTGAGGTTGGAACCAGCAGAGACGCAACCCTCCGGGCGTCATTGGAGATGATTTGCCAATCTATTGAAATCAATTGCGTTAGACGAATACTCTTCACCAGTATTATACACAGAATAAGAAATGAGGAAGATACGTACGTTCAATATTTGTATTTGACACCTCTCGCTCCAATGCCGCCCGGTATTTAGCCTTTTTCAATATCCACTGGTCGAGTTCTTTTGACTGCTGAGCATTCAGAATGCAATGTTTCTGGTTGGTCAACAATGACAAGAGCACAAGCATGCCACCATTAGTAGCAGAGTCGTCCTCAATTCCTCCTCGTCGTACGAATTTGAGATTACCAGCAGTTGCCAGTGAACGGGTGCACTTGATGCCATTGCTTTGCGGAACCAGAGTGGAAGCTAAGCCCATGACATTTCGATCCAGTGCCTCTGTGGCAGTCCCTTTTGTCTGCTCGGACGTTTTCGTAGGTGGAGGCTTGGTGGTGGTAGTGGTGATAGATGCATCATTGGAATCTCGTTGTTCCCTCGTCCGCTTTTTGCTCTTCGTTTGTGAAATCTGAGCTTTTTGCTGTTCATCGTAGTCGCTGCTGTCACTATCGCCCCAAGAATCGCCAAAGGGGTTGTATTCTTCTTCCTCTTCTTCTTCCAGCTGCTCGGAAGGGCTGGGAGGTTCCCCTTGTTGCGAGTGCGAAAATTGTGGATCCTTTGTACGAACCTTGCTGGTTTTGGGCATTTCGTCGTCCCTTTCATTAGTATCCCTGCTGCTGATGCTGCTTCCGTCGTCATCTCCAAAAGGATTATACTCTTCTAGTAGCGGCTCGAGAGGGCTGGGAGTGGCAACTGGTGGTGGGGTTCTCTCTGCGGCAGTAACACCATCATTATTCAAACTCGACGTCGATGCTGGAGCAGTGGTGGTGGTGGTAGTCTTATTCTCAATGGATTGTTCTTCATTTGAAGTCTCATTTTCGATGTTTTCTGTTCCATCGGAATCATCATCTGAATCATCCACTTTGCGGATTCTTGGACTTGATTGTGTGTCTGCAGTTTTGGACTGGCGACTATGGAGTTTCTTGGTTTGGCATTTGTCCAAGTCTCTTGTCCACTTCTGACTTAATACCTCTCTTTCTTTATGGTCTTCTTGGGTAGAGGTAGCAGTATGCAATGGCACACGTGCTATATTTTCGTCAGCACTTGACGACGACGACGACGACGACGACGATCCAGCAGTGTTGGAAGTGTCATGATCGTGACAGTCATTATCATCCTTGCCACCATTCCTCCGTTTACTACTCCTAGAAGCCCCTGTGGAATACAATGGTGGGTCCTTTAGCTTTCCTTTTGTTTTTCCATTGACGGGTTGTTTCCTTATTATTGCTTCCGTATTTCTCCTTGTTTTAGAAGAAGACCGAACTGACTTCGTTGTTGTTTTTGGTAGTCGTTCCTTGGTACCATTTGGGCTAGCTTCACGTATTTGTTTGTTTCCATTTCGTCTCGCTGTGTTAGCTTCACCGCTGGTGTTCTTGTTTGTCGGATTCAGAGGCCCTGTCCGTGTACTTATTCGTTTGGTTGCGGGCGGGTTTGTCGAATTGATAGTGCTTTCTTCATTGGATTTCGTGATACCATTCTTGGACCTCGACGAGGCGTCAACTTTGGAATGAACAAGACTGGCTCTTTTCCCATTTCTGAGTCGATTTGTTTGGTTGGCTGGATTTTCTGTGGAATTGCCGTCGTCGCTGGACTCTTCTGAGGATGTCAAGAATGAAAACGGATTGAACACAGAACCTGATAGGTCTTTTATTGTTCCATAACCCTTTATTATTCCATTGTCCTTGCGCTGGTAATCTGATTGGGAAGGAGAGATAAATTTGGGATCCCTGGATGGACCGTCTTTGGAAGAGGTTTCATGCTGATTTATTGTTTCATGTACATCCTCATCCTCATCATTATCATTTTCATTCACCTTCGTTGAGTCCTCCATCAAATTAGCATCCTCTCCCATTTCGCTTTCTTGTTCTTGTTCTTGTTGTTGTTGCTGCTGCTGCTGCTGATGTCAAATAATGAGTTCACTCTATGCCACGAAACCCCGCCATTGAAGCACAGCAATATAGATGGCAGCCTTGTATTATACTCACAATGATGATGACGATGTACCTACAGTAGTCGATTGAATCCATTGTGTGGACTAAGTCGACTCAAATTCAGCAGCATCAGATCATCATCATCATCCCACGTTTCCATAATAAAAATAACACTGCATATATAGTGCGGTGTCAACAAAACTAACTGGCAAACATGGCTTCCGCTGCTTCATCTGAGGAACAAAAGGTATCGCCTTCCAAAAAGCGCAAGATGAAAGACGATGACGCGGCTTCCAAGGCTTCTGGAGTCATGGCTTACTTGCAAACCTCACTGTCCAAAGAATCTCTTTCTCAACTGTATTTGGATCCGACTCGAGGCCGTTATGTTTGTCGAGCCGTCTTGCAAGAATTGCCCATGACGTCGCAACAAGTGGTCGTCCGACTGATATGCTGCGGGGGCTCCTTTCCGCGCAATTTGGTAAACATTTGGTGCGGCAAAAAGTACTGGGGCCACAAACAGATTATGGAAATGGTCAAATGGGCCATTTTGAAGCAACCGGCAGACGATGATGCCGCTATTCAACTGACGGACGAATTCTTTCAGGGATACAAGGCAGCCTTACATTCGATGGATACCTCGCCGTGGAGTCCATTGACGCCTGCCCAAGTGGAGGTAATGGAACAAGAAGCGTCGGCAGTCGAAGGAAAACCAGTCAAATTTCCAGCCATGACGCAGGAAGATTTGGAACGATACACTCAATCGCAATGGGATGCCGTATTACATTATCTAGTAGGAACTCCCAATCTGGACGTTCAACCGAATCCTGCCATTTCTCATTTTCTGTTGGAGACCAAGCTCATGCAGCCGGATCCTGAATATCGAGGGGATCCTGAGGAAGCTCCCTTGGTGATTACTCGCAAGGGATACGATTTCATGCTGCAAGATAGTACCCAACAAGTTTGGCATTTTGTGCTTCAATACCTCCAGAGTATTGAGCGACAAGGAAATGAAAAGGCGGTAGTTTTCAAGCGAGAAGCACTGTTGGTCTTGCTTTGTTTGAGTTATGCCAAATTTGGAGAGTGTTATGCTTCCGCAGTATTGTCCAAGGATGGAAGACGCATTGTTCGAGATTTGGCCCTATTTGGACTCTTGTACGTCAAAAAGGTTGGAAAGAAATCCGTATTTTATCCCACACGAATTGCCATGCAATTGGTGGGCGGAGCGGAGGCTTCCTCTTCTTCCAAATCTGGTAAGCGTGGCGGTGGTGGTGGAATGTGGTCTTGGTCGTCCAAGGCACTGGATTCGGCATTGGCGCATCCATATCCCAGCGATTCGAGTCACTTGGCCATTATTGTCCAAACCAACTTTCAGTTATGTGCCTACACGACATCGGAACTTCATGTCAGTATGTTGGGATTGTTTTGTGAGGTACAAACGATTCGTCGACTTCCCAACGTTGTCTTTATGGCTATCACGAGGGATTCCATCAAGGGGGCCTTTGCGTTGGGCATTCAAGCTCATCAAATCTTGCGGTTTTTGGAAAAACATGTTCATCCCAAGCTGAGAGACAACACAACATCCCCGATTCCTTCCAATGTGGTGGATCAAGTGTACCTATGGGATCGCGAACGACATCGCGTGGAATGGAATGAAGTCTTTATGCATCAATGTGTATTGGATGGAGAATTCCATGCCGTTCAATCGTACACCATGGAACACCAAGCTCACGCTTGGAGTAACGCAGGACGGAATCAATTATTCATCAAGTTCCCCTATGCCGAACAAGTACAGTCCTTTGTTCGGAAATGGCGTGCCAAGGCGGCTGCTGGATAAAGTATTATTTAGTTTGTGGTTTCCTTTTTCTTTCGCAACCTTTGTTGATGCGGATATCTTTAGAATTTATCGCATTAATATTTGACCATATCCTTCCTCTGCACAAGCAAATGCAGTTCCAGGTTATGGTGCAGTAATCAACCATGGGAATACAAGTACTGTACCGGTGGGTCATTCGTGGAGCCATGTATCTTGTCGCGCGCAAATTTTGCACGATCGAGAATACCGGTTACAATGCATTTTACCGGTATGTTGCAAGATCCAACTGGCTGTATGTGAAGACATAAGGAAATATATGTCAATACGTGAGACAAGCTTGAGCCCAAGTTATATTATCAAAATGGATGGATCAGTGCAGAATAACCGGATGGAGTACGCCTCATTAGCGGATGCTGATAAAAATGGAACTCTCCGACAGAGGGTGAAGGTGCCAGAGAATATTGTTCACGCTGATCTTGAGTCGGACGAGAATATGGAGAAGTCCAACATGAAGCAGAATAGAGGCGATACGAATGATGAATATGCTGCAGACGAGAACGACATCCGAACTCTGCCTAGGAATACCTTTTCATTTTTAATTATTGCAAGATACCCCTTTTGTGAAAAGGCTCGACCTGACAATAATGACGACCGGACAAGCATCGTTCAGAACCGGCGAAAGAAAAAACATCGAGACTATTTGTGCATACCATTTTGGATTTCGTTGGGCATCTTGGTTCTGCAAATCACAATTTATACCCTGGCATTGCTGTAAGTAGTGCGAAGAAGCAATTACAGGGACTGGCTTGATCACATTTGAAATTTTCGGAGACTGAAGACTTTACTCATCATTCTAATCCCTATTCTTTTTCGTTGTTCAGGAATGCAACTGACTTTGGTGATGACAATCCTTTCAATTTTCCCATTGATGTTGACCCGTCCACAAGGGCTGCCGAGGTGAGAGATGGATGGCTGCTCAAGCATGATTTTGTTTCGAAAATACATATTTACTAACAACGAAATATCGCAGTTGTTCGCAGTCATGATTACGGTGTATACCGAAAACAACTTGTTCCAAGGAGTTGATCTCTTTGTACAGAGTTTCGATACCCTTGTAGAAACTCCTGGTGTGACTTTCTACAAGTACTATATGACGGCCACCGCTGCTGTCCTCGTTGGCTTGTACGGAATCTTTGTTACTTTCATTATTATCATGCAAGCAGAAAGTGTTGTGGATCTCCTATTGGACTTTACTGCGATGGAGTTTGTCGCGGCGTTGGACGACGCCAGCTATGTTCTTTCCATCGGGGGGTTCTTGGGATCACATATGAAGCTTACTGCCAGGGTTGTGAAGGACTCGAAGTATGCCTCAAAAGACAAGCGCAAATGGTTGAGAAAGTGGCCTCTGTTCGTTCTCTTTGCAGCTGTGATGACATGCTACGTCATCGTCCGGGTGAATCAAGGAAATCGAACCTATGGGGACAATGAAATCTATGTTCAGTTTCACGATGAAGTCCATCCTTGGTTAAGTACACTTTCAGGGGTATACATTGGATGCAACTTGCCATCATCAGATCACGCAAGTATTATCAGAGGAAAAGATCACGATCTTGGCCGAACTATGTATACAAAGCTTTCTGTCGCAGAGTGCGAGAGAAACTGGAAGGCGGAGCATGGTGCATTCTTCTATTGCGATGAGAAGCATTGGGTATTTGCAGTCGGCGAAAACAAGATGGATCCATGTAACAAGTGGATAATGCAGTCGATCAAGCCAAAGCCAAGTAATACAGATGAGTATGATATCCTGAGCCATTCCACGGAAGTATGGCTTGCAAAAGACCCAGAGAGAACATTTGGTACTGGCGTTGTTGAGCAGATTCAGTTCTTGGCTGGTTTTCAATCTTCACAGAATGCCGGTCGGAACTGTAGCGTGCTCGCATCAACTGGAAATGTCTTCTCGTATCCATTCTATGCAAGGCTTGAAGAGAGTCAGCAAGAAAAGTCTTTCGCGAGTGAACGTCCTGTGTATTTTGCCGGTGACGATACGGATGGCGAATACATCTTCCACACTGGAAGGAGGTGGGTCGTAGTGAAAGCAAATCAGATCCCAAGCTGCGTTCGCAACTGCAACACAGCAGAGAATTGTTGCAAGCTGGATCCCTACTCCGGAAACTACACCGTCAGCTTCATCAGTGACCCAATGGATCTTCGAACACTTGGCGACACATGGATTCCCACCGCGGAACTCATCTGGTATAAGGCGACAGGAGATACTGGCAATTCATCGAAGCCAATTGTTGAAAGGCAAAGTCTTGTAGATCAAATTGATGTGATCGAAGCACTTTCTTCCGTTGGATCCTTCCCAAACAGAGAAGAAGAGGAGAGGCTGATTGACTTACATCTACAGTCTGCAAGGCTTTCGTGCTTGTGTGATAGTGGAGACCTTGAATGCGAGAAAAACGTTGCTTGTGGTGCTGACGAAACGACGGTCTGGATTGACTTGCAAACAGATAGCCGGCCTCAAGATACATACTTTATTGTCATGGGAAACGAGACATGGGGTACTATTCAAGAGGAAGCAGCAACCAGCTATGATTTTTCATCTGTACGCCAATTGGCCAGCAGTGAAAATTTTGGAATCACTCCGCTGAATGATACTGGATACTTCGATTGGCAAGACGTACGGGAAACTGGTTTTGCTGCGAAAGCAAACTACCAATTCACTACTTGCTTGCCAAAGAACAAATGTGGAATTATCTATGCTGAAGATACAGCTGGGAACGGTATTACATTTCCAGGCAGGTTCAATGTATTCTTGAATACCAGAAAGGTGGAACGAGATCGAGGAGGCCGAAAGTGTGTATACGATCTGTGCCAAGAATCAGCCACTTGCTCTGACTCCTCCCTACGCAAGGAACTATTCAATCCAGAAATCAGTTGCACAGACGAATCGGTGCCTCTTGCCTTTCAGTTTTTCAAGGACACGTCTTTCAGCCTCTCGAACACGTCGCAATGGCTTAGTAATGCAGAAGGAGAGGAACTTTATGGTTCTGGGCCCGTCGAATGGGGATCGTTGTTTTTTGATGCTCAGCGACAGATATGGAACAATTTCGATTTTGTCGATTTCGACGCAGAGATAATTTTTTCACCCATCCGAACAGCAACTTGTCTGCCAAAATCCAGTTGTGCTATAGTAGCTTTCGACATTCTGGATGTGCCATTTGAGAGTCTCACTTCTGAAGACACGGGGTTTCCATTCGAATTTCCGAGCATTGTCTACAATGGGATAGCACTTGAGCCAGACGAAGTAGATCCCACTTTCAATCATTGCGTTTATCAGTTCGGGGATCCTTGTGCAACGGAAGTCATTTGCTCAGACACCGCGATCCCGCGGCCATACACCACCGAGAGCAACTGCGCGGAGGGCCAAAAGGCTTTGGCCATAGAAGTAGTGACAGATATGTTTGGTGCCGAGACAAGTCTTGTTATGACCGACTTGGATACGTGGAGGAATGGTCAACTCACGGGCTTCACGCCATTGCTTGAGACAGGAACCTTTGATTGGGGCTTTCTTCGGTGGAATGCCCCTTTTGTTGAAGAATCGGTGTCATATACCTTTGATAGTTGTGTGCCCGACGACCAATGCTGGGTGGTACTTCTTGGAGATGCATTCCGCGATGGCATTGTAAATGGAGGGATGACTTTAGTCTACGATAATGCGGACATATTATTTGGGCCCCTAGGAGATGCTTTCACGACATGTGTGTTCCAGTTTGGAGATTGCGAGGCAAAACTTGACTGTTACGATATCGAAAATCCACTTCCTCCTTACAATCCTGAAATTGAGTGTCAGAGCGGAAAACCACTCGCTTTCGAACTTAGGGCAGACTGCTGCTCTTCCGGTGATAATGCTATTGTTGTGACTGATTCGGATTCTTGGAATCAAGGGCTTGCAAGCACTTTCCCATTTGTAGACGCACAGGGATTTTTCAATTGGGGAAGCTTTAATATCTTTGCCTTTGAAAACAACGTATCCAATCGCTTCCAAACGTGTGTTCCAGATGAAGTTTGTGCAATAGTCGCAATCAATGACAGCTTTGGAGACGGCTTTGTTGGTCTAGGAGGACTTACTGTTGTATACGACAACACTGAGACAATGCTTGGACCCCAAGTCGACGATCAGTTCACAGATTGCGTGTTTCAGATTGGGGCTTGTGAGACACAATTCTTCTGCGAAAATAGTAATACCCCGCTTCCTACGTCTCCCCCGTCTCCCCCGACTACCCGGCCTCCAGCTTTCAATCCAGATATCAATTGCCCAGGTGGAAAATCACTGGCTTTCGAGTTCTATTCGGATACTACAGTAGCAGTGCATACAATAACTGTGGCCGATTTCTATTCTTGGAGGCGAGGGATCTTATCGAATGCAGCATCGCCCAATGACTTTGGTTACTTTGAATGGGATTCAGTTGAGATCTCGAACTTTGAGAGTGGTACAATTTATCAGTATAGCACTTGTGTCCCAGATACAGTGTGTGGAATTGTTGCGTTGGAAGATAACTTCGGCGATGGTTTTGACTCCAACGATTGGTTCACCGTCTACTATGATCGAGAGGAGATACTCGCCGCTTTCGCTACCGAAAGCTTCCGAACCTGTCAGTATCAGTTTGGATCTTCATGTGGGCAGCAAGGGTCCTGTACTGCATCACTCCCGCCACCTTACAACCCCGAGATGGAATGTTTCAATGGAACATCACTGGCCCTTGACTTCCATTCGGACTTTTTTCCTTCTGATAATGATCTTCTTGTGACAGATTGGGACTCGTGGGTTCAAGACACATGGGCAAATTCATCATCATCAATATTGAACCAGACTGGGTTCTTTGAATGGGGTACCGTTCAGATTTCCGGCTTCGATCCTTCAAGCTCGCATCATTTCAGGACCTGCGTTCCTTCGGAGGTCTGCGGAGTGGTTGTGCTGAGAGACAGTATAGGAGATGGTATCTTTAGCGACGAAGGACTCCGGGTTGTCTTCGATGAAGAAGAAATACCCATGTTTTGGAATCCAGGCGGCAGGTTCAGCTTCTGCGAGTTTCAGTTCGGTTCATGTGGTCAGGGAGCTTACTGTACCAGTGATCCGACCCTGGCTCCATCCCCATTCGAGCCTAACGGGGATGATGGTGCAGTACAAGATGACGGCATCGTAGGGGATGGTGTAGTACCGCAAGATGATGGCGTTGCAGAAGGTGATGATGCTGCACGTGTCGTAGACGATGATGCTGTACGAGTTCTAGACGATGATGTAGTAGAAGATGCCGGTGCAGTATAACAGTATAGATTGATTCATATAAGAATTCTTCGCCCGAAAGGGCCGAAAGGGGGCAGGCATTTATCATACCGGTATGGCACCTACAGAGCGTAATAGTTGATAGTGGTACCGCCTTCAGTGCCAGTGTCCGTATGTCATGCGTCATTTCATGACTCCAATCGATCGAATTCCAGATGCACAGTATAATATCTGACACAATAATTGGATCATCACCGCAACATCAATAATCGAACAATAATACAGAACACCATGTCCAAGAACGACAACGGGTCTTCTTCTCCACCTCCGGCAGAGGAAGTCCTGAACGTCAATGTAGGTGTTCTAGGTCATGTTGATTCTGGCAAGACATCTCTCGTCAAGACATTATCTACACTCTTGTCCACAGCTTCTTTGGACAAATCGAAACAGAGTCGACAACGTGGCATGACTCTGGATCTTGGTTTTTCTTGTTTCTTTTTGGACATGCCTGATCATCTTCAGAAATTGTACCCTGAGAAGAAAAAGCTACAGATGACACTAGTAGATTGTCCCGGGCATGCGTCCTTGATACGGACCATTATTGGTGGTGCGCAGATTATTGACATGGTGTTGTTGGTTGTGGATGCCTTCAAAGGATGGCAGGCACAGACTACGGAGTGCCTAGTCTTGGCAGAACTGACGAGTCCACATTTAGTTGTTGCATTGAACAAAATCGACATGTTTCCTGAGAATGAAAGAGCCGAGAGATTAGAAGAAGCCAAAAAGAAGGTCCAAGAACGGCTGAAGCGATCCAAGTTCCCAAATGCCGCAATGATTGGAGTATCCGCCTGTATCGGTGGCGAAAAAGTAGCTGCGGGAGATGATGTAGCATCGAATCCAACCTACAACATCAATACCCTTGTTCAGACACTGAAGGACTCGTTGCCAGCTCCGAAGCGAATTGTTGGGAAAGGTGCCCCGTTCTACTTTAGCATTGATCACTGCTTTCCAATCAAGGGTATGGGCACAGTATTGACAGGAACTGTACTATCCGGATCCGTTTCGGTCAATGACAATGTAGAGTTCCCCACCTTGGGATTGGAGCGTAAGGTCAAGTCGATGCAAATGTTCAAACGAAAGACCCTGAAGATTTCTCAGGGTGACCGAGCCGGAATGTGCGTCTCTTCTTTGGACTCCAATTTACTCGAGCGAGGAGTCGCAGCATCCCCTGGAGCTGTCCAGCTACTCAAGGGTGCCATTGCCTTGGTTCGAAAGATTCCATACTATCAGCATTCGATTGGCGACAAGTCCAAGGTACACATTAGTGTCGGTCACACGACCGTGATGGCAACTGTCAACTTTTGGGGAGCCAAGGAACTATATGAACAACAACAACAGCAGCAGGAGCAAAAGGAAGGAGAAAAGATTGACGGTCATACGGCCCTTGGTGGAGATGCGGACCGAGCAGGTTTGCCCTACTTGAAATATGATTGGGATCAAGACTTTATTCATCAAGATGGAATGCTCGAGACCTTGTCATCACCATCATCATCAGCCACCACTACTACTAGTAAGCAACAAGAACCGCTCTTGCACTGGGCCATGATCGACTTCCAGACACCAGTCTATTGTCCCCTTCATTCATTGGTGATTGGTTCCCGGCTTGACCTGAATGACCAAAACAGCAACAAGAGTAAGGACCCCATGAATGGTAGCGAACCATCGGCATCCTCTTGTCGACTGGCCTTTTGCGGCCGACTGATGGAAAAGGTTGATCCCACCAAGGACTTTACACGGATACGATCGTATGCTCCCAAGGAACGAGTGGGTGTGATATCCAAATTGGGAGATCCACACACGCGACAAGATGATGGAAAGATTGTTCGGTATGAAGTCTTTGGATCGGATCTTTTCAAGAAGGAAACAGTCCTCAAGCCATTTATTGGAATGAAATTAACGACCCCGCAGGGTGACATTGGAGAACTCAAGTCGGCTTTTGGAACCGCTGGCAAATTTCGAGTATACTTTCCTGGTGGGACCGAAGCCCGAGAGGGTGATGCTCTCGTCATGCCATTCCTGCGCTTTGCTCATGATCCCGAGAAAAAGATGCGACAGAATATTGTCTTGCCAGCGGCTAGGCCGGGAAGTCGAATGGAGACCAAGAAGAAGACCAAGGTCAAACCAGAAGCCATCGGACATGTGGAAAAAATAAAGGGAGATGTTTTGGAAAATGGCAAACAAACAGTGGCAATCATTGTTGGCTTCTTTACGCCCGAAATCAATGTTCGAGAAAAGATTGGTCGCAAGGTTCTCATTCCAAGTACCAAGGAGGAAGGTTCGATATCCGGTTCCTTTGGCAAGGCTGGAAAATGCAAGGTCACCTTTGAGAATGGAATTTCGGCAGCAGCCGAAGGTGCCAAGGCAGAGTTGATTGCCGTATGAATGTAGTATAACAATATAATCCAAAGCTATCCACAATATCTAAAACTAGTTCTTCTATTGCAACATTATATCACTAGTCAGTACGACCCTCCAATAACATCCTCGCATCCTGAATTGAGAATCCTGAAATCACTTTCCAACTCTGTCCGTCCGTCGCACCGCCAAGGAAACGTAGGATTTTTTATCGACCGTTTTCTCAGTTTTCACCCACAACAGTAAAACATCAACAACAACCACAATCAGAGCCTACGGTACTGTAGATAAGAGGCAATCGAGAAGTCCAAGAAGGGAATCAGAATAGACACATCTCACTTTCTTCATTGTGAGCAAAACTAAGCAAGAAACAGCAGAGAATCGACGTACTTGAATGGCTTTTCCTGAAACATCAAGTTGTCATTGCTAATTAATCTGAATTGAAAAAATGGCCGAATATCCACGGGGCGCAACAGTCCCGTTTCCTCGCAAGCCTTATCCTCAGCAAGTTGCCTTGATGGATACCTTGTTGGAAGCAATTGCAGAACCTTTGGCAGCAGTCAACGAAACTTCCAAATCATCGGTCAAGAGCAATAGTCCCACTTCTGTCCTTGCCAATCTCAAGAACGACAACAAGGATGATAATGACGACGAGAAGAAGTTCGAAAGCGAGACAAAAATCGTGCTGCTGGAGTCACCTACCGGTACTGGAAAGTCCTTATCGCTTGCCTGTGCAAGTCTTGCATGGCTCGAGTATCAGAAACGAAAAACGAAGAATCAAACTTCTGAGACGTCGTCAACAACACCGATCCATGATACCAAGTTGGGGGAAAAGACTGGAATAGAATCGTCTAAAGTACCAACAACCATACAAACACCAGTAGGTGCTGCAGCAGCAGCAAAGAAAGAATCGTCGTCCACTGGATTAGACTGGATTGACTCCTGGCAGCCAGATGAAAATGACGACCTGGAATTGCAACGCCAACTCGAACAGCAAAAGCGACAACAACAAGTCGAGAATGATCGGCTGGAACAATTACAAAAGGAAGTCCAAAAGATTCGGCAATCTTTTAGCCAAGAAGACGAAGACGCAACCTTGCAGCAGAACCGTCGAGTACAGTTGCTAAAGCAGGCCATTACGAAATCCAAGATTCAAGCCAGAAAGAAACAGCGTCTCCAACGACGACGAAAGAAACAGCCATTGGAATGGGAAGATGACGAAGATGACGAAAAGAATGATTTCCAGTATAAAAATCCGGATGGATCTATTCCTTGGATGCTAGAACCTCCCGTGTCCATATCCTCAGCGGATAATTCTTCCTCCACTCCGATTCGACCCAAGATTATCTATGCAGCTCGCACCCACTCCCAACTATCTCAATTTGTGTCCGAAGTCCGCAAGACTCATTGGGGAAACTCGACAAAGGTCATTGCCCTAGCCAGTCGGTCGCAAGGTATGTGCGGATACTTGACTTCCAGCGGCAATCGTGGTTTTGCCAAACGGGAATCCGATTTGACCGAAGCCTGTTTGGAGTTGCGGCAATCGAAGAAGCGTTCCACCAATTCGGTTTCCAGTTGTGCTTGTCCCCACTATCATCCCGATGCCATTGCCACTTTGGCACTCCATGCCTTGGCACATCCAACGGATGTCGAAGACTGGAGGGAAATGGGAAAGGCGACCCAGACTTGTTCGTACTATGCCTCGAGACAAGCTCTAGTTCATGCTGATTTGGTAGTCTTGCCATATTCACTCCTCGTTGCAAAAGAAACCAGAGACTCGATTGGTTTAACTCTAGAGGGCTCGTTGGTATTGGTGGACGAAGCCCATAATCTGCCCCAAGCCATTGCCAACTTGCAATCTTGCACATTGACTGCGACCACTCTAGAAGGAGCCAGTCATCAAGTGAACTCCTACACCAAAGAATACATGGATCGGCTATCCCCGCGTCATTTGCAGTTGCTGGGGCAATTGAAGCAACTTTTGCGAGGCTTTCAAGAGTGTCTTGGATCCTCCTCTTCTGACAAGAATAGTTATGGCAGAATAGCAGGAGATAGCGGTGGTACTAGCAAGGAACTCTTGTCGCCATTGCAATTTCTCTGCCGATACAAATTGGATCGAATCAATATCTTTCCATTACTCCGTTACATGGAAGAGACCAAGCTTTCGCAAAAGTTGCTTGGATTCGTTCCCACTGTGGAAGACGGCGACGATGCAAAGGACGGTGACGATAATGCTGGTCCAGGACTCTTCCATCGCGACAGCGACAAAGCGATAGAGGAGGTGAAGAGAAAAAAGAAGAAAAAGAAGACAACCAGACTATCTCCAATAGCAGTTGTCGAATCCTTCCTGTCCAAACTAAACTATGCCAATGCTGATGGCAAAATTGTGATCTGCCCCAATGAGCACAAGATTCAGTTTGTCGTTCTGAACCCGGCAGTTGCCAGTGAGGATGATCTATACCACAGGCCGCGTGCTCTTTGTTTGGTGGGAGGAACTCTACAGCCGATGGATGTCATGATACAAGAGCTGGTGCCCGACCTTTCGCAAGTGGCGTGTGACGCACAGCGAGCCATTTCGAATGGCAATTCGGGTTTCAAGAGTGACAAGCTGGTGGCATTTTCGTGTGGGCACGTGGTTCCGAAATCCAACGTACTGCTCCAAGCGATAACCAAGGTGGATGGAGTGCCACTGGATATTCGGCACAAGTCTCGGTCTTTGCCGGAAGTCATGAATGCGATTGGAAAGTCAATTCTTCGTTTGGCCAAGCAAGTACCCAACGGAATGGTGGTGTTTACAGGATCGTACCGATACGAACAGGCCCTGGTGGACTTTTGGAAGACCAAAGCACCTCACATATGGAAAGAGTTGAATTCCACCAAGCGACTCTTTCGGGAACCCAAGGACTCGAAACAGACAGACGAGGTCTTGACTTCTTTTTCCGATGCCGCATCATCGGATCGGCGTGGTGCTTTGTTGTTCTCAGTCATGGGTGGTAAACTCTCGGAAGGAATCAATTTTGCCAATGAGCTCTGTCGTTGCGTTGTTGTGATTGGGTTGCCATATCCGGATGCCAAAGATCCGTTGTTGCAAGAGAAACTAAAGCTCTTGCCAGCTTCAGCGGATGGTGGAAGTAGTGGCGGATTTTCGTATCTCCGAAGCTTGTGCTTGCGGAGTGTGAATCAATCCGTAGGGAGAGCCATTCGTCATGCAAATGATTATGCCGGCATTGTCCTCATGGACGTTCGATATACACAAGATGATGCCATTGGCCGCGGACTACCAAAATGGTTGACGGAAAGTACACCGGAGTGGAAACGGCAAGATACCACCTTGTCTTCAGCCGAAAGGAGACTAGAAGAGTTCTTTCAATTCCATACTTCTGTTAGTGAGCAATGAAGAATGCAAATACAAAAAGTAACGACAAGAAAGAGTAGGACTTTGACTCTACCCGCGGGGATGAGCCTGTTCGGATTTTGGCAATATCCAAATTATCATCCAGAGTTTCGGCAAAATTACTAAAAAGGCCTATTCTACTACGGAATTCGTGAGTGTTCCAACATACGGTAAATACTGTGCACGTACCTATAGTACTGTATTAGATCGCAGAAATTTCGCCACTGTTTGTCCGTGTATTTGGTGATACTTCCCACAATTTTATGATATAGTGTATTCCAACATCATCCACAACACATCAATATAATCAATCAAGAATGGACGGCAAATTTTTCGATCCCAAAGATAACGACAAAGTCGTCGTCCGCGAACCACAATGGATGTACATGGGCCCCATCCTTGCGGCCCCCATCGCCCATATATGTGTGACACTGTATCGAGATGCCAAGACTCCCCGACAGAAACAACTACTCTTGGGAGTAGGAGTTGTGGGAACTACCATTGCCACTTTTGGCATGAGATTATATCTCTTTAGCCATGCGGGGTATCCTGGTACCCACAATGCGGGTGCTACCCAACGAGAACGGACCGTGACACTGGAAGAAAAGAAGGCACTCATCGACGATGCATCCATCTCCAAAAAGGCAAGGGAAACGATGCGTGGATTTGCATAAAACATGCATGTCATCGATGGTCGGGTCTATGCTGGGAGTTTGTTGAAGGCATATATAAATGAAACGACATACTAGGTATTTGCTCTTCTACTTTGCGGCCATGTCCTCAAGCAACACTCTGCTTGGGATCAGTCACCATCACAACCTATTTGTGAGGTGCCGATACCTGCTATACTGACTGTCATAATAAGTTCTTGTAGAAGTACTAATATATTATGATACTACGATTGTATCACGAATAATATCAACATCATTCTCTATATACGTCAGCTTGCATCTTGATATACTAAATTTGGCAAGCTCGAGACTTTCCAAAGTCATCTAAATAATCAATAAAAACTCAAAATTCACAAACAACAAAAAACCTAAACTTGCCTTGATGGATCCCATTCGCTTCTGCTCCATGGACTCAATACAGAGACTTGTTGATTGTTGTAGTCCTATTCAGGCAACGATGACTGCTGTGTGCTATAATCTGAATGGAAACTATTTCATGACATGAGCGATCGACTTTGTTCAATTTGTTAATGGGGACATTCGAGGCTGTTCCCTGCAGACGATGATTGAGTTCGGCAGTCAACTCAATTAATGAATGCTTTTCATGCTAAGGATGATCTTTGGTCGGACCTAGTGGCTCGCGGATACTATTATAGAACCTACATGTAATGCATCGGTGCAAAGTATTATACATAAATGGATTTTAACGCTTGTAATTCATATAATACAATCCATTGTCTACCTTTCTTCTTTTGTGATTATTATTGTACATCGTACAGTCTGTCAAGAGTCCTGCCAGAGCTTGTTAGCAATTGCCACCAATGCGAAAGACGATGCCTCCGCCAATGTCACCACCATTGAAGTAGGTCGTGCCGTCAACGACCAGCTTGATGTATCCTGGAGACTCAATACCATCTCCCCACTCATCAAAGATATCCAAAGTTGCGCACTCACTGCTGTCCAGGCACGTACTGAATTGATAATCCTTGTTGTCGGCGAACCCATTGGCATTCCAAACGAGTTCTCCCGTGTCAGTGAGCAGGAATAGGTCGGTTTCGTAGCCATAGTCATCGGTCCGGAGGTTCAAAGTGATTGGCAGGCAAGAGGACGATCCACTTCCACCACCGCCAGAGCCTCCACCATCAGAACCTCCATCGCCGCCACCACCACTGCAGGATCCAAAATCAATAGACCGTTCGTATCCAAAATCGATGCCGCTCTTGGACTCAACAACTTGACCATTGACTTTCAATTCGTAGTTACCATCAGAGCTGAGCCCGTCACCGTAGTCATCAAAGATGGTCAATGTGTAACATGCCTCGGGGATGCATTTGTTCTTGCGGTAGGTTCGATTTGACTCATAGTTGGATCCGCTTGCGACCTTGCTACCGCTGGAGCGTGTGGCTTCCCAAGACGTCTCCCATCCCCATTCATCAGTGCGAATGGTGAAATCAAACTCCATCTCTCCCGCTGGACAACCACCACCACCAGAAGGCGGCGTGGGGCTTGGTGGAGTTGGAGTAGGTGGTGGTGGACTTGGCGGAGTTGGGCTGGGTGGTGGTGGGGTAGTACCTCCGCCGCAAAAGTCGGCATTGACGTTCCATTGATCACACACGACTTGTTCAATCCAACCGAATGCGCTGCTCACTCGAGCATACACTCCTGGCTTGTTTGGTCGGGCGCATCCATCTCCCCAAGATACAACACCGACTTGGACGTGTTGGTTGCCATTGCGAATGACAATTGGGCCCCCGGAGTCTCCTTGACAACTGTCCTTGCCGCCTCCATTGACTCCAGCACAGAACATATTGTCCTCGATGTCTCCGCCGTAGCTGATTGGCTGGTTGCAAGTACTGGTGGAGATGGCTTGAACCACCACATCTCTTAGGATGTTCGCCTCGTTACCATCTTCCGAGGTCGTTCCAAGTCCCAAAACAGTCAAGTCTTCGCCATTGGAAGGACGGGAAAACTGCTCGTTGATGGAAAGGACGACGTTCGAACCACCAACGGTAACATCTTGGGCTAAGCGTAGCAAGCGAAAGTCATTGGCAGTGGTAAAGTCATCGTAGTTCGGGTGTTGGACGTCGGCAGAGACGGATACGCGAACGGCATTGTTGGCAGTGGAATCGTAACGATACGCTCCAACAACAACGCTCTCCCCTTGGTAGCTACCACAATGTGCGGCAGTCAAGACAACGTTGGGGGCAATCAAGGACCCGCCGCAGCCTCCCAAGTCCACTATAGCGTTGAAGAGATGTACTGGTTAGCTTCAATGCAACCGGATACATCAGTGGTCAAGAACACTAGCCACAATTCCCACTTACCATAATACGGGAATTCTCCAGGATCAGATTGGCTACCACCGACGATGCGGTTATCTCTTCCATCGTCACCATCATGATTACTTCCTTTCTTTTCTTTCTTTTCCTTCATATTGGTCTTTCCGTCCATTGTGAAGTATGTCACCATTCCAGATTGTGACTTTCCCGCTCCCCGAGGCTGATGCTTGTGAGGAGCCTGCTTGTTTGGTTTCTCAAGAGGTTTGTTGCTTTCCACAGCAGTGCGGCGGAGATTCTGGTCGGCCGCATAGGCTGTAGTTTGTAGTAGAGCTACAACAAGGAGACTTGAATATTTCATCGTTTCGATCGGTTGCTTTCCGTTGCTACTTCGGCGCTTTTTTATTTTGTGAGGAGATTTCAGAAAGATACAATATATATCCTGACGTTTGCAAAATATGGACTACCTTACGCACAAGATCAAGATCCACAAAAAAGAGAAACGAGACCTTCCAAGTATCCCGCACCACCTGCACCGGCCGAGCCACGCAATTAAACAAAGAAAAATTCCCCGGAAGCAGAAATCTGAAATTGATCTTGATCACCTTTCAAGCGAAACAGGTTCTTTTCACAGCAAGATTTATTTGACCACGCGAAACCTTGAAAAAGGCTAGGCTAGACTTAAAAGAGAGAGAATACTCCAGGGAGAGTTGCTTTACACTGCCACGTATTTGCTATAACTAGGTATTTTCCAATCGAAGAGCGTGCAGTAGATTTGTCAACAGACGACCAGACAACTAAGACGTTGCGATTTTTCGTTGACTTTCTTTACAATTGTAAACGAAGTGGATGGCTCATGTCACGAGATGGTTTGCAGTCAGAATGCACCACACAGTCATCGTCGCCTGACCAATACTAAAAGAAACAACAAGTTTTGGGATCGAGTCGATCGAGCAAAATCAAATTGGTGTCCATCAAGGTAACTGTGATTGTTGAATACCTTCTTGCATCGCAGCCACTCGATTTATCGAATGCCAACCGGATCATTTTTACAATGCTGACATTGCAAGCGTCGAATCGTCCTAGCAAAAAGCCAATACTCAACATTTTGGCAAGCTCGAGACTTTCCAAAGTCATCTAAATAATCAATAAAAACTCAAAATTCACAAACAACAAAAAACCTAAACTTGCCTTGATGGATCCCATTCGCTTCTGCTCCATGGACTCAATACAGAGACTTGTTGATTGTTGTAGTCCTATTCAGGCAACGATGACTGCTGTGTGCTATAATCTGAATGGAAACTATTTCATGACATGAGCGATCGACTTTGTTCAATTTGTTAATGGGGACATTCGAGGCTGTTCCCTGCAGACGATGATTGAGTTCGGCAGTCAACTCAATTAATGAATGCTTTTCATGCTAAGGATGATCTTTGGTCGGACCTAGTGGCTCGCGGATACTATTATAGAACCTACATGTAATGCATCGGTGCAAAGTATTATACATAAATGGATTTTAACGCTTGTAATTCATATAATACAATCCATTGTCTACCTTTCTTCTTTTGTGATTATTATTGTACATCGTACAGTCTGTCAAGAGTCCTGCCAGAGCTTGTTAGCAATTGCCACCAATGCGAAAGACGATGCCTCCGCCAATGTCACCACCATTGAAGTAGGTCGTGCCGTCAACGACCAGCTTGATGTATCCTGGAGACTCAATACCATCTCCCCACTCATCAAAGATATCCAAAGTTGCGCACTCACTGCTGTCCAGGCACGTACTGAATTGATAATCCTTGTTGTCGGCGAACCCATTGGCATTCCAAACGAGTTCTCCCGTGTCAGTGAGCAGGAATAGGTCGGTTTCGTAGCCATAGTCATCGGTCCGGAGGTTCAAAGTGATTGGCAGGCAAGAGGACGATCCACTTCCACCACCGCCAGAGCCTCCACCATCAGAACCTCCATCGCCGCCACCACCACTGCAGGATCCAAAATCAATAGACCGTTCGTATCCAAAATCGATGCCGCTCTTGGACTCAACAACTTGACCATTGACTTTCAATTCGTAGTTACCATCAGAGCTGAGCCCGTCACCGTAGTCATCAAAGATGGTCAATGTGTAACATGCCTCGGGGATGCATTTGTTCTTGCGGTAGGTTCGATTTGACTCATAGTTGGATCCGCTTGCGACCTTGCTACCGCTGGAGCGTGTGGCTTCCCAAGACGTCTCCCATCCCCATTCATCAGTGCGAATGGTGAAATCAAACTCCATCTCTCCCGCTGGACAACCACCACCACCAGAAGGCGGCGTGGGGCTTGGTGGAGTTGGAGTAGGTGGTGGTGGACTTGGCGGAGTTGGGCTGGGTGGTGGTGGGGTAGTACCTCCGCCGCAAAAGTCGGCATTGACGTTCCATTGATCACACACGACTTGTTCAATCCAACCGAATGCGCTGCTCACTCGAGCATACACTCCTGGCTTGTTTGGTCGGGCGCATCCATCTCCCCAAGATACAACACCGACTTGGACGTGTTGGTTGCCATTGCGAATGACAATTGGGCCCCCGGAGTCTCCTTGACAACTGTCCTTGCCGCCTCCATTGACTCCAGCACAGAACATATTGTCCTCGATGTCTCCGCCGTAGCTGATTGGCTGGTTGCAAGTACTGGTGGAGATGGCTTGAACCACCACATCTCTTAGGATGTTCGCCTCGTTACCATCTTCCGAGGTCGTTCCAAGTCCCAAAACAGTCAAGTCTTCGCCATTGGAAGGACGGGAAAACTGCTCGTTGATGGAAAGGACGACGTTCGAACCACCAACGGTAACATCTTGGGCTAAGCGTAGCAAGCGAAAGTCATTGGCAGTGGTAAAGTCATCGTAGTTCGGGTGTTGGACGTCGGCAGAGACGGATACGCGAACGGCATTGTTGGCAGTGGAATCGTAACGATACGCTCCAACAACAACGCTCTCCCCTTGGTAGCTACCACAATGTGCGGCAGTCAAGACAACGTTGGGGGCAATCAAGGACCCGCCGCAGCCTCCCAAGTCCACTATAGCGTTGAAGAGATGTACTGGTTAGCTTCAATGCAACCGGATACATCAGTGGTCAAGAACACTAGCCACAATTCCCACTTACCATAATACGGGAATTCTCCAGGATCAGATTGGCTACCACCGACGATGCGGTTATCTCTTCCATCGTCACCATCATGATTACTTCCTTTCTTTTCTTTCTTTTCCTTCATATTGGTCTTTCCGTCCATTGTGAAGTATGTCACCATTCCAGATTGTGACTTTCCCGCTCCCCGAGGCTGATGCTTGTGAGGAGCCTGCTTGTTTGGTTTCTCAAGAGGTTTGTTGCTTTCCACAGCAGTGCGGCGGAGATTCTGGTCGGCCGCATAGGCTGTAGTTTGTAGTAGAGCTACAACAAGGAGACTTGAATATTTCATCGTTTCGATCGGTTGCTTTCCGTTGCTACTTCGGCGCTTTTTTATTTTGTGAGGAGATTTCAGAAAGATACAATATATATCCTGACGTTTGCAAAATATGGACTACCTTACGCACAAGATCAAGATCCACAAAAAAGAGAAACGAGACCTTCCAAGTATCCCGCACCACCTGCACCGGCCGAGCCACGCAATTAAACAAAGAAAAATTCCCCGGAAGCAGAAATCTGAAATTGATCTTGATCACCTTTCAAGCGAAACAGGTTCTTTTCACAGCAAGATTTATTTGACCACGCGAAACCTTGAAAAAGGCTAGGCTAGACTTAAAAGAGAGAGAATACTCCAGGGAGAGTTGCTTTACACTGCCACGTATTTGCTATAACTAGGTATTTTCCAATCGAAGAGCGTGCAGTAGATTTGTCAACAGACGACCAGACAACTAAGACGTTGCGATTTTTCGTTGACTTTCTTTACAATTGTAAACGAAGTGGATGGCTCATGTCACGAGATGGTTTGCAGTCAGAATGCACCACACAGTCATCGTCGCCTGACCAATACTAAAAGAAACAACAAGTTTTGGGATCGAGTCGATCGAGCAAAATCAAATTGGTGTCCATCAAGGTAACTGTGATTGTTGAATACCTTCTTGCATCGCAGCCACTCGATTTATCGAATGCCAACCGGATCATTTTTACAATGCTGACATTGCAAGCGTCGAATCGTCCTAGCAAAAAGCCAATACTCAACATTTTGGCAAGCTCGAGACTTTCCAAAGTCATCTAAATAATCAATAAAAACTCAAAATTCACAAACAACAAAAAACCTAAACTTGCCTTGATGGATCCCATTCGCTTCTGCTCCATGGACTCAATACAGAGACTTGTTGATTGTTGTAGTCCTATTCAGGCAACGATGACTGCTGTGTGCTATAATCTGAATGGAAACTATTTCATGACATGAGCGATCGACTTTGTTCAATTTGTTAATGGGGACATTCGAGGCTGTTCCCTGCAGACGATGAATATGAGTTCGGCAGCTTATAAAATTAATAGTATACACAATCATCTATTCTAATGGTACAGTTTTCCCTTGGCCAACCAACCAAACAGAAGCAGCAAAAAGGAATGGCAAAACCCAAACCAATCATTGAAACAGCCCCTTTGCATTAATGAGGATTCAAGCTATCCATGTACCCAGTAGTAACGACACGACGATTCCCATATCGTTCGTGCAAATGTCGGGCATGATCTTCCCTAGACTTGTTGCGTCTTCGTTCAAAGGCACGTTGAATCTTTTGGGCACGTTGGTTGCATCGATACTGTAGTTCGGCCGCATTTTCTGCGGTAAAGATTAGATTTCGGCTGCTGGTGCTATTCATGGTATCTTGCAACTTGCGAATGGTAGTTTCCATTGTTGTTGTTGTAGGCGGAACGGAATTTCGTGTCTTGCGGGTGGAATTGGTGGCAATGCTGTCGGCATCCGAGAAATCATACTCATCGTCTCGTGAATCATCTTCTTCGGTATCAAAGCCCCGTTCGGTCGTAAAGACATTCTTGAGGATTTCATTGCATGCCGTCTGCAATGAAAATACCGGTTCGTCCGACAAGCATGGGTAAAGTTTTTCTTGGACCGATCCAATCATGATGATACTGTTGTGATGAGCTGGGTGGGCGGATGGATGTATGGAGATGAATGCTATACAATATGCTAATGGGATCACCACAGCAAATTTATTGTATGCGAGTTGATATTATGTAACGGTAATTGTATTAGAACATTGCGAACATTCCATCAATTAATCTTGACAACCGGTTCAGTTTGAACGAACAAGGTGTTTGAATTCAAAAAGAGACTTCTTTTGAACTTTTACTTTCATGTCACATCGACCATCGGAGGCGCCGAAAAATGTGAGGAATAATTAGACCTAGACATTGGGCGGGAAGAGAATGTCCTTTTCGGATTCCGTTAGGATTCGAAAAATGTCGCACCGCTCTGTCGTTGTGTACAGCTTGTACTAGTCCCATCCTCAAATTAAATCTAAACATAATGACCGCGTCGGCCAACAAAGGTGAAATTGAAAACTTTAGCCTATGTATATTAGAGCACTTAGGTAATTTGAGGCATTTCTGCCGAGCCAGCGGCCAAAGTTTGAGATGGTATCTTTTCTTTCCGCTCAATCATTGGGAAGTTGGTCAAGATACTGATTCAATAACGGCAAGAAGGGTATGTTCCTAAGTAGATTCCATCAAAAGAACGTGTCTCGCCTAATTGGTGAGGATTAATTTTCTGTAATGGCGGCATTGGCACCACCACCACAGCTGAACCTGACACACTCCCGAATTCACAGACACATGAGATCAGTTCAGAGTGCCACCAAACAACATTCATTCATTCATTCATTCATTCAACATGAAGCCCAATAGCTTGAAAGAGAGGCTCAAGTCATCTCGGACTGAGATTAGTGAAATGGGTGACAAGAACAAACGACGACTGAAAAAATACCTTCAGGCAACTGGAAACTTGTTGTTTCAACGATCCGAACGCAGCTTGTTGACACTTCGAGAGCAGCATCAAGATCATGCCGCTCGAGAGAGTGAGGAACACCGAGTGTTGCGTACCACTGTCATTGTCGAACAAACCCCTGAACCAGGAACAGACTTGGAGGAGGAGGGAATGGAGACATCATCTGAAAATGCTGATAGCAATTCCATGGCATCCACCAAAATGAAACGAAAACGGGGCATGCTCAACAAATGGGTCTCCAAAATGATGGCCTCCAATGACAAAGCATCACCGCCACCACCACCACTGGAACAAGACGACGACGAAGACATCCAATTTGAGGGGTGCACATTGCACATTGCTTCTCTGCGCAGCACGTCTCCACTCGTGGATCGAAAACGATCGGATGGAACCGTGGACACTTCTACGAATTCGGAAAAGTGTGAAACTTTCGACGACGACGATACCACGAAAATGATGGTCGTTTCGGGTCAACGAGACTGTGCCGATACCGTGGATGCCAGTACGGTTGTGGTCAGCAACAAAAGCAATCCCGTGACTCGGATTCTTTGCAGCATGTCCGAAGAAACTACGGTGCGAGAAATCAATGCCTGGCGCAATGCGGCCTGTGACTTGTTGCTGTTGTAATGATATCTAATATACAAGGGGGGGTTAAATAAAAAGGGAAGGGGAAAGCCTCATGGCGGAACGGGACTGTATCGTATCATGGGGCAGTGGTGATTTTTGGAAAATTCCGAAATGTATAGTAGTTGAATATTATACTAGAAACACATATAATACAAGGATTGATTCACGTGCGTAGCATTAAAATCAGAAGTAGAAGGTACATTCCAAAATTGCAAAACTATCTTACTGTTATCAATCATTATCATCGTCGTGTGCACACAAAGGCTGTGATCCAAAAGGTAACAAACATGAGAGTGGTGGCCGCTCGGGCCGCATTTACCATACTTGGATAGAATTCCCATAATCCATTTCCTTCCATCAATAGACCCCCGCCATCAATGCCCACAAACTTGCCCACCACCAAACACAAGTGACCAATGGCACCAATCGCCAGTCCTTTTCGTAATGTCTGAATTGGAAGAGGAAGCAAATGCTCGTTATGATTGTTTCTTGTTCCATTGCTTCTGGCTTTGAGATAATAATCCCGCAAACTATAGGCCATGACGGCTGCCAAAAAGGTAATCCCCGAGGCGGCCCTAGAAAAACGTTTGCCCAAAATGGTAGGAATGGTGGCCGTGGGGAAACTGGTCAGTTGGGGCAGGATCGACAAGGCCAACAATCCAATGGTAGAGGCCGTGTACAAGGCAATGTCGTTGGTGTCAATGTCCTCGGGATTGTCCATAGACGGTTTCTTGTGGGCAATTACAATATAGTTATCACCACTATCCGAGCTGCCGTGCAGCAAAGACATGACAGATCCCACGGAACCCCGGAGTAACCTGGAAATCAAAAACTTTTTCTTCTTGTCTAGTGGAACAACAACCGATTCCGCCCACCTTGAAAAACACCAGAAAGCAATGGCAATCTCAATCGTTGCAATGGTATACCGGAATCCAGTGGAAAACAATTCATACCCCCGTGAAAACGTCTTGCCATAAAAGACACCGGCTCCCGTCCACAAGGACATGGTACCAATTCCCAACAACAATCGGCGGTGCAATGTCAAATCGTTTCCATTGTTTTGTTCCAGAGCGGTAAAAGCTGCCACCATGATTGGAACTTGAAAGGCGACTGCTTGCGAAAATGTCAAGATATCATGTCGTAAGGGAAGGGTGGCGGCAACCGCTGGATTGGGATGAGGCGTCATGAGGGCGATCCAGGATGCGTAAAGCCAGGAAAGTAAGGAACCGATCAGTGCCACGTCGCTGGAAACATTGGAAGAATAGTATTCGACTGACGAGGATGATGATGATGAATCGGCAGCGTTGAAAGTTCCATCAGAGCCTTGTAATCCTTTCATAGTGCCCCATACCCGAGAGGCAATCATTTGGTAGGCATTTGTCTCGTTCTTTTTCACAATGTCGAAATTGATTCCAGAAAGAAGATTCTTGGGCAAGGAGAATGATTTCCCTTCAGCGAGTGACTTTTTCCAGTCAAGCGCTTGTACATGGCCACCAGCACCACATATGAGTACAAGGAATAAAGGGGATGCAATTCTCGGTCTACGCCGACTGGATGGTGATGCCCTCATCATGCTGGCATAATAAGTGAAAGTGAAATGTGAATTCTGAAATGTGAATTCTGAAATGTGTGTGCAACACAGTCGTCAGTTGGTGTCTGGTCGCTTGTCCGATATGTTGATCCAACGAGTCAGTCGACTCAGCTGTCATTAAAACAGAGCAGATATAAGAGCAGATACTGTACTGTAGAGTATTCATTCAGTATCTTGTTCTGCTTGTTTTGAACACACTTCATAAGCCTCTAGTACTGCTTGCAAATCAATCCTTGTGGATTCAACGGCAAGTCCATTGGAGGGTCGCAAATGGCTCACTGAACTGCCAGTTCCGTGGGAAGTACTAGTAGTACTATCGACGAGAAATGTAGCTAGTAGTGACTGGCAGTCTGGGCATTGATCCCTTCGTTTCTCCAATGCAGTACGGACTCGATCATCGTCCCGGATATTTGAAATGACTTTGTATACAAACATGTTGTTCAGAAGGTAGGCATTTGTGGTCTGGGCAAACATGTCGCGAAGGACGTCCCAAACAAGGGTATCCAAGTCCAAAAAACCATGTCCAAGGTCTTCAATCATGGTATGGATAGCTTGACGATAGCAATTATCGCGTTCATCTGTTGCCAGTAGCACTACAACCTTCCCACGAGGAGCAAAGCCTGCGAAAGAACAAGACAAGAACTCGTTCATTTTCGCAAGGGACGTGTCGCATACATCCTTCGTGTCACCTCTGCGAATGTGAAGTGGTACAAAGTGGCTGGAATCCGGATACTGTTCCTGTAGAAACTGGACAATTCTATTTTTCACTTGATGCGAGGCGGTGGACTTCAAGTGTTCCGTGTACGGGCAAACCCCGTCCTTTTCCATTGTATGGTTTCTCCACTTGTCAAAAGCATCGTAGTAGTGGTACAAGACTGGATACACTTCCCAAATGAAACCCTTCTTGAGTGGTTTGTCATGTTGCTGTTGCTCAGTGACAAAGTCATCCAGTCGTTTCACTTGATTCTCAAATACTTTTTCTAGGTTGCTGCCATGGTCATTGAATCGCAATCGGAGCCAGCTGGAGTACTTTGGATCATCCTTGAAGTATTCATTCAAGTGAAAGGCTTCTTGATCGATAGTAGTGGTAGTACTACTATCATCATGATAATATTCGTCCACTGGATCCAACTCATAGGTAACTAAAACACTGGAATTGTCATCTAGGAACCAAATGTCTTCCATTTCCGCCCAACTAAGATTCTTTGGGACTGGTTGGTCGTCATTGTGAAAGCTTGCCAACTGATGAGATGTGTGTTAAGAAAATAAGTATAGTTAGATGCTGAATGTCCATGAATTCGTTCACAATGAGTTGTGTGGCGTATGAATTTGTACATTACCATGGTGTAAGGTGGAGGAGCGTAGAGCTTGGCACACAGATAAGCTGCCAAAAGTGCTAGCCTGCGAAAGACAAAGAGTCGATCCCCAAGTCCAGCCTGTTCGTAGTGATCCAAGAGTATGATATTGTAATGTTTGTCTTGTGGATGGCACTTTCTTCTTAAACATTCCTCTTCATTGTGCTCAGATGATGACATTCGAATCGTGCTGCTGCCGTTGCTGTCGTTCCTGTTGCTTGGAATGGCACTGGTTCTTGGAACACTTTGCATGGTAGTGTCGATAGCTTTGCTGACTGAGGCTGAACCATCCTCCTCTTCTGTAGACGACGACAGGCGATAACGATTCGATACTGCTCTGACGGGGGTCCTTTGTCGTTGGGATGGTAACACTGCTGGGGTAAAAAAGACTAGATTGACTTGATGATGAAAGATTGACAAAGCGCCAACCATCAGCACCAAATAGAGTGTCTTGGAATATTTCTGTTGCTTTTCGTCTTTGTCATAGTCATCATTAGAATCATCATGATTTTCCTTTAGCATGTCGCTTTTCTACATGAGACAGTGTCAGTGATGGTGATGATCCTGGGTAGTGTGGTGGATGAGGATATTGGTCTCTCTATGGAGAAAGAAACAACAAAATGGTGGACGGCGGCATTATCATTTTCATTTCAAAATTGGACAACAACTGACTCCTCCGACTCTATTTTAAAAAAAGACTACAACTGAAACGGTATTTCTGAATATGCCGGTATGCGTATCAGTAGTGTAGTGTAGATCTTCTAAAAGTAAGCCATTACATATATATTATAACAAATATGCGTGTTTCAATCTAATATTCGCTTACAAAACATTTCACGCAATACGAGAAGTGCATTCCACTAGCTTGAAAAAAGACACTCCTGAAAATAACATCCATAGGTGAATTCATTTATTGTCAACAACAACAACGTCGCTTCCCTCAGCTTGATCATTGTTCTTGCCATTTCATCATCACCAGTTTATCAATTTTTATGGCTTCAATCAATCAATCAATCAATATTCTGATTTCACATTCTTCTAAAATCTGGCTATAGGCTCATCCACGATAGGATTGCTTGAAGTCGTCCGTGGACAATTCATCAAAGTTACGATTCAATCCAGGAGATCGATCGTGATCGACTGCACTCGTTCCCTTTCTTCGTTCTTCCCCCGTCCATCCCGCTTGGGCAAAGACGTCCATGTCGACGTCAGAATTCATGTCGGATTCGGCACCAAATTCGACGCGAGACGAAGGACGAGGAGGAGGACGAGAAGCGGCAGCCCTGGTGGGTTCCGGGCGTGGTGGCGGAGGTGGCGGTGGAGGATTGGACCGGGCAAACTCTAGTCTGGTCACCAAACTTTCCTTGTCAAAGCAGTCACCGAATCCAACTCGAAGTGTTTTGAGTTCGGCCTTGATTTCTGCAACCCGCATGGATTGAGGATCTCTCGCAAAGAGTGTAGTAGTAGTAGTAGTCGTAGTGCATGATGATGCTGATCTTGAGTATGGAGTAAAGGCTGCAACATCTTGTGTCGTCAAGAGTAGCAAGGCAGCCATGAGCATGGTATTACGATTGGAAGTTTTCATGCTGTTTGTAATTGAATTTCTGTGGTGGTTTGCTTGTTCTTGCTTGGAAGGTTTTACAATGAATGCTGTGCTTGCAATACTTGTCTATCAGATGATGATCAAGGATTTATGGGTGAACCAATGAATCAATCAATCAATCAATCTTCTGTCAATAGATGAATGAATGAATATGTATGTGCTGTGCATACAGGATGTGCTGACCTTTCTCACTGTCATCTGGTTTTCGGTTGACGTTCTTGGAAATGTACCAAGGTTGTACATACGAGGTTAGAATTTGAATTTTCCAGTTTTAGTCCGACAAGTCATTCGATCCATTCGATCGACGCGCCTTCATCCTTCAAACTCTTCTCTTTTCTGTTTGGTATTCATAATGCATCAGCAAGATGACAGGAAAGGAACGCTTTTTCCGATGCTAGTTGTGTTTTGGTAGAAGTGGGAAAATGGCAAAAGCAGCAAATGTAAATACCGGTAGGACTACACAGAAGCGCGTCGTTGATTTTAAAATTGTAGTGTTGCAATACATAGCATGAGTGACTTCTATGGCAATTTTAAGTTTCTAATAATAATGATTGATTCAATAGTCTTTATTTTCTTGCTTGTTTTATACGTATCTATCTCGGACAAAAGAATCAATCAATCAGTCATACCTTTTCTTTTTCCCTATGCTACAGTACTGCATGCTGATGATGATGATGACAAAGTACCACAAACATAGACACACAAAACAACAAACATTTTATATTTCATATGGTGCACTGCTGGAACATATTGCTTATATTCACGCTCACAGGCTTAGATGGCTTACTCCTTCTTGGGCTTGACAAAATTGTCAATGATGGAATAGAGGAAGACTCCACCAATTCCGATCGAGCAACCAATCAACTTGATGGGATCCAAGGATTCACCAAGGACAAGGGCGACACCCACAATGACAATGACACGCTTGGCGGTATTGGCAACGGATTGAGTGACGGCTCCGGTCTTCTTGAGGGTCATGGTAGCAACTTCGTTGTATCCATAGAACCAAAGTCCAGAGGCCATGAGGTTCTTCCAGACGGCAGGAGACGACTTGGCAATTTCGCAAAATTCTCCGAAACGGGATCCTTCCTTGGCAATCAAGACTGGGATACTAAGCAAGAATCCCATGATGGAAGTAATGGCGAACTGGTTACCAACCGATCCAATGCGGTCCTTGAGTCCTGGAGTTTCCATGAGCTTCTTGTTTTCGTTACCACGGACGGCAGCGAACATGTTGGCAATGCAGGCAGAGACAAGAGCGGAAACAGCAAAGTCAAGTTCCTTGACAGACGCCAAGATGACACCACCAATGACAATGGGGAGACACAACCACTTGGCCTTGGAGACCTTCTTTCCGTAGACGTATTGGGAGAGGACGGCGGCAAAGGCGGGTTCGGATGCCTTGACGATTTGGGCAAAGGAGACGGCTCCCATTCCCATGGCAAAGACAGAGGCAGAGTGTGCTCCCATGAAGCAAAAGGCAACGGGAAGCATCTTCTTGAGATCCTCGAGGGTGACCTTGGGTCTTTGACGAGCATCAGGGGCCAACCATAGGAAAAGTCCATAAATGGAACCAACACCCAATTGCAGAGAGGAAATGGTCATTGGGAAACCGGTCTTTCCACCAGCAGCATTAAGAGCAAGCTTGTTGGTGATGTTGTAATAGTAGTTTCCGAGGTACCAAAGGGCAAAGTAGATGATGAGGCCAAAGTCAATGGGGGCTCCCTTTTTGGCGACTTCGGCGGCTCCTCCACGGACCTCCATAGCATCTCCTTCAGCAGAAAGGGACTGCAGGAAGAGAAAAACGAACGAGAGAAATCATGGTGAGATTTTGATTTTCAAGTTGACATGATATTGTTGTTGACATGGTTGACCCTAGGGTTCTCAGGAGATGGGCGTCGCAATCAGATGGTTTTGATATTTTGGTACTTCAATCCACGTAGAATTGGCGTAGAAATGGAAAAGATCGGCATCTGAAACATTCAACAGGGGAGTTTCAGGTGCCATGGTGGTGTGTGTTGGAGACCCAAATCACTCCACAGTTACTCCTTGAAACCTTCCGCCAATCCTACACCGATATACCATCCTCCTCCATCCAAACCACCATTTCTTTCTATGATGAAACAAACTTACAACAGAGTTCATGCGGTTTCCTTGGACATCAATCGCTTGAACCAAATTGGCATTTGGAGCCTTGGCGACAAATGTTTGTTGAGTCTTGGAGAGCATGTTCTTGGCTCCGCCATTGAGGCCGAATGCCGAAGCGGCAGTGGCAAATAGGACACACAAAGGAAGGGAAAGAGAGAACTTCATGCTTGATTTGAATTGCTATTATTATTGTTCAAAAAAAGGATTCGACAATAGTGCGTCCTCCCCGATGTCAGCCAACACATCATCCGGCCATTCTCGAAAGATCCGAAAAAAATTTCCATCTGATTCCGGCCAATCAAATGGCGGGAAAGGGCTCGCCAACCACAGATCCTGTACGTCGTACGACCGACCACGTCAGCGTCGTTAACTGAGCGTTACAACCATCATTTATGTACCGGTATGTTACAACAACGGTATTTGCTTACGAAGGACAGACAGGATCGGATTTTTTTCCTCATTTTGATTTTTGAGACAGAACTTTTGTGACGCTTTACCTTTTATTTCGATGATTGCACCTCCAGAATGAATGAATGAATGGGAGTATACATCACAGAACGATGGACTCCCACAAAAGAAGCCCTTTCCGGTATGCATGAGATTGCATGGTGAACTTTTGGAATTTCCACGATCTATCATGGATGGATGCTGTTAACGAAAACAGCAAACAACGGATGAAACACACACGACACGCACAAACTACTACTGGAAGAAGTGCGTATCCACGATGAGGATGTGGATCCACACACTCAACGGATCGATTCCCTTTTGTCGTTGTTTCAGATATATTCCACATCCACCAATCTGTAACGGCAAGAGAGAAAGAGATTCTTGGTGGTTTCCATCTTTTTTTTCCCTTCACTTCTTCTTTCATCTTTGGAAACAAATTGAAACAACAAAGATATTATGAAGTGGAATTGCAATGGTAGTTCGATCACCACCTCCATAAGTCTGACAGCGGGACTACTACTACTACTACTTTTACAAAAACCAACTGTGGTTCAAGGTCGTGCGGCTCCACCAGCGGAAGTGGACAAACCATTCCTAACGGAGCCCTGTCTTGCCGTGGTGGAAGAATTTGATTACGAACCAAATCTGGACATTTCCAATAGTCAAGACGATGCCAGTGGTGTTGCGAGTGAAGACGAATCCTTGCTGTACTGCGAAACTCCAGGAGGGTACTTTTACAAGGTTCCCACCTCGGATCCATCATGGGTCGAAACCATGGTGCAAGGAGGCCAATTGATTAGTGGGGTGACGGAATTGGAATTGCCTCCAGATACCTTGGTCAATGAACATTTGGGGACCTTGGAATGGAAAAACAACAACGATCATGACAACAACAGTACTAATACTAGTAGTAGCAGCGATACCATGGTGGTAATGACACCTGGGCTGGTGGACCATGGCAGCACCAATGAAAGACGAACTCGACGACGACGATTGGCTGAAGTGACTGGAACCAAGACGGTCTTGACGGTGCGAATCATTGCCACGGACCAACAAAATACCTTTGATGAAGCCACCCTCCGACAGGAAGTATTTGGTACCGACAATACCAATCTCAAGACTCAATTTGACAAGTGCTCCTTTGGTCAATTGACCTTTGTTGCGACCGATGACCGCAGTGGTCAGACCGTGTCAATTGTGGGCGGTGTCGTCACGGTGACGGTGGATCATTCGACTGTCGAAGGGGATTCCGTCTTGAGGAATGCCGTAACGACCAAGCTCAAGCAAGAATTTGGAGTATCGAGTCCCTCTGATTTGGCAGATCATGTCATGTACTGCATGCCATCGAGGGCGATGGTGGGCATTGCCTATGCCTACATTAATTCGTGGCTATCTGTCTACAAGGATGTATGGGGGCTCTACGTGTCTGCTCAAATGCACGAAATAGGGGTAAGTTTCTTTGTCGTGCTATTTATTGGTCTGGAATGGACCTTGTATTGTGATTCATGTGAAAGCTTACGTTCGTTTCACTTGCGTCTTGTTTTTCTATTGGCATTCTGGGTCGACTTTAGCACAACTTGAATCTTGGTAGGTTCAAATCTTAGTCCTTTTGCTCGCTTCCTCCTTTCTTTCTTTCCCCTGTACTAACCCTTTCTTCTCGACTCACTCAGCTCATTCCACTGACCTCAAATTCCTATCCCATGATAGGGCACGAAGTGAATATGATGATAAAACGGGCTTGGTACGTATCCAAAAGTTGTTCTGGCTCTTATTGGGAAACAATACATGCATGGACAGGTTTCTGACCGATAGCTTGTTCTATGTTATTAGATGGGCTACTCGTACAATGACAAGGAGTTTCCGAAAATGTGTTTTAATCCTGCCAAGTCTTGGCAACTGAAATGGTACGCGAATAAGCAAGCAACCTACACACCAACCTGTGGAGAGGTCACTATGAAGATTGGGAGCATTATTGACTATGACGAAAGCCAAGTGACGACCGTCTTGCTGCAAATCAGCCAGACCACTGAAAGTTTGGACTATTACTTGAGCTACAATGCACGGGCTTTATTCAATCACGAGACACAAGAGGGAGGGAACAAGGTTGTCATTGACGCACAAGGAGGCAATGGGGACAGTTTTTCAAAGTCGACATTGGAGGCTAGGCTCGAAGTTGGTGAATCATTTGAAATGATAGATTTCAACGGTGTTGCTGGTGACACTGTCGTTTTGCGCTTTTTGGAACGAGGAGGATTCAATAGTCGTGAGGCGACGATAAGCATTGGTTGGATTCCCAAAGAGTCGTCTATTTGTGCAACTGATGCTCCAACCAACGCACCTTTTCCCCGAATGACAATGGGTCCAACTCGATTACCAACTCGATCGCCGACCCGAATTCCATCGGCTTGGCCCACACGTGGACCTTCTGCATCTCCGACCATGAGGCCAACAACATTTCCAACGTCTCGCCCGTCAGCACAACCTACCCGAATGCCGTCGATAAAGCCGACGTCCAGGCCATCTATCACCGCCTCAAACTCACCTACTACGAAACCGTCCATTTTAGCATCCGATACTCCCACGGCAGATCCCACTATGGGCCCAACTACTCTCTCCCCTACATCACGGCCTACAATGGAAGCAACTGAAAAGCCAACACGTCTCCCCAGTGAGATTCCAACACCGAATCCGACTTTCACGCCATCGACGGGTCCATCGGTCAGTCCAACATCGAATCCGTCAATCGGTCCAACATTCGGTCCAACATTCAATCCAACCATCCTCCCGACGACAAAGCCCACTTTCAATCCTAGTTTGATTCCAACACCCATTCCTTCGTTGTCATTGTCGGACAATCCCAGTATTCATCCCAGCAGAGTTCCATCTTCAATTCCAACCAAGAGTCCCACTTTGTTGCCAACGATGGTCCCATCGGAAGATCCAACGACAAACCTGACGGATATGCCGACAAAAATGCCAACCAATAATCCGACGTTGGCGCCAACTATCATGCCATCAAACAGTCGCAGTCAAAGTCCGACTTCCGAACCAACAGAGGACGTCTCAAATGTGCCGACAACGATACCGACGACATCACCAACTGATGCACCCACTACAAAGGTGACGGTACCCCCTTCCGATAATCCTACCGAAGATCCAACATTAAAACCAACGCCGATGGAATCTGATGCTCCCACAAAGGAACCAACACCGCAGCCAACCATTTTACCGTCAGGAATTCCAACCCTCCAACCGACTATCGCTCCATCTGACAATCCCACCAAGGATCCAACTGTCACACCGACAGCAATGCCATCCAGACAGCCAACTTTGTTGCCGACTGCGGCCCCGTCGGATTTCCCAACACCATTTCCAACACCAAGGCCTTCATCATCCATGCCATCGCGAGAGCCGACGAATAGTCCGTCTTTTCTGCCATCTGACAATCCCACCAAGGATCCAACTGTCACACCGACAGCAATGCCATCCAGACAGCCAACTCTGTTGCCGACTGCGGCCCCGTCGGATTTCCCAACGCCATTTCCAACACCAAGGCCTACATCATCCATGCCATCGCGAGAGCCGACGAATAGTCCGTCTTTTCTGCCAACGTCAAAGCCCAGCTTGAATCCATCACTTGGGCCAACCGCTTCACCCACCCTATCTCCGTCTATCAATCCTACGTTCAAGCCGTCCATGATACCAACAGCACAGCCACAAGCTCTAGTGATTACAAACCCCGATTGTCGAAGATGGTATTGGTTCATGATTGTTGAGTGCAAAAAGAATCAAGGCATTCGACCCCAAGGCATCTAGATGATACCTTTGGCCATTTGTCTACCTATATCTGACTGATCTATGAATGAATGGATGAATGGATGAATGGATGGATGAATCAATTCATGGCACATGGCGAAACGTGTAAAACCGATTTATATAACACGATACAATATATTTGCTACAATTCCTCCTCTACCTCTTCGCTTTCATGATGAATCATTAGTACCTGTTCCATATAACGGTAGTTGTACGCATCCTTCAGACTATCGAGTTTGTCATTGAATTTTAGTACCAATGCGTCGTAGGCTTGTTGAATTTTGGCCACCTGTTCGTCAAAGTCATCTTCCGCAGCTTTCACTTGGTCCTCCACTGTGGTCATGACTTCTTCCAAGTCTTCCTTTGACATTTCTAGTAACGATTGAATGACTTTTAGTTCCTCCTTGGTACAGTGATCTTGATTGGAGACGGAACAAATAGGTTTGGAGAGTTTTTGTTGGGCAAAAGCTGACATGCTATCATAATCCTTGTCTCCGTCGTAAGTATCGGCATTCATGGGATCTCCATAAATCAATGTCGGGAAGGTTTGAACTTCGTATTCTTCGCATAAAAGTTTGCCAGTGTCCGAGGTACAATCGACTTCACCCACAATGGTATGTTCATGGTCCTTGAAATCATTTCCCAAACGTTCCCAATCGTCGGCCATGGCTCTGCATTTGGAACACCAGGGTGCATAAAACTTGAGGAAGATGTTCTTGCCTTCCGTGACGCTAAGAAAGTTTTCTGTTGTCAGGAGATGGACATTTTGACCAAATGTAGCTTGAAGGGTACATGATAAGACCAACAGAGCTACTAGTATTTGAAGATTGGAGCTTTTTTGCCTTATTGTCATGTTGCCGTTTGTGGTTTTGGGTTGGTAATATATTAGTTTTCGGGTTTTTAGTTTTTCAGCATTGTCGACTGACTCGTTCGACCAACGTGACCGTGACGAAAACCACGTCACAAAACAGGACAAAGAACGGACCACGCGGCATTTTTTGAATGAGGGCATCGTGCACGCACACACAAAAACACGAACTATTCTTGTCGTTGTCGTGAATTTTGTATATATTTTGGGGTCATCACCTACAGTAATTTGAAATAGTATGCTTGTGGCATTGGTAGACTCCATGATGGAGCAATTCAGCGTTAGCTACATCACAGTTCTTGCTACGGGATGCGTGACAGCGTTGACATTGGCAGGGCTTTTGTATGTGAAACAAGAATCTCAAAACAGGTAAATAAGTCAAGATTATCTCTCTCTCTCTCTCCTATAAAAAAACTATTTTCATGTTTCACTAACACGCTGTTCATGACTCACAATCTTCTCCTTGCCTCGTTTATACCTTAGACAATCACTGACAGGGAACGCAACCGAGTCAGGTTCTGAGAAGAAGGTTTCAATTGATAAGACGGTAAGTTGAAATTAGTTTTTGTTTCCCTGATGGATCCAGAAAGCATGTACTATGTACTGTATTATACTGTATTGTACTGTATTGTACTGTATCATTTATTGATTCATTTATTGATTCATTTATTTGTTTATTATTCATTCTCCCTTTAGAAATTCCCCGGAGGTCACATTACGATATATTATGCGACTCAGACTGGAACGGCAGAGTCCTTTGCCCAACAATTGGAGCGAGAAGGTGTGGAGCAAGGATTCCATATCCATGTGGAGGACATGGACGAGACTTGCTTGGAACAGCTTACCGCCCACTCTGCCTTTGGTGACAATGATGATGACTTGGGAACCAGCAGGGCCATCATCTTGGCGGCCACGTATGGAGAGGGAGAGCCCACTGACAACTCAACTGAAATGGTGAACGAGATAAAAGAGTCTCTGGAAGACGAGAGCAAGATGACTGTCTTGGAAGGACTGGAATATTGCGTATTTGGTTTGGGAAATCGTCAATACGAGCACTACAATGCCATGGGCAAGTTTTTTGATTCCTCATTGGAGACCTTTGGTGCAAAGCGAATCATTCCAATCGGTATGGGTGACGATGATAATGATCTGGAGGGAGACTTTGAAAGCTGGAAGGATCAAATGTGGGTCGAATTGCGAAAGAGATACTGCCGAGGTGCTGCACTTCCAGTCAAGAAGGACAATGACGAATTCAAGATCCCAGACTGCGAATACAAGATTCAATACCACAGTGCTGGTACACCTGCTGAAAAATATATTGGACTAGACAAGGTACATGGATCCAGCAAGCCGTACTTTACATCCGTGGATTGTCCAGTATTGACCAGCCGAGAACTACGCTCGTCCGAAGATGGTGGATCTACTGTACACATGGAGATTGATATTGCCAACAAGCTCGAATATCAAACAGCTGATAACTTGGGAGTGCTTCCCTTGAATGATGATGCCATTGTCGCGTCGGTCGCAAAGTCTTTGGGATATGATTTGAATGCTGTCTTCTCACTTTCCGCCGCTGGAAATCATGAATGGCATGGTGCTCCCTTTCCCATGCCGATTTCGATCCGCGAATGTTTGACACGATACTTGGATTTGACATCGGCCCCACGTCGATCCGATTTGAAGCATTTGATTCATTATGCCAAGGACCCAATCGACCGAAAGGCACTGCAACGACTAAGCTCCAAAGAGGGAAAGAAGGAATACAAAGAAAAGATTATGGATGGATACGTTGGCATGGTCGATTTGCTGAAGCTTTGTCCTTCTCTTTCGATTCCCTTGGAGCATTTGATTAGCGTCTGTCACTTCCTTTTGCCTCGGTTCTACACCATCGCATCATCCTCTTTGGAGTTCCCGAATCAAGTGCACTTGACCGTTTCTGTCACACAAGCAAAGCGCAAGGATGGGTCCACCTTTAATGGGGTCTGTTCAACTCATTTAGCCGATGCCAAACCAACATCAGCGAATGGGACAGTGAGAGTTTTCAGTCGACCGTCCACATTTCGTCTACCAGAGAATTCTTCCAAACCAATCATTATGATTGGGCCAGGCACAGGCATTGCACCAATGAGAGCCTTATTGCAAGAACGCAGATACCAACGCGATGTTCAAAAGAAGAGCATAGGTCCAAATATACTGTACTTTGGGTGCAAGAAGAGAAGTTTGGATTACTTGTACCGGGATGAATTGGAAGCCATGCAGAAGGACAATGTTCTAGACAACTTACACCTTGCATTCTCGAGAGAAGAGAAGCAAAAAGTATATGTGCAACACTTGCTGACAAACAATGCTCAAGATACATGGGAAATGGTAGACAAGAAGGGCGCATCCATCTACGTCTGTGGGGGTGTTCGAATGGGGCATGATGTTACAGAAGCTCTCACCGATATTGCTGTGTCGCAAGGATCCATGTCAGCCCAGCAGGCCAAAGACTACATGGCAAAACTAGCATCGGATGGTCGGTTTGTCCAAGAACTTTGGGCATAACGAGGATACAAATTAGTTAATTTTCGCTCGTGATCTAAACGGATTCATTCTAAGAAAGTCAAATCATCGATTGCGCTTCGATGCTCGTTACTGTGGGTGCAATGAATGATCATTGTCACTTCGTCGTTGGAATTTGGATGACGCGCACGTGACGAAAATCGTCACATATACGGTACACACGTGTACACGGGCGTACATTCCTTATTGTTGGCGATTGGATTGTGTCAGAACGACATCCACAAGACAGTTGTGTTCGTTTTTAACACATGCTATTTCTGTACGTATACGTTCAACGTACTGTACGCAAAATTCACAATCGCCAATCACTATACGTAAAAACCCATATATGCAAACCTACAGACCCCATGGTACGTGTATCGGCACGTGTACCGTGCGAGCACCTCGAAAGCGTTCCGAACCAACGGAAGCACTCCGACTCACTCATTGATCGCCAAATCCACCGTACCTCTCATCACTCATACTCTCACAAAAACACTTTGACCAGACTTTTATACCAAGCTCTCAACAAAACCAAATCAATAAATTCAAAATGAAGTCCTTCTCTATCATCATCGCCCTCTTCGCCGTCGCCGCCAAGGCCGACAACAGACTTCTTCAAACTGCCGCCCCTGTCGCTGTCCCAGTTGCCGTTGTCCCAGTTGCCGTCCCAGTTGCAGCAGCTGGTTCTTCTTCCGGATCTTCCGTCAAGAGTGCTTCTTCTTCCAAGTCCTCTTCTCGCAGAAAGCTTCAAACTGCCGCCCCTGTTGCAGTTCCAGTTGCCGTTGTCCCAGTTGCCGTTGTCCCAGTTGCAGCCGCTGGTTCTTCTTCTTCTTCCGGATCTTCCGTCAAGAGTGCTTCTTCTTCCAAGTCTTCTCGAAGAACGCTGTAAGCTGGATTGGAAAGAAACAAAAAGATATTCTCTTATTCAAGCAAAGATGCGGCCTCCACATACGACCCGGGAGATGAGACAGCATACCCTAGTCGATCTACGCAGATTCGACATGACACCATGATTCAAGAATTCAAATTTAGACTATAAAATGTGTAAGATCAAACATCCGATCATTCCTCTGTCGTCTCTTGTAGTGTACCTGTACTTCTTTCTATATAGTAGATGGATAATTGATATAGAAGCTTCGAAGAACACCAGTCGTCGATGTGCAATCGTATAACATCAGATAACATCAGCAGGTATTTTCCTTTCCATTCATCGGATGAAGCATCCTGGTTCTCCCAGAGCCAGTACATGTAGCAAAATATGAGGCCGAGAGAGGAAGTGCGATTGTGACAGTGAAGGTCGGCTACAAATCCTGTTTCAAACTTTTAATACAAACCTTTGTATAAATGGTATCGACAAAGTGTATCCAACAGTCTGACTCCTGTGACACAGACGATCAGCATACTACTGATTGGAATTAGGCAGAGGCACAATGGAAAAACACAAGCCTTGATACTTGCAAAATATGTACTTTGATTAAGCAGTCAATCGTCCTATATGTCAATTTCTGTAAAACAATCAGGATGATTAAGTGTAGGACCTACGTATAATTTTTGGTCGTCTAAATGATTGATTTATTCAGTTTCTCGTCTATTGTCACATGTCACAAATGGCAGAAGATTGATATGCTTCACCTCGCATCTCTCTTTTGATATGCTTTATCGGGCATTTCTCTTTTGATTCCTTGTTCTCTCGGTTCCAATCAAATTACAGTCTTCGGCTAGACGACTTGGAACTGCTTGCGGACTTTACAGATGATCCAGTAGTCGGGGTTGTCATCACGGGAGTGACAACGGCAACTGGAACTGCGACAGGGGCGGCAGTTTGGAGCTTTCTGCGAGAAGAAGAAGACTTGGAAGAAGATGCACTCTTGACGGAAGATCCAGTCGTTGGGGTGGCCATGGTTGGGGTCATGACTGTCATCACGGGGACGGCGACAGGGGCGGCAGTCTGAAGAAGTCTGCTATCTGCCTTGGCGGCGACAGCGAAGAGGGCGGCGATAAGGATGGAGAAGGACTTCATGGTGAATTTATTGAATGTGAGCGAAATTTGGTTGCAAATAATATTGTGAGAGGATGAGTGGAATGATTGAATATCAACGGCACCGGTAGCATCCGTTGAAATCGATGTGGCAAAAGATTTCGCGAACGAATGAATTCAATCGGAGAGTCGTTCCGGCGCAGGTTTTAGAGGTCGGATTACGACGGACATAGACTTTTCCACTAGCAAATACAGGCAAGGTGCACGAAGGGAGAAAGGCAACGTGCATTTCGTGAGAAGCTTCGTAACCTTGTGTGCACGATAATATCCAAATCCCGAGAGCAGCACCATGCGATGCATTGCTATTGCAAATCCGATAATTTCATACGTAGTTTTATCACACTGGCTTGTCACAGCTCTGAGCGAAGTGAGTATGCTAGTATCGTCGTTATCCTCGATAGTCTCATTCATCCCCACCGGGTTATCATCCAAATGATATTTTGCTTGTTAATGGATAGGAGTGTACTGCATCGGTGGTGGCAATCAATCAATCTGCTCTGAGGTTCGGGCAACGTGCACGATTCCAATACAAGGGCGTAGTAGGAGATGCACTGTTGCTCGCTGCTTAGCCAGAAAGAAGCATAGTCGGCATGATGATGCCAAGATTTCAAAAATCCACTAATAGCAATTGAAAGCAATCCAGCTGCTATATCTTATTACAAGCTAATACATTTTCAGGTATCTCTTTCTTTCAGGCATACAGTGTCCATCCCAGCCATTCTGGGATCCAACCATGCCGAGTCTACGAAGACCGGCTGTGTCACGTACGTGCTGACAGTGCTAAGCTTTTTGGCTTTCTTCTTACTTCACACTTCATTCGTTATCTCCATTTGTCTTCCAATCCAGCAGCTTACAACGTTCGTCGAGAAGACTTGGAAGAAGAAGCACTCTTGACGGAAGATCCGGAAGAAGAAGAACCAGCGGCTGCAACTGGGACAACGGCAACTGGGACAACGGCAACTGGAACTGCAACAGGGGCGGCAGTTTGAAGCTTTCTGCGAGAAGAGGACTTGGAAGAAGATGCACTCTTGACGGAAGATCCGGAAGAAGAACCAGCTGCTGCAACTGGGACGGCGACTGGGACAACAGCAACTGGGACAGCGACGGGAGCGGCAGTCTGAAGAAGTCTGTTGTCGGCCTTGGCGGCAACGGCGAAGAGGGTGGCGATAAGAATAGAGAAGGACTTCATTTTGAATGTATTGAGTGTGTTTGTTGAAAGCTTGTTGCAAATCTGGATTGTGAGAGGAAATTCGAACGATCAAAACACCGCCAAAGGCTCGCAGAAAAGGTGACGGTCTCGTGATGAGACCACGTGCGCGCGCATGCCATGCCGTGATGGTACTTTTCCAGGGTATTTTCCGTACTTTTACACGCATACCAAGCTAGATAAATATCAATCGGTCAAAATCGCCAAACCTTCAGTCCCTCACAAATTCTTGCGTTTCCACAGAGAAGCACTCCGTCTAGTACCCAGCCATCGCCAAATCATCATATTTCCGACGACAATTTGTCTCACAATCCCGAATTGCACAAAGTTTTTATCAAACATACTCAATACTATCACAATGAAGTCCTTCTCTATCATCATCGCCCTCTTCGCCGTCGCCGCCAAGGCCGACAACAGACTTCTTCAGACTGCCGCTCCCGTCGCTGTCCCAGTTGCCGTTGTCCCAGTCGCCGTCCCAGTTGCAGCAGCTGGTTCTTCTTCCGGATCTTCCGTCAAGAGTGCATCTTCTTCCAAGTCCTCTTCGCGCAGAAAGCTTCAAACTGCTGCCCCTGTTGCAGTTCCAGTTGCCGTTGTCCCAGTTGCCGTTGTCCCAGTTGCAGCCGCTGGTTCTTCTTCTTCTTCCGGATCTTCCGTCAAGAGTGCTTCTTCTTCCAAGTCTTCTCGCCGAACATTGTAAGCTGGGATGAAAAAGGCTGAATGAAGTCATTCAAACGAACAACAAGTGGTACGATACCCCCCAAACTTCGATGGCAGCGTGGTCAAACTACTTCTTTTTTTCTAAAGAAGCAGAGAAGACCAGACCAAGCAGTAGCACATGGCTTGGCCTGTCCGTCCAGTTGTAAAGTGTAAATTAGAAATATGCGGCAGAGCTTTTATGCAGAAAATATTGATATTCGCCATCTAGATTAGGTACGCGTAGATACATTCATTGTGGAGTCGAGTCCGTCAGTCCTGTTGTGCATGGATATAATTGTGAACAGTGATGATATAGGGTCTATCTAAAGAATGGACTTCCCCCTGAGTATTTCACATACGCTGTCTACTCGTAGTATAGGTCGCTCACTACATTTGTATGAGAATGGAGGTGCGTGATGCGAACTTCCTAGTCATGAATAAAGTGTGCTATAGACAGGTTAGGATGTTGTAAGTTATTTGCGAGTCAGTCACTTTGTTCCTCCTATATTGCCGATAGCTAGCCTTGTTCGCGCTCGTCTACCCACCACTCGAGGCGTAAGCGAGCGAAAACCACCGCAGGTACCGAGCATTCGTTTCAATTCTTTATAAGCTGGCATTGTCTTCGTCGATTGTGCTTCACTGTATGTGGGGATTGAACATCGTTTGGAGCGAGGTTGAATGATAAAATCTTTTTTAAAGGAAGATCGGCAATATCAATTCATATCGTGGTGGTGATCATCTAATGTTACAATTGTGGCTTATGTCAAACCCATTTCCCCCTCGAGCTCGAGTTAAGCGTCCGAGCCATTGACGAACCATTGACTTTAACATCATCTTGAGAATGCTGTTTTTCTAGCTATCTAGTTTGATCTCATGCATATTGACAATTATAAAAAGTTTCCTTCCGCTCTTGGCCTGTGGTACACGTACCCTTGAGCACGAATCAAATCACCTTGAATTTAGACTCCAGGAGTTGCTATGACGAATTTTTTATACTCTACCTTCGTGCATTCCTGGTTTTCCGAAACTCTTCCTTCAGACCATGATTCAAGAATGATATGAAACATTCTATTGCGAAAGTGCATTTTCAAAGCTGCTCTTGAACTAACAACGGCATCGCAATTTTGCAGAAAACGGCATCGTAATTTTGCAGACTTTAAACAGAAAACTTCGCCAATATTCTCAACGTATCTGAGCCCGCCCAGATCATGATGTACCTGCATGTGTAAAGGAGGAGCCCGATGTGCCATTGATTCAACCCTCCGTGACTCACTCCACCGAGCGAGAGGGCTTTGATGTCAAATTGCAGAACAGATCCCAAAGGCTTTTGAATAGCGAAAATTGGATCGACACTATGAAAAAATAAAAGATCGGACTTCTTTATATCATGACTGATGATTATAAGGAGGGGTGGACAGTAAGGGCATGCTTTCTCATCCAAAATACTGACGACGAAACACCCAGATTTCGCATTGTTTTTTACACATCATTTTGATGCAGCATCAATGCTACCCAGCAGCAGGCCACACCTTGGAGGTATTCACTTCTACCGCATGCCGGTCCAACATCAACGGCTGGAAAAATCTGAGGACAGTCTGGCGACAATCGCTAAATCGGAGTGGCTACCAAAATAGAACGTAGGACAAATTCTACTTACGACGGCTCGCGTGTTTTTCAGTGCTCAATAATCGCCGATCCGAATGCTTTGCTCCTCACAATTTGACTACACTCTCAATTAAATTCAAAATGAAGTCCTTCTCTATTCTTATCGCCACCCTCTTCGCCGTTGCCGCCAAGGCCGACAACAGACTTCTTCAGACTGCCGCTCCCGTCGCTGTCCCAGTTGCTGTTGTCCCAGTCGCCGTCCCAGTTGCAGCAGCTGGTTCTTCTTCCGGATCTTCCGTCAAGAGTGCATCTTCTTCCAAGTCCTCTTCTCGAAGAAAGCTTCAAACTGCTGCCCCTGTCGCAGTTCCTGTTGCCGTTGTCCCAGTTGCCGTTGTCCCAGTTGCAGCAGCCGGATCTTCTTCTTCCGTCAAGAGCGCTTCTTCTTCCAAGTCTTCTCGACGAACATTGTAATTTGATTGATACCAGCAAAGAAATTCATAGAGTAAAATCAAATTATTTTTATAGTAAAATCAGTAACAATGATATAACTACATTTTCACCTAAGTATTCCTTCAAGTGCCAAGTATCCGTCGTATGGTCTGCATTAGCAAACAGCTCAAAGCACAAGCCTGCTACAGCAGAAAATGGAAAATGCTGGCTTTCCTTTTGTGATCTAAAAGCATTCTAGCATCAACCATTTGGTGCATGCGCTTGCTTGGGCTCCTCCTTTATTGTGGTTGGTCAGATCCTTGGTCAGTTCGTTCGTCCCAGGATTCGTGTGATGTGGTGACGAGCGCAACACACTTTTATTTTTTAAAAACATGCGCGTTCAGAAAGCAAACTAGTGTGGCGATTGGATTCTATGTCTGAACGACATGCACAAGACAATTGTTTTGGTTTTCACACATGCTATTTTTGTACGTACACAAAATTCACGATCGCCAATCAATACGTAAAAACCCACCTACCGGTAACAGAAAAAGCGTTCTGACGGAAGCACTCCGCCTCACTCATTGATCGCCAAATCCACCGTACCTTTCATCACTAATACTCTCACAAAAACACTTTGACCAGACTTTACCAAGCTCTCAACAAAACCAAATCAATAAATTCAAAATGAAGTCCTTCTCTATCATCATCGCCCTCTTCGCCGTCGCCGCCAAGGCCGACAACAGACTTCTTCAGACTGCCGCCCCTGTCGCTGTCCCAGTTGCCGTTGTCCCAGTCGCCGTCCCAGTTGCAGCAGCTGGTTCTTCTTCCGGATCTTCCGTCAAGAGTGCTTCTTCTTCCAAGTCCTCTTCTCGCAGAAAGCTTCAAACTGCCGCCCCTGTTGCAGTTCCAGTTGCCGTTGTCCCAGTTGCCGTTGTCCCAGTTGCAGCCGCTGGTTCTTCTTCTTCTTCCGGATCTTCCGTCAAGAGTGCTTCTTCTTCCAAGTCTTCTCGAAGAACGCTGTAAGCTGGATTGGAAAGAAACAAAAAGATATTCTCTTATTCAAGCAAAGATGCGGCCTCCACATACGACCCGGGAGATGAGACAGCATACCCTAGTCGATCTACGCAGATTCGACATGACACCATGATTCAAGAATTCAAATTTAGACTATAAAATGTGTAAGATCAAACATCCGATCATTCCTCTGTCGTCTCTTGTAGTGTACCTGTACTTCTTTCTATATAGTAGATGGATAATTGATATAGAAGCTTCGAAGAACACCAGTCGTCGATGTGCAATCGTATAACATCAGATAACATCAGCAGGTATTTTCCTTTCCATTCATCGGATGAAGCATCCTGGTTCTCCCAGAGCCAGTACATGTAGCAAAATATGAGGCCGAGAGAGGAAGTGCGATTGTGACAGTGAAGGTCGGCTACAAATCCTGTTTCAAACTTTTAATACAAACCTTTGTATAAATGGTATCGACAAAGTGTATCCAACAGTCTGACTCCTGTGACACAGACGATCAGCATACTACTGATTGGAATTAGGCAGAGGCACAATGGAAAAACACAAGCCTTGATACTTGCAAAATATGTACTTTGATTAAGCAGTCAATCGTCCTATATGTCAATTTCTGTAAAACAATCAGGATGATTAAGTGTAGGACCTACGTATAATTTTTGGTCGTCTAAATGATTGATTTATTCAGTTTCTCGTCTATTGTCACATGTCACAAATGGCAGAAGATTGATATGCTTCACCTCGCATCTCTCTTTTGATATGCTTTATCGGGCATTTCTCTTTTGATTCCTTGTTCTCTCGGTTCCAATCAAATTACAGTCTTCGGCTAGACGACTTGGAACTGCTTGCGGACTTTACAGATGATCCAGTAGTCGGGGTTGTCATCACGGGAGTGACAACGGCAACTGGAACTGCGACAGGGGCGGCAGTTTGGAGCTTTCTGCGAGAAGAAGAAGACTTGGAAGAAGATGCACTCTTGACGGAAGATCCAGTCGTTGGGGTGGCCATGGTTGGGGTCATGACTGTCATCACGGGGACGGCGACAGGGGCGGCAGTCTGAAGAAGTCTGCTATCTGCCTTGGCGGCGACAGCGAAGAGGGCGGCGATAAGGATGGAGAAGGACTTCATGGTGAATTTATTGAATGTGAGCGAAATTTGGTTGCAAATAATATTGTGAGAGGATGAGTGGAATGATTGAATATCAACGGCACCGGTAGCATCCGTTGAAATCGATGTGGCAAAAGATTTCGCGAACGAATGAATTCAATCGGAGAGTCGTTCCGGCGCAGGTTTTAGAGGTCGGATTACGACGGACATAGACTTTTCCACTAGCAAATACAGGCAAGGTGCACGAAGGGAGAAAGGCAACGTGCATTTCGTGAGAAGCTTCGTAACCTTGTGTGCACGATAATATCCAAATCCCGAGAGCAGCACCATGCGATGCATTGCTATTGCAAATCCGATAATTTCATACGTAGTTTTATCACACTGGCTTGTCACAGCTCTGAGCGAAGTGAGTATGCTAGTATCGTCGTTATCCTCGATAGTCTCATTCATCCCCACCGGGTTATCATCCAAATGATATTTTGCTTGTTAATGGATAGGAGTGTACTGCATCGGTGGTGGCAATCAATCAATCTGCTCTGAGGTTCGGGCAACGTGCACGATTCCAATACAAGGGCGTAGTAGGAGATGCACTGTTGCTCGCTGCTTAGCCAGAAAGAAGCATAGTCGGCATGATGATGCCAAGATTTCAAAAATCCACTAATAGCAATTGAAAGCAATCCAGCTGCTATATCTTATTACAAGCTAATACATTTTCAGGTATCTCTTTCTTTCAGGCATACAGTGTCCATCCCAGCCATTCTGGGATCCAACCATGCCGAGTCTACGAAGACCGGCTGTGTCACGTACGTGCTGACAGTGCTAAGCTTTTTGGCTTTCTTCTTACTTCACACTTCATTCGTTATCTCCATTTGTCTTCCAATCCAGCAGCTTACAACGTTCGTCGAGAAGACTTGGAAGAAGAAGCACTCTTGACGGAAGATCCGGAAGAAGAAGAACCAGCGGCTGCAACTGGGACAACGGCAACTGGGACAACGGCAACTGGAACTGCAACAGGGGCGGCAGTTTGAAGCTTTCTGCGAGAAGAGGACTTGGAAGAAGATGCACTCTTGACGGAAGATCCGGAAGAAGAACCAGCTGCTGCAACTGGGACGGCGACTGGGACAACAGCAACTGGGACAGCGACGGGAGCGGCAGTCTGAAGAAGTCTGTTGTCGGCCTTGGCGGCAACGGCGAAGAGGGTGGCGATAAGAATAGAGAAGGACTTCATTTTGAATGTATTGAGTGTGTTTGTTGAAAGCTTGTTGCAAATCTGGATTGTGAGAGGAAATTCGAACGATCAAAACACCGCCAAAGGCTCGCAGAAAAGGTGACGGTCTCGTGATGAGACCACGTGCGCGCGCATGCCATGCCGTGATGGTACTTTTCCAGGGTATTTTCCGTACTTTTACACGCATACCAAGCTAGATAAATATCAATCGGTCAAAATCGCCAAACCTTCAGTCCCTCACAAATTCTTGCGTTTCCACAGAGAAGCACTCCGTCTAGTACCCAGCCATCGCCAAATCATCATATTTCCGACGACAATTTGTCTCACAATCCCGAATTGCACAAAGTTTTTATCAAACATACTCAATACTATCACAATGAAGTCCTTCTCTATCATCATCGCCCTCTTCGCCGTCGCCGCCAAGGCCGACAACAGACTTCTTCAGACTGCCGCTCCCGTCGCTGTCCCAGTTGCCGTTGTCCCAGTCGCCGTCCCAGTTGCAGCAGCTGGTTCTTCTTCCGGATCTTCCGTCAAGAGTGCATCTTCTTCCAAGTCCTCTTCGCGCAGAAAGCTTCAAACTGCTGCCCCTGTTGCAGTTCCAGTTGCCGTTGTCCCAGTTGCCGTTGTCCCAGTTGCAGCCGCTGGTTCTTCTTCTTCTTCCGGATCTTCCGTCAAGAGTGCTTCTTCTTCCAAGTCTTCTCGCCGAACATTGTAAGCTGGGATGAAAAAGGCTGAATGAAGTCATTCAAACGAACAACAAGTGGTACGATACCCCCCAAACTTCGATGGCAGCGTGGTCAAACTACTTCTTTTTTTCTAAAGAAGCAGAGAAGACCAGACCAAGCAGTAGCACATGGCTTGGCCTGTCCGTCCAGTTGTAAAGTGTAAATTAGAAATATGCGGCAGAGCTTTTATGCAGAAAATATTGATATTCGCCATCTAGATTAGGTACGCGTAGATACATTCATTGTGGAGTCGAGTCCGTCAGTCCTGTTATGCATGGATATATATTGTGAACAGTGATGATATAGGGTCTATCTAAAGAATGACTCCCCCTGAGTATTTCACATACGCCTTTGCCGCTGTCTACTCGTAGTAGGCACTACATGTGTATTAAGATTGTAAGTGCGTGATGCGAACTTCGTGGTCATGAATAAAAAGTGTGCTATGGACAGGTTAGGATATGGTCAGTTATTTGCGAGTCAGTCACTTTGTTCCTCCTATATTGCCGATAGCTAGCCTTGTTCGCGCTCGTCTACCTACCACTCGAGCCGTAAGCGAGCGAAAACTACCGCAGGTACGGAGCATTCGTTTCAATTCTTTATAAGCTTTCGTCGATTGCGCTTCACTGTATGTGGGGATTGAATATTGTTTGGAGCGAGGTGGAATGACAAAATCTTTTAAAAGGAAGTTCGGCAATATCAATTCATATCGTGGTGGTGATCATCTAATGTTACAATTGTGGCTTATGTCAAACCCATTTTCCCCTTGTGTGTTTGGTCCATGCATTGCATTGCATTGTATTGCATTGCATACAGCCGTAATGACCTACAGTACTACTCGCACCTACAATATTATATTTCTCCAGTGATTGGTTCCAATTGCAATTCGAGACTTCCAATAGTAGCATTGGTCTGAGCCCAAGAATCCACCGTACTCTGCGACATGAGATCCGATTGATTGGAATGATTCCGGCGATGTGCGCCCGCAGCTTGTTGTCCATAAAAGTGTGAATAGGGACCTTGGTTGGGATTGACATTAGTGAGATATTTCGCTGGACCTCTGTTGGCACCATTGTTGTGAGTCCTACTAGCATTGGTTGGCGTGTGAGCACCCAAGACTTGTTGGTTGAAGGAGTTGCCTAGATCAAGAGCATGAAGATGTTGATCAGGCACTTCATGGTCATAGTCTTCGTCTTCGGTGTCGTGGGAAAAATGTTGTTTTGGACTCCGTTCGAGTTCTTGTTGTTCCTTGAGTTGCGTTATCTTGCGTCTTCTATAGAGAACAAGAAGGATTCCAGCAGTAGCCAGACAAAAGGCTGCCACCAGAAAGCCTCCCACAATCGTAATGGTCTGACGATTGATGGGATTGTTCCCTTGCTCTATATCCTCGAGATTGGAGGGTGGGATGTTGATAGTCTTATCATCAGCACCATCTTCGTATTTCGGAATTCCCAAGAACTTGACGCCAAAGTCGGAACCTAGTGTCTTTTCTACTTGGTTGACAAACAGTGATTCTACAACGGCTTCCACATCGGGCATTGTCTTTCCCGTTAGGACGTTCCCAGTAAGTTCGAAGGAATACACAAAGCAGTCTTCGGTTGCTTCTATGAACTCTAATTGACGGCACTTTGGAAAGGTTTCGTCTTGCTCCAATTGGTCCGTGTCGCTTTTAATGGCTACCAACCAGCTGATACCATTCGGTGGGGGGTCCGTGCACGCTTTGCCGGTAGTGATTCGAAAGTCTCGTGCAATCGCCATCAAAAGTTCCGTTTGTACTCTCTTTTTAGCGACTGCTTCACTTCCCTTTGGAAACTTCATATCGATGTAAAATAGCAGTGGAATGTCCACTAAATTGGGATTGTTTTCCAATACTCGAGCACATTGGAATCCGATCAATTCGTTGCTGTCATTGAAGACTTGGCTGGTGTTGATGGCACCACCAGAAGGATTATCATTCCCATCGTTACCATCGGATTGCCCCGAGTTTGAATCATTCCCAAAGTCTGTAAAGTCTCTGTCTCCCATAATGTTGTCGACGAGATCATCGGTGAAGGTGTCGATATTGACGGACATTGTGGCTACGGTATGTAATTGGTATAATGCTCTACAATGGAGTTCCAGAGGTGCTCGTTGGTGCGTGCTATGATGTTGCTTCTACAACTTGTTGTTTTGGTCTTAGGAATCGGGGCTCTGAGCCTGTCCGCTTAGGAGAAAGTTGGCATGACAACGGATTCGTATTGGATTTGATATCTTCAGTTATGAAAATATCGTAAGCGCCCGCCGAGCGCGGGAAGTCTTTTGTGGGTCTATTTTAGTCCCTTCCGGGCTCCTTAAAGGTACCTTCCGAATGTCGCTAGCGGGGAAGGCTGTTTGTTTGCACTAACATATTTGGATGTATGAAAGGGATTGTATCTGGTATATGCATCAACTGATCCATAGTCTAAAATATAATTTTTTAATAATAATCAGAATATAGTAGGACCTAAATTAAATTCATTGCGCGCAGATGAAGTACTAGTTCTTGGGATGAATCACAATAAGAACTCTACTACATTCGGAATCACAACATTCGATCCACAGGCACATCTGCACTCTCCTCGGTCTAGAGCGTGTCGCTTGGTACCATCAATACTCCATCCACCCTTGAATTACCGTTTCCACAAGGCCATTTCAAAGATGGATGTTGCTTCCAAATGTTCATATAGTGTAAAGGCAGAATACGCTCCATTGCACAAAGTCAACCTTTGATCCTTGTTGTCTTCGGCAAGTATCGCTTGTATCCGATTACTCATGACTTGTGCCCATGATGTAGCACCCCAACGAACAAGTGGGTCCACCATCCATCGTTGTATTGTTATTTGTAGTAACGATGCCGTTGTTTCGGTCCAGTTGGAGACCAAGTAATCCAGTGGCTGCTTGCCGTTTGCATCTTTGGCGTCCAAAATTTGGTATGGGAAATGCTTTAAAAGGACTTCGAGTACATCTTGACTTGGTCCGACAGTCGAAAAGAGGACGTGGAATGGACTCATTCCGAACTGGTCTATGAACCCTGATGACGATTCCACCTCGTTTTCTTGGGAATCTTGGTTGTTCTCGATGCACCGTCGGAGCTCCTGAGCAGTGGTCGTGGAATGGTCGTAGCATATGCCGTGCACAGGAAATTTGTCAAATTCCGTGGCACTCGAACCTTTTGGACCTACACAATATTTGCAAGAACACTGCAGCGACTGAAGGCTTCGTGTTCAATAACGATTGGATTATACTCCAGCGGGACTGCCACTGTAACCAAACGCATGCAAAGATTGAATCCATATTCATCAATAAGCCCCAATGAGATCGGTAGGCTCACAGTTAACAGGGAGATACATCTAGAGAACCCCCAACAGGGAATCTCTGTGATGGACGTGGTTGATAGGTTCACTTCTACCAAAGCGGCACAGCACTCAAAAGCGAATTCGCCAATCATGCCCACCGATGAGGGGACCTTGATTCGTTGGAGTGAACGGCAAGTTTGGAAAGCGTGTGGGGGGATTTTCTTTAGCGGATGGGCGGAAGACGATGACGGCAATCCAAACTCTACCTTCCTCAGGAGTTGGCATCCCTCAAATGTGCCTACTGTTCCAATAGACTCAACAGTGCTACCAATATCGATCTCTAACAAGCTTTGGCAGAAACTAAACGCAAAAGAACCAATATGGATTAATCCTTTGGGCAGAGTGACTTCCCGCAAAGACACGCAATTTTCACAAAAGCGATCAGGCAAAACCTGAACACCTTGATTCACAATCAGGTTCTCAACGCTTGTTGGTACTTTTTCTCCCTCATTGCCTTGGAATATGTAGTCAGTTACTTCCATCTTTCAGGTTAACTGGTACCGGAAGTCATTCATCATTCATCATTCATCTCCCGTCCTCCTGACTTGAAAATATAAAATGCCTCGATGTTTGATGGCTTGTGATCAGTCGAAGTAGTCCACTTTCTTCATTTTTTGCGGCCTCATTGGATTGGCATTGGATTGGATGATATAAAGGTTGCCGATGTCAAATCTCCACTATACTGTAGCATGCGGGGACAAGAGTAAGGCACCATTCCGTTCTCCAAGCAATCATTATATTATCTACAGTCTACTAATAGGACTACTATGTAATCAATGCACACCTGGTTATTTTTAATCGTCTGAAATGGACGAAGATTGTCCGATTCCCAAGAAATCCAATACAATCGGAATCACAACGTTCGATCCACAAATACATCTACACTGTCCTCGGTCTAGAGCCCGTCGCTTGGCACCATCGTTGTGCCATCCGCGCTTGAGTTGCCCTTTCCACAAGGCCATTTCCAATATGGATGTATTTTCCACATTTTCGTACTCTTTCAAGATTGAGCATGCTTCTGTGAATACCATCCACCTGCGTGCCTCGTCATCTTCAGCTAATAAATTCACGAGGGGGCTCCAATCGATCAATCATCCAGCTTTGCAGGGCCATCTGCAGCAATACCTTGTTTTCCCGAGTCCAGTTGGCCACCAGGTAATCCATCGCCACGTTATCATTGGCATCTTCCCAGCCAAGATCATAGTACGGAAACTTGTCTAAAAGGACCTGCAGAAGCTCTTCGCTTGGCTCAGGCGTCGAGAAGAGGACGTGAAATGGGGTCATTCCAAAGTCATCATACATTAGCGATTCCGTCTCATCTTGGTCCTCGATGCACTGTCGCAGCTCCTGAGCAGTGGTCGCGGAATGGTCGTAGCATATCTTGTGTACAGGAGAAGAGTCAAAGCGGTGAACCAAACCGGCGACAGTGGACTCTGCTGCTTCGCCGAAGCAATCTTGTAATAGTGTATTCTTCTTGAAACTGTTTGGTTCATTCGGCTCTGGAACCTTTCGGAAGCACAAGGTTTGCAAGAGCACTGCAGCCACGGAAGGCTTTATCTTCAATGTCGATCGGTTTTGAATCCAGGTGAATTGTCACTGTAACCAAGCGACTGCATTTATTGAATCCGCCGCGCCCAATTCGCTCCAATGAGTTCGGTAGGCTCACAGTTTGAAGGGAGTCACATTCAAAGAACCCCCACCAGGGAATCTCCAATATGGACGTTGCCGTAAGAATTGCTTCTACCAAGGCGATACAGCTGTAGAAGGCAAAGTTGCCAATCATGTTAACAGACGAGGGGATCTCGACTCTTTGTAGTGCAAAACAGAAACGAAAGGCGAGATGTCCAATTTCCTTTAGCTGATGTGCCGAAGACGACGAAGGTACAAACTCTACCTTCCTCAGGAGTGTGCATTGCTCAAATGAAGTTTGTCCAATGTATTCTACGCTGCCTGCTACCAATCTTGATTTCCAACAAGCTGGAGCATACCGAGAAAACGCCGATTCCCCAATCTTGATTGATTCATCCTTCAAGGAGAGACAGTTTGAAGTTCCCGCAAAATTTCACAATTATTGCACTGTTCATTAGGCAAAACCTGGACCGCTGGATTGACAATCAGCTTTTGCACAAGTTTTGGTACTTCTTCGCCCTCGTTGCCCTGGAATCGGTAGTCATTTACCTCCATCTTTCAGGTACAAGAATTTTAAAATAGTCATTCAATAAAACTCAATAAACTTTTTCAATTTTGCTTGCAGTGGCATTCGAAGTAGTCAACTATTGTTATTTTCAAATTTTTGAAAACTCTCGCTCCTTCATAATACGCGATGCCTATATGCTGGTAACTCACATCACACCCTGCTGGTCCCAACAAAAGTGAATGGATTTTCATCGCCAAAGCCAGATAAATTCATCATTGTTTGCGGTTTCATCATTCTTGTCAACTATTTTATCTTCCAATACAATACAATACAATCCTAGACAATAAATGACAGCATACAGCAGACACCATCAAGAACATCCCATCTATCCAGTGCGCAAACTACTTCGAGGGGATGAAGAGTTTGTTGGAAATTCACACTGGGCTTCCAATTGCGAGGATTGTCAAGAGGATGTCAAGATTGAGCGTGACCCTGTGACACAATTTCCATTGTCCTATCAATGTGATAAGAATCCGCAATGGGTGACCTCGTCAACCATGGTGCAGTTTGATTATGAGGTGGCTACTGCCATAAACTCCAATCAAGACGACAATGTACTGGCGATGCAGTGGAGTCTTTTGGAACAAGTGGCTGAGTGGACGGGATTATCGAAGCAATGCAATTTTGACTACCAGTTTGAAGATGCTAGCATGCGGCCTCGGAACGGGAATCATCAACGACGGCGAAGCTTGAATCAGGCTCTATATTATCCAACAACAATATATGGTATTCGAAGTTTACCAAAGGATCGTCCGGGTGAAATAGGTGAGTTTGAATGGTGTTTATAGATGAGAAACAGAATGTTTGTGCATGTGATATTCTCTGACCTCAATGAATGAATCAATCGATCCGTCAATAATGTAGGTGACTGCAACAGTCTCTCATATGACTCAAAGACGAGTGAATGTTTTCCTGTTACGGCAATCATGACGGTGAAATACCGCGGGGAACCACAAGATGCCGTCTTTGTTCAGGAATACATAAAGTCTGTCATCAAGGAGCAAATGGAAACGGGCCCATCGAAATTTTTTGTGCAAGATGTCACCAATCTGGGGTATGTTGGGGAACGAATACAGTTTACCAAGCCAAATGATGCTACTAGAATAAAAGCCAAGCAAACTTTGGGGATTGCGGCCATGACTACCATCGTCTCACTGTCCACGCTGCTTTGCCTTGGAATTGCCATCGTAATGATGCGAAACAAGAAGGAAAGAACGTCGTCCCCTAGCGTCAAAATTACGAATCTTCCGTTTGACCTTGAAGAATGTAGCACTGATAGTTTTCCAGGTCGTCGGAATTCTAGCAGTGATGATAATGACGAATATGACGTGCCTTTGACATTGATGGCTAGCACGGAAGAAATGGAACTGCCGCCTGAAAATGACGCCGGTGAACATTGGACTTATTCCCTGGATGCTAGGGTACAGGATCTTCCACCTCCGCCAATCCAGTTGCAATTGCCACCCATAGGTCGGCCTTTGAAAGTTCAGCGGAAGAGAAAGGGCAGAGATTCTCCCATGAGGATACGTCGAAGCTCTAGTTTCTCGACATTGCAGCCCATTTCAGAAACAAACTCCGAACTCGATGACGACGATGACAACGACAGTAACTTCGAACAAATGCCGGATGTTAATCTTTCGTTTGATGATGAAATCATCAACGAGACGATTTCCATTTCAGATGATGTTACGGCGGTCCACAAGGACTTCGAATTCATCATGGATGAAATCTTTTTTAACAGTTCGAATGATAATGCAAGAACCGGGGACCCATAGCGAGCTTTGTGAACCATCCAATTGTAGTGTCAATCGTCTATAGGGCCAGTAGCTAATGCATTAAAATAGCATTTCTAGCACATTATTAGGACTCTGGTGATGGAACATCGGCCGCGCAAACAAAACTTTTCTGTTCAGCTTTGCGAATATCGTCAAATCAGTTGTTGTGGAATCATTTTCGCGAAGAGGAATGTATTGGAAGCCTTATGCTGGTAGCTGGTAGCAGCTAAACCTGGAGGGGTTGAGTAGGATGCCCCAATGCCTTGAGGTACCCGTTCAAATAGACTTAGCCAATCCAAATCAATGTCTGTCGTCGTTCTCTGGTTTTTCCTCGCCTTCGTGTTGATATCCCGCGTGAGATGACATCTTTGCTGCTCCGTATCGTCATCCGAGTCGTCCGAGGTATCATACCACCATGACAATCCATTTTGATCCTTCACAAGTTGAAAGGAGTCTAGAACGTTGTACCCATTAATTCTCTGTCCAAAAGCAATGGGAGAAGAAGACGGCGCGATTCTCTCAGAATTTGGTGATGCATGTTCCTTATTTCTGTTTTGTTGTCGAGGTGCATTCGATGTGGGGTAGAAAAACGAAGAAAACCCAATTTCAGCAATGAACTGCTGGGCAACATCTGGTTCCATGTTGCTTGATACGTGGATTCTTTGGTCGTGGGAGGACTCCTCCTTGTTCAAAGGACTTGATTGCGAATTCATTTATCTTATTTTGTTGTTTCTTGGAATGGAAAATTCAAAAGTGATGCCCAATACAGTCTCAAAACATGATGTGGAAAACCCGAATAGTGTCGGTTTGTGGTGAAGTTGCTTGCACAGGTGGTTGATTTTGGCTATCAATTTCGTCGAATATTGCATCCATAGTCGATCATATCTGGATCATTTGTCCGGACGAATACTTGTATATTTTATACAAAACATTATATTCGACCACAACGACTTGCTACAGTAGGTTACGTCACACGTGATCATGCGGGTGAGTCCGAAACGTCACATGTAATCATGCTTCTTCACTCTTCACATCACATACTGTATGCAGAACTACAAAAATGGTACTCTTCAAAATAATGTAGTTTACATTGGCTTTATCTAAAATGCATGCGAAATACACGTGTGCCTATCATGCTGCTGCAGCTGTACTCAAACGGCCTGCTGATAAAGTGTTGGAGAAAAGGCCTTCAAACTCCCTTGTTGGTAGCGTCACAACTAGCGTTCTCTTCGTTGTATACAAAATTCGAGTCATGTAACGGAGATGCTGATTGAAGTCTTCAACCATACCCCTCTCAAGTTCGATTTGAGCCAAATTGTTGCAGGTGACAAAAGCTAGAAGTAGCAACTCTGGATTGTGCTCAAAGCCATCGTTTGCTTGAATTATCTGAAGAAGTGTACTATAAAAAACGGCTGCCTTGTCCAGAAGGGAAGGTGACCCGTTTTTCATCCAGCGCGTGTGATACAAGATGGCAAGATTAAAAAGAATGCCTGCACTGTAAACAGATAGCGCTTGCATCGATCGTCCCTCGCCTTCAGGTTCTTCTCTGAAAGCGAATGCGCGCAAGTAAAGGAAGAATTCGTTTCGATCTTTGCTGCAGCAAGCCCGCGTTCGAGATGTTGCACAGCACTGCAGAAGGTGTGGTGCATTTGGATTACTGCTGATTTCTTGATCTGCTTGAGCTCTACGATGAATGAGGGATCTTGCTCCAATAAGTGATGAGTGCAGTTTTTCGGCAGCCCTGGAGGGTTCGTTGGCCTGGAATAGGGCCACACCTTCGTTATTGAGCCTTAGTGTTTCGTCGAGAGATAGCATGTTTTTTATTTTCGAGTAATATAAATTATGATTGTGGGAGCTTGTTGAATTGGCAATTGGCACTGTTGGTCTAGTATTTTATATTTGTGATTCTCAAGCACCTATTTATTTTGGATGTTCCGGTGGAAAGGTGGAAGAAGTTTCAGAATTTGGAAACACGTCGCATTGTGGAAAGAAGCTTTTTTGTCTTGGATTCCTTCACTTGAAATCCACAATTAGGGTTTAGCCGGCACATTTGTGTCGCCGCGCTCCGTTTCGCACGATGTCGTTATGAATCCGCAATGTCTGGTCGTACTACCGGATAAAGTATTGTCTGTCATGGTGAATTGAATTACACCGAGAACTCTGGAATTTATGAAATTGCAAAATTTGAACCCGTGAAACGGCCAAACAGAGGAGCACGTAATATTAAAATAACTTCTTATTGAACTACGCTATGACTACTTTCTCCGATGGATCGTTCAAAATGTCGAAAGCGATTAACTTTGCCTTTTTTCGAGCTCCTTGTTCGCGCTCCTCTTTCGAGCTCCTCTTCCACTAATTCCAATATACCAGTATTTTAAAAAGAGGGTGGTGCACACACATAATCGTCACCCCCTTGTTTCGAACAGTAGCGAACCAGGTACTTGGTACAGTACCGGTACTCCTCGCAACAATGTATAATAGTGTAATTATGTTAGAATAAAAATTGGTTTTCTAAAAAGATGAATGCGAACTGGCTACGCTGCCAGAGCTGTACTCAGACGGCCTCCTGATAAGACGTTGGATAAGAGGCCTTCGACTTCAATCCTTGTTAGCGTCATGAGAAGCGTTCTTTTCCTTGTATACAAAATTCCAGTCATGTAACGGAGATGCTGGTTTACGTTTTCAACCATACCCTTTTCGAGTTCGATTTGAGCCAAATTGTTGCACGTGACCAAAACTAGAAGAAGCAGCGTTGGGATGTGCTCATAGGCGCCATTCGCTTGAATTATCTGAAGAACTGTGTGGTAAAAGACGACTGCCTTGTCCAGAAAGGCAGGTGACCCGTCTTTCATCCAGTGCTTGTGATGCAAGATGGCAAGATTGAAAAGAATACCCGCACTATAAACACATAGCGCTGCTTGTGTCGATCCTCCCTGTTGTTCAGGTACTCCTCTGAAAGCGAATGCCCGCAAGAAGAGAAAGAATTCATTTCGATCTTTGCTGCAGCAATCGTGATGTTGAGATTCTTCACAGTATGATTGCAGGAGGTCTGGTGCGTTGGGGTGATCTGCTGCTGCTGTTCCTCGATGAATGAGGGATCTTGCTCCAATAAGTGACGAGTGCAGTTTCTCAGCAGCCCTAGATGGTTCATTGGCCCGGAATAGGGCCACGCCTTCGTTATTGAGCCTTAGTGTTTCGTCGAGAGATAACATGATATTTTGACAACGAATAAACACGCGAAGAGTGATGCTGAAATGTGAGGACTAAATTGGTTTCTGAAAGTACCAAGTATTTTATAACTGACTGGAACATGTATTATACACGTAGTAGTTTTACCTGTGCCGGAACCTGTGCAGAAAAGTATTTATTTCATCACATTAATTTTTTTAAATAAAATGTATAAATCCTAATTACATGTGGTGGCACATTAGTTTCGCACTTTACCACTGAGTGAGTCAGCTGTTTTATATATTATGTGCGGAGCAATTACCTTGTCGCTGAGTGATACGGAGAATAAAAAGTCCCCATCGATCATCAAAGGAGCCCATATTGTAGGATTTTCATTTGATTACAAAAGCATGCGTTTCCGAGAATAAAGTATCGCGCAAGCTTCATATATGTCGGAGGCTACTTCAAACTTTGTGAAACGAGCTCTTCGTTTCATGCTCGTCTTCCCGAATATTCGAATCTTTTCCTACTGAAGTGACTAATGTCCGATGGTATCACGCACCCAAACATGACAGCATACTTCATAGTCCTAGAATACAGAAAGAGAAAAATACTTTGGCGTCGAAGGCGACTTGAACTTCTTCGTGAGACGAGCCCATGTTTCGGTCATTTCACCGTTGTTGACTGGGAGTTTACTGAACAGGAACGTGTACTGTGCCGACCGAGTATCGAAACTTCAAATGTATGGAGGTGGCGTTTTCAAAGGTACAGATGCATACATGTACCCGGTAGTCCGTTGGGTGTTTTTGTGCAGAAGCTTCTGCAGATGTTCGATCAGTTGTTGAGCCATCGCTTTATTACTCCGTTTTCTCCGCTCTTCACCCAGCAGTAGCTCGTTCCTCGTACAGCGCTACCACCACAGTAACTTCTGCAGAGTGTGTGAGCGACCTCCTTGTGGTATTATGTCTGATGGAACTTGTGTACGTCTGATCAGATGAAGATTGAAAATGCTCGTTTCTGTACTTGGTGCTATCGCTGATAGGCAAGTAGCAAGTAGCTGTGCCAATGTCGAACTTGCCGAAACGAGCCATCTACAGTACCTATTCCAATCGAGTAAGACCGAGAGGCGTTGGAGTTTTGCTACCCGTGCCATGGCTCTATTAGTACGTCAGGTATCTCTTTTAAAACAGATCCAATGCACGAATTAACTTCTGTAAACTAGACTAGATGGTATCTCAAGTTATTAGAGGGAATGTCGACCTTGCCGAAATGAATCATCAACTATTTCAAAAAGCTGCCGCGTACCTGGTAGTAATGCCCGGTGATACTAGTACATAGTACATGAAGTTCCATTCAGGTAGGTCGAGCATTTTCCAAAATCTCGTTAGTGCAGTCTCTTGGCGATGCCCAAGAAAGGTTGTTACTGTCGGCTCTACGTCTTTTAGCTTCTGAGTCATTGTCATTGCCCTTCATGTGACGCGGCTTCTACGAAAAGTTAATAGTAACCAAAGTTTCTTTGGACCTTCCACAATTTTCTATTGACAATTTGAAAACCAGTGTTTGGTTCCAATAGTCTGCTTTGGCAGCTAGTTCCATATGTCTACATTGTTTGGTACCAGATGTTAACGAGAGAGAAGCTTATTAAAATAGATACCAGGAGATGAAGATTTTGGCATTTTTATTGAGACTACCACCTGGTTTTATTTGTCAACTAATAGTCGCAATGATCGCATCAGGAGATATTCTGTCTGAATCAGAGCTTCAAATTTTCTTCCATGCAATAGCCTAGAGTTTGCTAAACAAGTAGAATAAGTATTTATCCAAGCAAAAGAAATGATTTGGTGTGTCTGCAAGGTCTTCCAAGTAAAACGTCGTCAGATTGAAGATGGACAACGAAGAAAACGGATGAATCCAGAGTTCACGTCTGGAAAGTGTTGATTGCATATAAACTCAGGTCAACAGATGACGATGTTCATCCTCGTTGGCATGCGGTATGCTGGGGGTGATCCAGCAGGAGGAAACAACCATTGTTGCTGTCCAAAATACCCCACAAAGATTTCAAACACGTCGATGGTTCTTTCGGTATTGGATGCCAACGATGATGTCGATGTCAACGGTGTTACAATGACTCTTCTACTAGACTCCACTTTACTCGTGGGTCATTCGCAAGAGTCAAGAAAATCCGTTGATTGCTGTGACATGTTGGTGTACCACCCAATAGGTCACTGTCTAAGTCTTTTACAGACTGGCTGCCGTGCCAAAATGTCACATTGACACGTTTGTGACGTTTTTTCGTTGAATCTGAGCCAGCCTGTCTTGTAGAGGTTTTTGAGAAGTCTTGTAGGTGTTGAAAAATGGCGGTTTGTGGGGGTGCGACACGCGTGACGTATCTTCAATTTCTACGAGAAGTACGACAGTTTGAAGTATATATAACCTCCATGAATGAAGATCGGGAAATTTAGCCCACACACACGTCTAAATACGGGAACCACAGTCACACAAATTCCAGTCCCAATCCGATCGAGTAAATTTCCATCCCACGCGGTTATCACATATTTTACACAATCAATCACACTCATACGTACTCATCAAGATGGCACCTTCAAATGATAAGCAAATCTCTCGTGTTGGACCTATGGAGGAAGGCGTTATGCTAGTCTCTTCGGCCATTAATGACATGGTTTACGGACACTGCGGACCAGTCTGCTTCATGGGGGACTGTGACAAGCAACTGAATTTCGAAATGGCCCAAGAAACTGCTGCGGAATACAACGTTATCAACGTTTTCAATGGCATGCAACAACAGACCAATAGCAACCTATCCAGTGACAGCAATCTTCTAGATGAGGAATCTGTCGCTTCTGGAGCCAGCCGATAATTGCTTTCTGACGAAGCTTGATGATGAAACCAAACGGTGTGCGATACTGTATGTATGTGGAAACAAACAAACAATCATGAGGAGAGATAGTATGTGAGGAACATCTATCTGGACCTTTGAATGATGGAGGTATGCGGCAGCTATCATCCATCGATCCCCGGATATCGTGAACGGGCATCAGCATCAAACTATACTGTATTCTATACATTTTGTAAAACTAGAGATAGACCTTTCTCCGTGTTAATCACACGATATTATCAACATAAGTCAATGTAGTATGGTACGAATGGTATCTTCCTTCCCCTTATAGAGGAAGAGAAACGACGACTTGAGAAATAATGAGGCCGATTCAGATTCATTCATTGAAGTGAAAATCCCGTAGGCCGTAACGATGTAAAAAATCTCCTAGGCCGCTAAAAGATACTTCTGACCGTCACAATTTTTTTCCACCACCACGCCACTCGAACTACCGGTATACTTCACCTATGCTACATAATGATGACAACGAGGACAAAAGATAAACTCCATCATCATTATAATCTTCTAAACAAAAGCAAACTTGGTTCTATCTTTCCCAAATTCGGAACTTTCCTCAATCGCATATCGATCAATAGGAGATGGTTCCTCACGAGCTGCTGGACTCAAGGCGCCAAGGGTAATGCAGTATTCAGGAGGCTCTTGTTGACGGCCAATCCTCTCTGGATGGGTTGAATTGGAGACTCGAGGGGTCCTCAATTGTTGAAAGGACTCGGCAGATGCGATGGTCTCTAACTGTGCAGAGGGAGGCTGTGCCGCAATGGAATAGGAAGCCTCTTCTTCCTCCGCATGTTCCTTCCAAAGGAAAGAATTGATTGGTTCCAGAGAGGAACCTTGTGATAGATCGGATATGTCGTCACATGCAGGAAATTGCTTCAAGCTGTCATTCTTGCTGTCTACTTCGGAGAGTTCCGTCCAGGATAGATTTGACATGTTATCGTCGTTCGTGTTGATTTCGGATATCGGGGACAAGGAGCGGTCCACGTCATCGTCCTGGCGGTCAAGCTGGCTACGAAGACGCTCGTGTTCATTCCTGACTCGATCTCGGTCCGAAATGATGTTGGCATCTTTGCCATCGTGCTCTGCAGTTTGAATTCCGATGCTCTGACCCTCTTCAGTGGGCTCCGTTTGAACGGCTCTGGATTGCACAGCCACAGAAAAGGACCCCACGCTGCCGTTACACGGGATCACCCTCATGGTCTTTACACAAAACATAAACTGTCAGAGATGCATATTGAAACAACGAGAAAACGGTTCATGCTCCACTTACCGAAAGAAGTTGCTCGAATTGGTTGCTTTGCGAACGTTGCTCTTCAATAATTCGTTCCAAGGCAGTATTCCTCGTCACGAGCAATGACTTTTCATCTCGCAACGACTCAATCGTTCGGTCCAAATTCATGGTAGCCTCTCGAGAGGCCACAATGAACTGTCTCGTGGTATCCAACACATAGTGCAGATCCTCAATGTCGGCCAGAATTTCGTCAGACGTCTCGGCAGCCGGTGTCGACAATTCATAATCCACACTGCCAGCCGTGCGGAAGAGCTGTTGCATAACCTCTGCCTTGACATCTGATAGTCGCAGTAGCTGTTCCTTCACTCTAACGATTAGACCATCCGAGTTTCCGGACTTTTCTTCCTCCTTTGCTACTTCTGGTGCCGATTCGAGATCCGAACACTTCTGGACCCAGAATTCAACGGCGTTATTGAGAACTTTCACCTTTTCCGTCAGTCCGACTCTCTCCTTGCCCATCTCATTCAGTACAATGTCACGGCCAGTAACATCCTTGTTCAGCCCCTCCACCTTTGCCTCCAACTCCTTGATTCTTGGGAGGGACGAGTCAATAAGTCTTGTGGCATCCGACAAACGAGTCTCCAGTTCCGCTTGGATGGAAGCATACATTTCGTTCTCGCCAGCCAGTTGCGTTCGTTCAGTTTGCAAGGCGATCGTTTTTGCTTCATTTGTAGCACTAGTTTGTCGCAGGGTTTCCAGCTCTATTTCATGTTCGGAAATGACCTTCTCCATTTGCTTTCGTAGCTGTTCCGAATCGGATACTAGCTGCACCATTGAGTCATTTTTCTGTTGAAGGTGGGTATTCTTGGATTCAAGTGTATCACAGTCCATCCGAAGTTTTTCAATGGCACTTTCCAGACTCAGCAACTGGAAATTTTTGCCAAGTCCATCCGATTGACTTCCACTGGCTTCTCCCCCCAGTCGAAGTGACTGAAACTGGGAGTTTAGATCTCGTAGCTGGCGCTCCAAGACGCGTCTTCGATCGGAAGTCTCGGCAAATTCCAACTCCAGAATTGACTCGGGAGACTGCCGTTCCATGGATTCGGCAACTATGTCTTGCCCCCCGTCATCTGCAGTTAGGCTGCTAGTTTCACTTTTGATGCCAAAACACTTTTCAATTAAGCGGGTTACTTCTTCGTCGTGAAACATAGAAGTCTCGACTTGCTCCTTTAGCGCAAGTTCAGAAGTAGCCAATCGACTTGCGAGCTCGTTTTGAACATGATCGGCGTGTGAAAGAGCCATCACTTGAGCTCCTTTTTCGGTGCGAAGTTTCTTCACCTCTTGTCGCATAGCGTCAAGATCTTCAGTCAGCTTGCCGGTTTCTTCTTTGGTCTTGCTCAAGACTTCTTCACTAGTTTCGAGTTTCTTTGTCATTTCCAGTTGTTTAAACTCAAGCTGTCTGACAGTCACTTCCAAAGAAGCCTTGTCCTGTTGCAAGCCTTCCAATTCAATAGACTTGCCTGCAATCTTTCCCTGCAAGACATCCTTCGCTCCTATTGCAGCCTCGAGTTCCTTTCGAGTGGAAGTCTCGCGGCTGGAAGAAGCTTGGAGATCGCCTGACAATTTTGCAATCAATCCTTCCTGCTGCTTCAGATCTCCCTCTAGAACAAAAACAGTGTCCTGCAGTGATCCGTTTGCCATTTCCAAATCAACAACGGCCATTTCGAGATCATCGATTTGGGATGCCATTGCTCGCTTCTGTGACTTGTGAGACTCAATCACTCCTTTCAAGGCGGATTGACCAAGCTCCAACCCTTGCACCTTTTTTGCACGCTCCTTTAGTTCATAGCACTCTTTCTGGCACTCTGACAGTTGTGCACTGAGTCGTTCCAGTTGCTGCTTGCGCTCCTTCAGCTCATCCCCTTGTTTCGCAGCGGATGCGCGATGCTCTGTCAGTTCGTTTGCAAGTTTCTCTTTTCGATTGGCAGCCTCTTGAAGCTTAGATTCAAGTACCGAAGTATTTTCCTCTGTCTCCTCGATCCGCAGCTTCAAACCCGCATTATCGTGCTTCAAATCCATAAGCTCTTGCTGCAAGTGCAAGGAAACATTCTGATTTGCAAATGAGGAAGTACCTTCCTCCATTGCCGCGTCAATCCTTTGCAAGAACAGCTGCATTCCTGGTGGATCATCCATACGATCTGCAGTCAAGGACATCGGAGATTTGGCACTTTTCTCCTGAGAACGTGGAGTTGAGTATACTGTCATACTCACAGGTGAACTTGAGGACGTGGCACGGTTATGAAACATCGAAGTGCTATTGAGTATGTTTGGTGGTGCAGTCTTGACTTCGTGGGTGCGCTTTTGCCGCATTGCATGAATCTTGGCACGGCGGAGCTCAACTTCGGATTTCACCTTTTCGATCCGATCATGTCCTGCGATGGCTTCAATATTGCTAATCACAGGCTGATCTGATATTAGTCTCTGATTATCCGTCGGCTGTTCGAAACGACTCAAATGTGTTGCTTCCGCACTACGCGAAACGGTCCGTTGCAACCTTGTCTTTTCTTTTTCCAGAACGGCAATGCGATGCTTTGCTTCACTACTTGCCTCGATGCGAGATTGAGATTCGTGCTGTAGCATTCTTCTTGATTCTTGTAATTCTTCTAAGAGTTGTGTGGATTTGTCTTGTAGCGCCGAAATGTATCGATACAGACTCTTTTCCGAATCTTTCTTTTCATCTTCCAGTTGCCGCAAGGAATCTTCCAGCGAATGTATTCTTCGTGATTGTTCCAAGCACTCATTCTGATAAGAATTGCGTTCTTGCCGTAATTCTGCTGTGTCTTGTAATAGTTCTCGGGTTCTTCTCTGAAGCTTGGACCGCTGTTGATGTAAGAGTACCACCTGTGGGTCTGAATCTCCTTGTGCCAGAGCAAATGACATTTCATGGTCCGTCAATTGTCGCTGAAGTTCTTCAATTTCACGCCGTGCTTCTTTAATCTCAAGCCTCATGTTCTCACTTGATTGTGGTGATAGTATGAGAGCCTTCTCCCTGTGTCTATGTTTGTTGCTCGGTATCCGTGCAGCCTTGGGATCGTCCAAAAAGTCGGTCAGCACTTGATTGGACAACGCCTGAAACTGCTGTTGTGCAACATCTGTCGATGATCCTCGACGCCGTTTAGATCTACTAGATGCAGATTCCAACAAGAGTTGTGACATGGACTGCACTTGACGCTCCACCTTCTCCCTCAGATATCGCAGGTGTTCGGTTTCAGCGCTCAATTCAGTACTTTCGGAATGCGTAATTCTCAGATCATTCAGTTGCTCTTGCGGTAGTGAAACACTAGCGTTTGATTTCGTGTTATTGGGAGAAAAAGCAGCATCTCCTTTGTCTTGCTCGTCTCCATTGTTTCTGGCCTTGGCCGCAGTATTGGACGACTCCTTTGAAAACAAGCGCTTGGGACTCATGGTTTTCCATTCTTTTTGAAGTCTTGCAAGTTTGCCGTCAGATCTTGGAATTTTACTAACTAAAACATTTCTGGCATTTTGTTGTCGTTTTCGCTGCGTCACTTTGGATTCCGAATAAGAAGCAAGCGTAGAAATAGTCGCTGTTGCGGTTGTTTCAGTCGTTTGTGAGGATTCCTCCAAGGAACTTGTTGCTTTTGGAGAGGCATTTTGAGGTTTCGGTTTCCGCCTCTCATCAAATGGAGCGTCAGAAGATTCACAGTGATTCATTATTCATTATTTTAGCGAAAGGAACGTTGTGGAAAGGTATCGATATGCTGCTGATGAAACGCTCCGATGTCTAACATCAACGATGAAGAGAAATTATGTGTCACACTCAGCATTTCATCGTCATGGAGGTTCCGCATTCCGCATTTTTGAAAATTGGCAGTCTGTGCACGAGTATGCGCACAAAATACCGTTGGCCCTCACGCCAGCCGACCCATACCTGCTCCCCGTATTACTGTATCCTTTCTGTTCCGTATGTACGTGTACCGGTACACCTGGTACACGTGTACGTGCACGCACGTGTGATCGGATACCTTCGTCTGTCCGCTCTTCCACACTTTGAGAGCAAAACGTAAGCACCCGGAGTTACCTACTCCGTGCTACACGTCTCTTCTATCAGCTGGCCCCTGCTTAAATGTTGTCTGGCCTTCCTTCCACACAAGAGCTTGTAGTACTAATTGCGTCACAACGTCGGAACATGCCGATCAATTACTTAGGGCACCATTTTCTGATCAAAATTTTAGGGGAATCTTTTGGGTCGGAGTTGTACGAGAAGAATATTATTGGAGGAGCAGCTGGGACTTGTTAGAGTTGATTTATGTTTATGGCAAGTGCGTAAGTGAAAAATAGAGGTGATTGTGTTAGGCTGTATTTGATGATAGGTTAACTATGAAAGTGTTAAAGAGAGGCTCCATAGATGCTTTATTAATTGTGAAAGTGTTAGAGTGCGTCAGTTTGTATGGCATTTAATGTTTATGAAGTTTAAATGGTCTAGGTCTATAGAGTTGCTCGTTGTACCTTCTAACAGGCGAGCGGGTTGGCAAGGTTGTTTGCCAAGCGTATGCTGGTTTATACAATGGAAGCTCCTTTCGGTGGTAGCATGTTCAAAAAGAGTAAAACATAATGTTGTGGGATTGTAGAATGAGTTCAGAACTTTCGCGTGACAATTGGTGATGAGGAAAGCATGGATCGATTTGGATGAGATGCAATCGATGTAGTTGTAGTTGTAGTGCTGTATTGCATCGGTGAAGATCCAATAGTCGATCGAACATTGGGTGACGGAGAGTACCTATAACGGTCGCCCTTCGCGTAGTTGTGGTGATGATCACCGTATTTCATAGAAGCACTTTCATCCAACTGCATAGGATCTGCTGTAGTTGAGGTTGGACTCGAAGTTACAGTTTGGTCCATGGAAGTCATGGAGTTCACAGTCGAGTTGAATAGGCTCCTCAGCCGTTGTCTTGCAGAGTGGAGTCTTGAAGTCTCACGGAACGAAGTCTTAGTCGTGATCTCGTTCCAGAATGCTTGACGTGCTGCAAGTGGAAGTCGGATGTATGAAAGATCTTCCATTACATTCAGAATGCAAGCCATGGCAACAGTGGACCATGGGTATCGTACGTAAGATGAGTCGCATACGGATAGTTCCGCAATGTAGATAGCGACTTCGAACAGCTCCTTTCGTACAGAGTGGCTCACTTCCGATGGAAAGACCATCAGAAAGTGAGAAATAAAGGCAAAGAGTGATGGAGGGTGAAGCTTCCAATCCAATGCCTCAAAGATCTTCCACTCCATTTGCTCAATGTCGCTAGGACCAAATTGGCCCCGAGACAAGGAAGCAAGAGTTGAGAGTTTGACAGTTTTCTCAGAATGGATCTTGATAGAAATGTGCAGAGTTGTCAGCGATGTGAGCAGTGCCATGTTTCCAGTGCACTGGTTGTGTCTCGTTGCAAGGTATCGGTCAAAGAGGCTAAGCGAAACTGCAACAACCTCACGTGGTAGATCAAAGTGATCTACGACATTGTAAGACCATTGGCAGATCTTCTCACGCCAGCTGACGTTTAGCCGATGCTGCTGATCAACCTCCTGTGGACTCAAGTTTGATGGGAAGTAGGATTCATATCTGTAGGAAGTCTGCTCCTGAACTATCATGGTTTGGATTAGTTCCAGCAAGCACTCCCTTGGTAGATCCTGATTTGTCATTTTACACAACTGCTTTTTATTCTACCCCCACTGTGAAAGTGAGAGAAAGATGCTGAGAGGTTGGGAAGAAGAGAGGACGTTTCGTAATCGGATACGTCGGTTCCAGGAAAATCCTAGTTCCATTAGAAGCATTTTCCACGGACTGAAACAATTCGCAGGGTAGTCTGTCGGAAAAGATTTCAGCCAATCTAAACCCGCAACGTCACTTTGTCAGACAAGCTTTAAGCCTATCAAAACGGTTTTCAACGGTATACTCCGAATCTGCAATAAATGGCTGCGTGGCATTCGCATGGTTGGACGTGGCAAAAAATTTCCCGCTGCGTTTGTGGCTACCAATTTCATGCGATGAATTTTCACCACGAAGATTCCCTCCAACTTCTCCTTTTGCTTGCGGCAGTGTGCTGCCAAACCCCAGGTGACGCCAAACGGCAGAAGAAGGTGTCTAAAAACTAAATAATATCGGCATACATTTATGTGCATGTCAAGAGTGCTTCATACCTAACCTGGTTTTATTTTTATTGCTGGCCGTAAAACTTCGTGAACTTTCGTATGGCACCCCTTTCTGATCATGCATTGAAAAGATATGGTTGCGACCAGGTGTCACCAACGATCACCATGCAATGATGATTCTTAAAAAATTCTCGGCAGCAACATGTTAGGCCGTGAACTGACGTTTGAAGTATGTTGCAGCTGCAACATGAATGGATGGGATGCAAAGTATAGCTATAGCAATAGCTTGGTCGAATTGGACTATTCTATTTAACTGCTGCAGCCAACGGGCAGATCTTTCCCATGCACTCTTGGGATCCATCTAGGTGTTGCACGATCGTCCTCCATGTTAAATTGATTCGTTCTCCTTGAGTATGTGGATGATCCATGTATTCCTTACTGTCACCGGGCCAGACAGAATGTAGATAGTGTTTTTGAAAATAGCCTTCCATCGTCATGAGATCCCCATGTTTCAGCATGACTTCAATCACATCATGATTGTGCTTCTTTTGGGCCGTGTTGCCATCTTCGTCCTCTCGCTTCCTTCGGACTTGAAACTTTCGAGCACTACCCTTATCCGAAGGTGGTGATGTCAGTGACAGTGATACTATTCGAACCGGCCTGCGCAGTCCATCAAAGAGAAATTCATCATCCGCGTGAAAGCCAACACCTCCTCCTCTTGGGTAGTAATTAAGATTGCAGCAATCGAATGCCGGCGAAGTGGTATGGCCTCCATTGACATTCCCCAAGATCACACAGTTGATTGCTTCAGTTATTTCCGCAATGACCTTCTTCATCCTTGCTGACTGAGCAATTGGTTGCCATGTATCTGAATATCTGAATGAATCAATCAATTCAAAACAACACATATTGCATGTCAGCAACGAAATTAAAGATATTGGGAACCAGCAAAAAACACATACGCCACTTACCCATATACGCATTTGCAAGCTTCGTCAAAGACGCACCAAGATGTCTTTCGCAACAGAACTTCGCCCTTGTAGCTTGCTCCAGTCCAAGCTATTTCATGTTGTTTTGCATTTCCGTCTGAACTATTAGTCTCGTAGTTGAAAGGATGAAGTTCCCGAAACCACCGATCCAAGTCGGCTTGTGATGCAAAGGCTGGGGCTTTACCTTCATTGTCATTGGAAGAATCGTAGTCGTAATAGTACGCAAAGCTTTGTGTTACTTCATCTTCGACGAGTGGCACCCAGCTTGTTGCTCCAAGTTGAGACACTTCTGGTGTCAGAGAAAACTTTCGGCCCTGACCATTGTGGTTAGATGAAGCCACCATTGAAGATCACTGCTTTCGTGTGTTGCTCATTTAGCAACAAAACCGAGCAGTATTACGAGATGGTGCTTCGGTTGTTGAATTCTTGCTTCTGAAATTCTGATGGATCTTTTTGGTCTACGGTAGTCAAAAGAGTCAGTCGACTATACAAATTAAGGGAGGCGGGGGCGAGGCAGGTACAAAAAGGGAGGGATCCCGAAGAACACAATCCCCATTCTCAAACCATGATGACCAAAATTCCTTCTCCAAAGAAAGATCCACGTTGCCAGGACCGTGAAAGAACGTTCTTCATTTCTTTTACCTAAAAATAATGCTCTCCTCGCCGGTTGACGTTGAAGTTCTCTTGTTGGCGCTGCTCTTGTATCGCCTCTTCCAAGTTGGCCCAGTAGCTAGTAGTGCGTCGTCCAATCTGATTTAGTTCCATAGAAACCCGTCCAATGACACCAAGAGCTCTTGTAAACTCTTGAAATCTTCGTAGGAGGCATCCTTGTGATAAGCCACAAAATCACACTCCAGTCCATCTAACAAATATGTCATACCACGCCATGATTCTAGTGTGTTGCCGTTTTGCTGCTCCGCAGCTGGAACTGGACGTACATTGAAGCGCAAGCAAACCCCTCCTCGGTGGAATTGTTTCAGAGACCACAGTTCTCTAGCGCGACAGCCCGCATCGTTATGAGCCGTAGGTCCACCAATGGACGTATCAAGGAATGCCCAATGTAGGCTATCGTATTGATCAAAGTCTTGATTGTTTCCCAAATGCAAGCACTCGCCAGTATCCGTGCGGACGCACCGAAAGGAAAAGGAAATGCTGTCATAGATGTAGGTAGGAACATCTGTCAGGGGGTCTGGGTCGTAGAATTCGGCAAAGTGGTCGTCGGGCTTTCCTCGAAGAGGTGGTACTGGAAGGGGAACCACTCCATCACTTTGGTTGCGACCATCAATCATTTGGAATCCAAGCTCTGATTCACTTGGAAACCAGTGAGCAAAGCTTTTGTGCCAGCTTCCAAAGACTTTTCCAGTTGCTTTCCAATGAACGTCCACAATCAAAAAGACCTTCTCAGGTACAAGCGTAGTAGAAGGCAACCAATAGTCCTTGTCGTTTCCAACTTGTTTGGAAGTAGCTAGTCTTTGGGCAATTACATCCATCTGTCGACGAGGTCTCTCGACAATTGCCATGAGGATCTTCTTGTATAATGCCGGAGACAATGAGGATGATTCCGACAAGTCCATTGCCTTCCACAAATCTGGAATAATACGGCTTCCAGCTTGTTTCCATATCAAAGGACGATCAATTTCGTCCTTCCATCTCCGAGATACCCGTAGACAATGTATGAGATCGATTGGATAAAGCCACTCAACAACCAATTGAAGCGTTGCTCCTTGTAGGAAGGAAGACGTTCCACACCGCAAATTATCATCGGGATTGTCATGGTTGCCACATGGCTTCTGTCGTTGTGCTTCCTCTAATTTTAGCCTGTGCAGTAAGTCTTCCAAATTCGCAACTTTCTTTCTTGCCACTTTGAGTCTTTCTTCGATACTATTGATCGTGTGGGTGGTCATATGATATATATAGTGTATGTATACATCACAGTGTGTTTGTGTCTGCTTCTTGCTTCCATGCGGTCGTTGTTGAACATAGTTTTAGTCGGATGAATCATAAACCAGAGATTGACCACGTTAGTTGAACATAGTAGATATCTACCGGTACAGTGCTTTAGCTAGAGAGATGCACTAGAATCGTCTATCTGCTTGTACTTAGGATTTTCAGTTTGAGGAAGTGAGTGATGACGATTGTATGACCTTGGATGCACACATAGTATTGTTCGAAGAGACTGTTGCTTGCAGAGAAAGAAGTCCCCCATCCCTTCGTATTTAGCAATTCTTGACCTCCCTTTTTAGACAAAACTGTTCAACAATGTAAACGGATATAGTTACATTGGAAAGATACAGTAATACACGCACAAAACAGCCGTTTCAAGTTGATAGTAGACTATGGACTTCTACTATTTACTACTCTGCATAATGGCCAGTTTTTATTGTACATTGCATAGCTATTAACCTGTTTAGTTTTACTATTTTCAGTATTCGTTGCATGGATATTTCTATTCTCTGCCTCTGATGTTTTCCTTCTTCGCCGTCTTTCCGACACCTGCCTTGCCTTGGGTAGGCCGGGGAGTTGGGCTCATCGTCGGGGATTTGGTGGGTGCACTACTTGGTAACTCACTTGGTGACTCACTTGGTACCAACGAAGGTGAATTACTGACACAGTAAAATTGATAGTCGCACGGGTACACGACGTTGAGACATGTGCCCGGGACATCACACTCGCAGTCAAAATCAGTGCCTTCCGTCACTTGACAGGTGTAGCCGGATGCCTCCCAGAAGGCTTGTCCACTGTTACAAGATCCTGTCGCATCTCCAATCAAGTCTCCAAATTGACAATCGAGCATCTCCAGTCCCTCAGCGTACAGATCCAATGGAACGATGTAGTCGTTGAATGTAGATCGGCAGCGCTCTCCACACTGTGCCTCACAGGTTTCCAAACACAAATCGAAAGTGTCTGGATCCGGAGAGTTGCATTGCGACTTGCAGTCTGTAGTGAGGAAGTCAGTAGAAATTGGGCAGTTTTGTCGACAATCACAAGCGTCATAACAAGGGTCAAGTTCGAATCCATTTAGGGGGTCACGGCATTCTCTGCGGCATGACCATCTACTGTCTGTTTTCACATGTCATAATAATAGTTAGTCAGCGCTGATGTGCATGGGTATACATATACATATTGCATATATACTATATGCATATGTGTATATACTAGTCAAGAAAAGCTACGATTGTTGTACTCACCTCCAGGAATCCTCTTGAATCCGTCCGCTTCTGTGGCAATGGCCAAGCCGTCAAAGTCCAAGTCACGCAACAAGAATTCAAAATCTCCGTTTCCCGAACAGCAGAGAGCAATGTCTTCTTCTGTCAGCATGGAAGGGGCGAAGGGTGTTTCATTGTCACCGGGGCGGTTCTGCAAGGCACGAAGGGTTGCTGGTTTGGCAACATCTCTATTGAAGGTCATGCGGCGTTGCTCAGGACGACCTGGGACCACAGGTGTCTCAGGGCTACCAGGGACCACGGGTGTGCCATCAGCATTTTGAGGTGGTCTGAATGGCCTGTTTGGCGCAACTCCATCACAACCACCACCACTTCCAGGGCGGTTACCGGCAGATACCCAATCAGCGGTAAGAAGGAGGATGAAGACCTTGTTCATCATCATACCGATACCGATTTTTTAATTGTGGGAGTCTCAAGGCCAGCACGGAGTTTTAGCCCGCGCATGCTCCATGCCAGAGCGAAAATCGTTTCGCGTTTGGATGGTTCCCAGGTTTTTACGACTTGTGCATAAATAGACATTCGCAAATTTTCTAGTTATTGCCAAAGAATCTTCCTGAACGTTGACACAATACCGGTCAAATTTTTTGATAGGTAAATTTGAGATTACCTCTGTCTCAACGACAGTCGCATTTATAGCATGTCGTGTGTATGCAAGATGAAATTGTTTGGGACGACCGCATTTTTTCTTTCGAAATTCCCACAATTAAAAAATCGGTATCGGTATGATGATGAACAAGGTCTTCATCCTCCTTCTTACCGCTGATTTGGTATCTGCCGGTAATCGCCCTGGAAGTGGTGGTGGTTGTGATGGAGTTGCGCCAAACAGGCCATTCAGACCACCTCAAAATGCTGGTGACACACCCGTGGTCCCTGGTCGCCCTGTTACTCCTGTGGTCCCAGGTCGTCCTGAGCAACGCCGCATGACCTTCAATAGAGATGTTGCCAAACCAGCAACCCTTCGTGCCTTGCAGAATCGCCCCGGTGACAATGAAACACCCTTCGCCCCTTCCATGCTGACAGAAGAAGACATTGCTCTCTGCTGTTCGGGAAACGGAGATTTTGAATTCTTGTTGCGTGACTTGGACTTTGACGGCTTGGCCATTGCCACAGAAGCGGACGGATTCAAGAGGATTCCTGGAGGTGAGTACAACAATCGTAGCTTTTCTTGACTAGTATATACACATATGCATATAGTATATATGCAATATGTATATGTATACCCATGCACATCAGCGCTGACTAACTATTATTATGACATGTGAAAACAGACAGTAGATGGTCATGCCGCAGAGAATGCCGTGACCCCCTAAATGGATTCGAACTTGACCCTTGTTATGACGCTTGTGATTGTCGACAAAACTGCCCAACTTCTACTGATTTCCTCACTACAGACTGCAAGTCGCAATGCAATTCTCCGGATCCAGACACTTTCGATTTGTGTTTGGAAACCTGTGAGGCACAGTGTGGAGAGCGCTGCCGATCTACCTTCAACGGCTACATCGTTCCATTGGATCTGTACGCTGAGGGACTGGAGATGCTCGATTGTCAATTTGGAGACTTGATTGGAGATGCAACAGGATCTTGTAACAGTGGACAAGCCTTCTGGGAGGCATCCGGCTACACCTGTCAAGTGACGGAAGGCACTGATTTTGACTGCGAGTGTGATGTCCCGGGTACATGTCTCAACGTCGTGTACCCATGCGACTATCAATTTTACTGTGTCAGTAATTCACCAACTGATGCACCGAGTAGGGAACCGACGAGGAGCCCAACTCCCCGGCCTACCCGAGGAAAAGGAAAGGGTAGTAGCTCGACATCCTCAAAGAAAGACCGCCGCAGAGACCGCGTTAGAGGAAGAGATTAGAAATAGCCATGCAACGAATGTTGAAAGTAGTAAATTAGTAGATAGGTTAATAGCCATGAACTAGGACTGTTCTAAATGGTAGTAAATCTTAGCTATTCTACTGTCAGTCATTCAACTTGACACGATTGATTGAATGATTTGATTCACTTTTGTTGAAACTACAAGCGCAAACGACGTTTACGAAGGATTCCACAAGGATTTTCTACTGCTACCTTTATGCACCTGCGTCTCTCCTACGGCAACATTTATCTCTTCCGTTTTCCACGAATACGCTGTAGTCGTAGTTTGTCGGGCAATATTTGTTTTGATCTTGTCGACATTTAATCTATTCTTAAGTAGCCATTTAAGACTATTCATGACTTTTCACAACCGTTAAATGATGAGGGCCATTCCGAATCTCCGGATACTGCGAAAACACATATTGACATGAAGTTAGAACCGTTTTGATCTTGTAGTTGTTTATTAGATGTGTTTGAAAAGTCATAAGACTTTGCACGACACATAAATGCTCAGTGCCGTTCTGCGCGTGTCTTTTCGGTTTCGCACCACCAGTGATCACTTTGTTTAGCTTGAACGGACGAAAAGGTTCCGAAAAAACACGGGATTGCGATCTTTTTCCAAATACCACGGCATTGAAGTACAAATTTTCAGACAGATTTCAGTAGAAAGTGTTGGTAACTTACACTGACCATGACGAAATCAGTCGACATGGATGGCGTTGTCAGATCCGAGAGATATTCGGATGACGACATTGAGGAAGCGCCATTAGCTGCGCCAGCCCCAGAGCAAGCTCAGGAGCAAGCCCCAGCCCGCGTCCGAAGCACAGTACGCATCCGTACCGAAAAACCCAAGCGCACCTACTCGGATGACATTATTTCGCAAGATTTCTTGGCCGTCGGAGCTGAGACTGACATGGAAGAACGTCTTCGTCTGTTGGAGGACGCTGTCAACCACAATGTAGACACTCTGCAAAAGATGCGAGATATCAACGCAAATCTGAAAGTAGAGAACAGGAACTTGAAGAAAAAAGTTGAAAACAGGGACGGTGACGGTGACAAGCGAACCCTGATGCTACTTCAGCAGTTATCCACTAAGGTTGTCAACAAAGAGTTGCGTACCTTATCTGATGACGTGTACTCCTTCTTGTTTTGTTCCAAGGTCCTCAGTGTGCCTTCATTCATTGGACTTGGAACTGTGTTTATTCAATTTTCTGTCTTTGCCCTCTTTCTTGGCGATCTCTTGAACACCCAAGAGATCCCAGCCAACGTGGAGACTCTGGTAAGAGTTGGGCAAGCTGGTGCCATTCTGATTAATTTCATGGCACAAACGGATGTTCGTACCGGTATGCGCGCTCTCATCTACCAAGAAGGTGTCGAGGCGCTGGAAAACGAGTTTGCTGGGTTCACGCGCAGAAGATTCATTATTGCCAACATTTTTATGCTCTCTCAAGGCCTCTTGGGTACTGTGGTTTCGATTCAATTGATTGTCTACAGCGACAACATCTTTGATCTCTTGCTCAACTTTACGGCTGTCATGTTTGTCTCTGAGCTAGACGAACTGGTCTTTTACATGGCGAGAAACGGTTACCTTGGAATCAAGTCCGAAAAGCTTGCTGAGAAAATTCAGGAACTGGAATTCGGCACTCAGAACCGCGCTGGTGTGTCTGGGTACATGCATGTGATTCTCTTTGGTCTCTTGGTTATTGCTGGATACATTTACTTCGCCGTTATTATTGGACTTCAAGCTGGAAACACTTCCTTGCCAGTATACGTCAAGGCGGAGTTTGGTGACTCGGTGGATCCCACCTTGGGATTGTATTCTGGTTGTTACAAGATGATTCCTGGTCCCACCTGGTCCTCCCGTGTCACTTACAAACAAGTTCAAACCGAGCGAGGACAAGGACGTTTCACTTATTGCTATGACGACATTCGTTCCTGGTCTTTCTCTCCACTCTCTGTTGCTGAAGAGGACGCTTGCGAATACCCTGCTCTACAAAGTGCGGAAGAACGCCCAACATCGTTCGACTTGTTGGACGCTAAGGGTGACCAATGGAAACTACCCTCTGGAAATCCAATCCAGACTTTCCAATTGGTTGAAGTAGATGAAAATCGTGTCGATGCTGAGTGTGGAGAAATCTTTGGAGGTGGTGACAGCGAAGAAGAATTGTGCCCTATTATCACCATGGAACAATCTTTCACCGGATTTTCGGATGATCGTGATTGGTCCAGGAGTTACAATCAAATGCTGGCGGAGGACGGGAAGCCAGTCTATTTCTACCAGCATCCTATCTACGTTGGAGAATTCGTTGACCCCAAGGAAGGATTGGAACTGATCTTTTTCACTGGTCGTCGTTGGTTGTCCACAACTGCCCAGGGACTCACAACTGAAGCTGATGAGGGAGTTGATTTGTCCAGCGAAGCTGCCATGCTCTCTTTGCTGCGCGACAAGACCGATGTGACTGACTTCCGTTTGCTTTCCCTTGAAAGAGGTGCTTATGCCTTTATCAGTCAATCCGTGGACCAAGCCAATGATCGCGGGACTCCCTTGGGATTGCGTTGGTACCACAGTCGTTACGGTGATAACGGGTTCGACAGTTTCCCATTTGCCGATATCTCTCGTCCTGCCGACGCCCTCTTTTCCTGTGGTAAATGCGACAGTGAGCGCAACCCCTGCCGATTCGAAGGTGTGTGTCTTGCCGATGGAACCTGTGACTGCAAGCATGGTGCCACTGGAAAACTTTGTGAAATTAAGCCACTTGCGAATGGTATTTGCAATCCTTACTTCAACAAGGGACCAGATCGCTTCGATGGTGGCGACTGCTGTGTATCTACATGCGAAGGCGTTTCGTGTGGTGTTGGAGATATGACAGAAGCGTTTGGGCAAGAACTAAGGAGATCTGGAAATGGATATCCTTACTGCATTGATCCCAATATGGTTCCTTTGACCATTACCATGAACCACACCATTGATCCAACTTTCTTCAGTGGTGTTGAGGACACTGCTGGTGGTACTTTCGAATCTTACTTCCTCGAAGTCAACTGCAATGATGGAGAAGAAATTCCTATTCGAGTTGCCCTAGATCCAGAAATTGTCCGAGAATCATCTCAAACTCTTTATGTTGCTGATCAAATGGGTGGTTGCGCGATTTCATTCCTAGGAATCCAATCCACCAGTCTTTTCAATGCAACCTTCCAGCTGATTGACGGACTTCCAGAAGATGCCGCAAATGTCGCCGTTGCATCTTCTGAAATGCGCGATATTTCCGACGTGACCAAGGATGCGACCTTTATGATTCCTACATTGTATGCCAAGTGTTTGAAGGAGACTCTCAAGGACGTGGTGGATACGTCAGCATACTATTCGGGAACCTATCAGGATGAAGCCATGTCTTGGATGAACGCAGAAATCAAGAACGCCAGATGTTCTAACGATGAGGAGTGGCGAATTCAGCGTTATGCTTTGGTAGCTTTGTGGAGAGCAGAAGGTTCTCCAGTTGAGTGGGTGAACAAAAACGATCATTGCTTGTGGAGCCGTATCAACTGTAAAGACAACCATCCTGTAGTGATCACCCACGACGGTGACACCACTGGTAGACTAAATGGAACCCTGGCAACTGAAATTGGACTGTTGACCCATCTTGGTACGTTTCTTTCTTTCTGTAATGGATGCTACACTGTTTATTTCAGGCAACAGCAATGCTTACACTTTTCCCATTTGTTGCTCTCCGCGAAACAGAACGTCTCGATGTTTTCACCAATGACCTCACAGGCACGCTTCCATCCGAGCTAGGATTGTTGACCAAGTTGACCTTCCTAGGTTACGCTCAAAACGCTCACACCGGCACAATTCCCACCGAGGTCGGTCAACTTACTGCCTTGGAAAAACTGTTGCTCTGGCAAAACCAGTTGACTGGAAGCATCCCAAGCGAAATCGGTTTGCTTTCGGATTTGGGAGAGATCAATCTGCAAGAAAATAACCTGTTTGGCAGCCTACCATCTGAACTTGGCGCGTTGACCAAGTTGACGCGTTTGACCCTCTTCACGAACTATTTCTCTGGTTCGTTGCCAGCTGAAATAAGTCTAATGACCTCGTTGACAAACATTGTGATGACACAAAACTCACTGACTGGTGCAATCCCAGATTTGAGCAAGCTGTCGAACCTTGATACTCTCATTTTGTTTGCAAACCTGTTGTCGGGACCACTCCCAACAACCGAGCTCAGCAAGTTGCCTACTCTGTTCACTTTGAACCTTTCCACCAACGAGTTTTCGGGAACCATTCCTCAGGAATGGGCAGAACTAACTTCGTTGTACTGGATGATTGTCAACAAGAACCAATTGACAGGAACCATTCCGGAGTTCTTGGGAACATCTTACCCTGACTTGAATCGTCTTGTCTTGGATGAAAACCAATTGGTTGGAAGTATTCCAGACTCATTCGCGAATCTTTCGAACATGGCGCGACTTCGACTCCAAAGCAACCAGTTGACTGGCGAATTGAAGCCAGAAGTTTTTGGAGGATGGACAAGCATGGGACAATTGTACTTGTCCTACAATCAATTCAATGGCACTTTGCCATCCGAAATCGGCATGTTGTCCGATATGGATTACTTCGAGGCGAGTGGAAACCAGTTCAGTGGTCAACTTCCTGATGAGCTTTGGACCAATACAAACATGAACACATTGTACTTGGATAACAATCAATTCACCGGAAGTGTTCCAACGGAAATTGGATTGTTGTCGAACATGTTGTACATGGACCTTACTGGCAACAACTTGACTGGAACGATCCCAAGTGAAATCGCAATGATACCGAACTTGAGCTGGTTCCAGATTCTGGCAGGCAACAGTTTTACAGGCACTGTTCCATCAGAGGTCTGTGATGTCTTGATTGCAAATGGAGCAACGTCCGACGTAATGGATTCGTGTCTTAGCGGAACGAGTGTCGGGGCAGAACCAGAACCAATCAATGAAACGACGCCACCAACCGATGCAACCCCAACCCCAACCGATGCAACAACACCATAAGGAAACTTCGAGTCGGGAGATATGTAATCTCCTGAATTATATAGATCACAAATGCATGTAAACAATAACAGATATTTAATATTCACGAATTAGGACTTGATACATGTAAAAAGTCTATAGAGGAGTGAACTCTACCCACGGAAAAGTTTTGGTAGGAATTTCCTGACCAAAACTACATGGATGTGGTCATCCTCTTATCCACAAGTACCACCGGTACCTGGAACGATAAGCTCCTTCAGCTAGCAGTGTCGCTAGACTTGACAATTGAAGCATACAAGAGGAACTCAACTCCCCTCGGCGGCATGATGCTGATACTACTGTAATTCCACGTTTGCATTCTCAATTGTCGTCCCCTTTAGTATGTTACAGAGATAGATGTGCATGACGTGATTGGTGGATGACAAAGCTTGGGCACAAATATGATGCAAAAAGTATGGATATGTTGCGAAAGAAGACATGGAAAGCTTCGATCATCACATGCATATTGAATATGGCTTGACCACAATCCGGAATGAAACTCGAAACGGACACAACTAATCGTCAAAAATCATTCTCCACCATGCACAATCGAATTTGTTTCTTATATTTCCACATCGGTCGCCAACTTTTCCATGTAGGCATCGTTTTCTCCGTCCACCTCTGTTTCTTCTTCCGTTTTGGCCGCTGATCGAACCACTGTCTTGAGTGCTTTGGTATATTCCAATGGCCATTCATCTTCTTCTTCGTAGTAATCATTTTCAGCCTCTTCTGTCAAATCACCTTTGAGGATCAGCTTTCCGACCGATGGGAAAAAGACAATTTCATCCTTCATTACATCGTAGTACTTTTTGACATATGCCAGCTGTTTGTGTGTCAGTCAGTTATCAAGTTTTGAGTGTATCGTATTGTGATGGTTGAGTGTATCAGGTATCAGCGTTTGGGGTATACGTATTTGAAAAGACAATTTGCTTTGTGAGCACACGGCCATAGGTATACATCCATGCGGTCCCATTATTGCCAATCCATAGCAAATTATCAATTGCAATAAACCAAATGATACGACCATTATGCTGCACACCCTTGCTTCGTACCTTATTCGCCGCCTTTCTCAAAGCATTCACCGCTTCTGGATCCATATCTTCTTCCAAAAATTCCAAACAGAACTTGTCAGCCTCGTCGATGATCTGGTCGAACTCTTTTTCGATCATTTTGGTACGTTTCTCTTTTTCCGATGGTTCGCCCATGGTTTTCCCTTGTATGTTGTGTGTATTGTGAATTGCTCTTGTGTGATGCCCTCACTGAACCTTGTTACAGTTACTGGTATCGGTTTGCGGTTTTTCAAAATGACTTTTCAAGTGTCCGTTTGTAGATTTGTCCGTCAACGAATGAATGGCCAAAATTGGAAAATAGTTATGTACCCAGAAGAAAACTGAAACCTGCCATCATTACCATCTATCATCTCATCTCATCTCATCTACAGCATCGCCTTTTCCTTAATAGTTGTTGTTATTATAGTACTTTAGACGCTCGATTCCCTTCAAGTTTTAATCATCAAAATGGAGGAGGAGGATTCGGTAGCCATTCGCGACAAAATGGCCGAGTACTCCAAGTTCCTCGAGGACATTTTGAAACCAGAATGGGAGGATGCCAAATACCGCTTGGATTTGGTCCGCACTCAGATTCATGAATATAGAGAGCTCCAGCAAACACTAATTAAGCAACAAAAGGACTTAACTGCTACGATAATGGCAGGCAAAGAACCTGCAGCAGAAGAGAAAATGATTGAAGCCGATGTGGATTTGGGAATGAATAAGACAGTGTATTGCCGTGCTGTGGCTCCGGCGAGTGACATTCTCGAAAAGATCTTTGTTCATGTGGGAATGAACTATCATGTAGAATTTCGAATTGACGAGGCACTTATCTTTGTATCAAAGCGAATCAAGTATTTGGAGGACAATCCGCTGGCAGCCAAGCAGGCCAAGTTTGACGAAGTGGATCACCATTTGCAGTCGGCGGAAGTAATCTTTAAGCAACTCTCGACCGAAATTCAAAGGGGTTTTTAACTAAGGTGAAGCGAGATGTAGAGGATGATGACACAAGACTTCCGAGCATGCATGAAGTTGATGAAAAAGAATACAAATGAAAATTATGTTATTGGTATACCGATGGATTTTATGGAAGCTTATTTAGGTCCGCATAGATCCCAGCAACACATCTGGAAGGAGCACATGGATGGATCATAGACGCTGTGGGCAAGCAACTCGGCCTCATCCAACTTTGGGAATGCATCGTATGTATAAATCTTGTTCTTCCAAACACCAGCATCGTATGGAGGTTGAGGGATGAGGGCTTCCAATCGCGGTTCTCTCATTTTGCCAATTTTACCTCCTTCTGGTTCCTTGGAGGTTTCCTTACCACCGGTGCTAATGCACTTGTCAAACAAGTTCCTTCGAGCTTCAGGACCAGTCAAAAACTGTTCAAACATTTGAGACATGATGAGACTCTCAGCAAGTTCCTTGCTGTTGCCGATAAATGTAGTCAAATAAGCTTGTTTTCGAAAGGGTTGCATCTGGTACTTTTTGTATTCGCCGAGGAGTGATGTAAGGAAGGACAAGAAAACATGTCGAACCGAATTCTCCAAGCGACTATTCCTGTCGTAAAAGGACTTGGCCACACGTTCTCGCTGCTTCTTCATTCCTTCGTAGCTCAAACCTACGACGCGTTTCGGAGTGATGGGAGATTGAGCGTCCGACTCTTGCGGCATGTTGTTAGACTCTCCATGATTTTCTTCGCCTTCTCCAGTCATCTTGACGGATCCAGCATCGCTCAAGATTTGCTCACGCATATCCACATTGGAACTTTCCTTCAGAATGGACATGTGGCCGTAGATTTCACGCTGCGAGTTGGACAAGAGTTCGTCTGTTCCACGAGTGATTCTTCCCTTGAGTCCACACGCGGGGATCAAATACATTTGGTCCACAATGCCGGACAGCTCCGACTTGAGCTTGAGAGAAGCTTGTCGGGGCAAAACAGGCATACTGGCCTCCTTGCCATTGTAATCATATCCCAAATGGACAATATCTTCATCGAGGTCGCAAATGACCACTCCCTGAGGTTGCTGATTCTGGCATTCACCGTGAATACCAACCAGAAATGGAATGGGTGCTTCGATCGCATCTACCATGCTGTTGGGTAGAATTGGAATGTACATTCCCTGCCATGTAAAGGGGAATAGAAGACTCAAAAGTGCTTCCGCGACAGGAGTCAAGAGACTCAAGTGGTTCGATTGAAGGACAACCTTGCCTTCTTGTAGCAAGGTTGCCCATAAAGTCAAAACGTTGGAGACACTGAGTGTTCGGAAGAGTGGTTCATAGGAAAAGAATACCATTGGGAGCTTGTTGGGAGATCCCATGACGAGTTCGAGTCCTGATTTGGATCGTCCAAAACAGTCCCAACGGACAGCTGCACCGCCTGGACGGGGGAGAGGGATATCATAAACAAAGTTTGCAATGTAGCGTTCCAGAGGAAGAGGAGATCCCGTGCTCTTTAATCGCATTAGCTCGTGCAAGAACTGTGATTGGGCATCGTAGTACGGGTAGTGGGAAACAACAGCAATCGCCTTTGGAATGTAGTACGTGGCACCGTCTTCCGCATTGGACAACCAAGCAGGTAGCGAGATACTACGATCCCAGTACAACTCGGATAGCCCCACCGAGGTGATGGGCTCGTACATCATCGCCGCTGATAGAAATAGCAGATCTCCTGCACTCGTAGTGAGAACAAAGTTAAAGACCTTGGTTTCCTTTTGTTTGCAAGAAAGTCTACATCCTCCAGGGAAACAGAATTGGGGCATCTCCATTGGAAAGTCCATGTCTTGTCTCTGCTTTGGCACACAATCAATTAGATGTGTTTCAAACTGAAGATCAGTAGGCTTCTTCGTTTTCTTGTTCTCTACATTCATATCGGCCCCCATCACAACAAAGAAGTCGACAAGGCGATCGAAAGGAGTGCCCAAGTCGACGACACTATCATCTATCGAGGACACATCGCTATCGACGCTTAGTCCCGCCGTGAAGTTTCCGGCGGATCCTGTTGACATTGTTTCAGCATCTGCCTTGGCAGCAGCCAATTCGTGATCGGTAGATGGAGCTGGGTCTATTGCCCTCCTCAAAAGGGAAGGCTCTTCGGATCGCTTAGTTGCTGTCATTTTCTGATCAATCAATACTGTCTTGTTGGTTTAGATAAAGCTCGTTCGCCTTTGAGAGACTCTAGATGGCGAAAGAATCGGAGCAACGATTCGTTCCAACGGTTGCAAGGGTGCGTACCCCTGGCGTTAAGGTGCGTCTCGGTTTCCGTTCCAGACGCTTTGGCGAAATTCAAGCAATGACTCCTCCGACCATTCACATGGTACTACCTTAGGCATATGTGAGGCACGGCCAGACTTCACGGTCGGTCATCCAACCAAATTCAAAATGGACTACTCACTCGTCCGTACGTGGCACAAAGTGAACTTCACCTACCGGTATAGTGTCAAAACGCCCTTTTTGTCAATAATGACACCGTATCAGGTACCTGGTACCAGTACCACAATGGAGCTGTTATTTGCTCAAGGTATGTCACCATCGATGTTATCCTTATCCGCCATGCTTATGATTATAAAACTGGAAGCAATTACTACGTTTTCTGACTGAACAGTGACGCGATTTTCCATGTGCGCTATGAGGCAAGCTCGAATCATTATATCGAGCTTGATGTTTTGTTGTTGATGTTGAACATCTTGAAGGAACTAATCGTCGCTTTCTTTCCAACTCTGGTCTCTAGTTCGTGTCTGAAACATCAATAATCATAAGTGAGATGAAAGTCATATGACATCATCATAAGTTGATTCAAGGTAGGTTTGGAACCGTGATGTCCGAATATAATAGTCGAACCCGAGGAGAATATGATGATATCAATGTGTCCAATTGCTGACTGAAACACCATGTCGAGATTTATCACAGCTGATTCTAGTCCTTTTGGATAAATTTTTATGACCTCCACACGACATTGCTCTAACCTTCTTCTGTGTGTTTTGCTGCCTTCAGATTGTCAGTTTCGAGCTGTCAATGTGTTGTCGTCTCAGTTTTGCCACGACGAGATGAATGATAGAGTGAGTGATTATTTCTATTGATCATGTCTGTCAGGAAGGATATCCCTCTGTTCTTTGATGCGCGAATGAAACAGCTATATCCACCATTCGAAGCATCACTCACAGGGGGGAAATGAAGAGTCTTCCTGTTCCAACAGCTTGTGTCATATATCAGTTGTGGTCTGAGTATAGTTTCAGGAAACATATTCTTTTTCTCACGCTATACTGTATATGTCTCGATTGAATTTCTCTTGCTATACAGAAATGGGCAGTAGCTGATACGTCTTAATAAGAATCTTCTTTTGCGATGATTGGATGATTTGGATCCAAGTTTTTGCCATCGTTGCTCGATTCATTCTTTCATGATGCAAGCAAAGGATTTGGTGCTTAACAACTCGATGGGGATCTTTGGAATGCTGAAGAATAATTGTAATGGGGCCAACAACCTCCAATGGATAGCCAACAATTTCCTGGAGACGCGAAGGATTCCAAAGTCTGTTGCCCGAAATAGTGGCAAGCGAAAATAGACATTCATCTCTAATTTAAAAAGCTACTTTATCAATATATGGTCCTACCTCGATTTTCTAGTGTTGATAGCAATGATTGCATCATCGTATCACTATTAGTAGTGACTGGCTGGAAGCCATCGGGGATTGGCACAACGCATGGCCTTTACGACGCATGGCCCCCATTACTTTTTTCAGCTAAGGGAACTCCTTTTTCATAACATCAGGAGTATTGAAACCTTCTAGTCTAATGGATGGTGCAATGCAGCCTAGATCCTCCAGCTGCTACAGCTTCCTCCTTGTTTGGGGGAGATTCGACTTTATCGTCGTTGGTATTCGCATTGCCGCTCGCCGGAACTTCAACTCTGGACCTTTTGGCTGCATTCCCAATTTCAATACTGCTGGTATCAATAACAGAGGAGGATGCATTGTTGCGCTTCAAAAAGTACGAGTCTTCGTATCGGTGTTCGCCAGCAGCTGCCATTTCCTTCGCAAGGTTCGCCGAGGATGACCACTGAACATTCCATACCTGGCAGATGCCCTTGTAGTCGCTGCAATTGCAAGTCTTAGCGATTGTTTGGCCCTGTAAATGAACAAGAAAACGGTGAAAGGCATGAGATCAAAATGGGAACGACGAATTCGAATGGTGGAATGTCAGCACTTACACCTTTGTAGGCTTGCGGCAAATATGGCACGCGATCGGTTGGCGCTCGTCGGTTGTTCATCATTTCACAGATGACGTACTTTGCATTCTTGTAATGAATTTCATATCGCATCGCTTGCCGTATGTACTCCTGAATCACATTGGTCTTGTCCACCAATGGTGACTTCCTTGGCAAAAATGTTGATGTGTTGTACAAGGCTGGCCGACCCAACAAGAAGCCATCTATTTTGGTCTCTTCCATAAATTGGTTTCGCTCCTCTCGTTCATAAAAGTCCCCATTCACCAAGAATGGAAAGTCTGGGTACTTTGGTCGCAACAATCCCAAGACTTCTTTCAGGTTGCCCCAATCAGCATTGACTGTCGAGTCCGTTCCAGCCTTCCTCGCATGAATGGCCAGAGCATTAGCACCCGCATTGATCATGGCTTGACAAAAGTCCACAGTTTGTTGAATGGATGGTAAAAGCCGTATTTTGACAGAGACCGGCCGGGGTATCTCAGCTCGCAGTGTTTTGACAATTCGTGCCGCCCGATCTGGATCCTTCAGTAATGCTGATCCCATTCCTCCAGAGACGGAGAACTTTTTCGGGCACCCCATATTTATGTCAATAGCTGCTACATCTTTATACACATGCTTTGCGGCAGGCAGAGCGAGTTCTGGCTCTCCTGTTCCCAATTGACATACCAAATTATTTCGGTCGGTTTCCAGCTTTTTGTCAATTCTCAATATCAAACAAGGTCGATTGTTGTCGCGCTTCAATTTTCGTTGCGTCTTTTTCGACAATTTAGATTTATCTTTGACGTAGTCAATGGTGCCTAGACTCTCATTCTCAACCCGTTGTGTATCGGCAATTGACCGGTCCACCAATTCTTCCGTGTAGGTAAAGTCTGCTCCATAGTGCAAGGCCAATGTTCTTAGCGGTGTCGTGGAGGCGCGAACCATAGGAGCCAAGGATTCCCCTCTGTACAAAGCCTTTGCTTGTTCTTGCATGTCCATGGTGTTGTCTGAATCTCCTGTAACTTGCAAAATGGTGAGATTATGCTATTAATACTGTACAGTATGCAGGTTTTTGTTCTTCATTTTCTTGTTTTTCGTTTGGTTCTGATGATAATAATGTGTGGATTCATTCGACCGCGTACCATGCAAGACCACATACTTTCACTTCGACTTTTTATTTCTGGAGAGGGAGACTGTCTTATTATTACTGGCTACTAGCATATTTGTAATTTTGTACGAAGAATAACATCATGTATAGTTCCTAAGTTACAGTACGATTTCCTTGTTATGAAGAAGCTTCAGGGCCATGATAAAATAGGATGAGCCGTTGTCAATTCGATCGATTGTCAGTCATTCAACGAATCACCAAGAAGTTTGGTAACCCATCGAATAGAACGTCATTCTCGTCTGAATCAACATAACCAGCCACTTTATATGATCCCTTGATCTTTTCCATATATATCTTTATTGACCAATCATCTTGAGCACACCCTGGAAAATGTCGCCTCCCTTTTTACTGGCTGATTCTTCTGCAATTTGAATGACATTGTCAATGTCAGGGTGATCTCCTGGTAGACGATCACTCCAGCGGTAGACAATCTTGTTTCCTTTCACAACAAAGGTTCCACCCAGTCGAAGAACACCCTCCGGCACTTCACCAAACTTCATATCTTTGGGGATTGGAGAAACCTTACCAACAGACGTCATGTAGTTCCACCAACCCTTCAATCCAAGTTCAGGTGCCCCCATGTTGCTCATGGCTTCCTTGGCAACTTCTTTGTCTGTGTCATCAAACTTTCCAAATCCGGCAGCCTTGTAAGCCTTAAAACTGTAGTCATCGACCAAGACTTGGTCTCTTGGGATTTCTGGATTCTTTTCCAAGAATGTGGCAAGTTTTTCCTCATCTCCAATGGAAATAAAGATTGGACCGGAGATAGTATCGCCCATCTCCCGTTGCTGGACTTTCGATACAAAATCTGTACTGTAAGTCCAGCAATAAGGTCACCCTAGATGGCGAAGGAAGACAACAATGGAGGTTCCCTTTCCCATCTTTTCGTCAAGCCGAACCAACTCTCCATCCACGTTGGTCAAAACGGCGCTACGAAGGGATTGCGCGGTGACAGATTCTGGGATCGCATCGTTTCGGCCAGCACAAGGTGACGATTCGGCATCTGCTGTGGATGAAGCAGCTAGAGAAGCTTGTCCCGCAGATGGGCTTGCCAAAGCATTGCGTGCTCCTCCTGGTGGAACCGCCGCCGTTTGGAAAGCATCTCCAGTCGTCAGCAGAGATGAAAGCAAAGTTGCCAAGAAGGCTGTACTTCGAATCTTCATATTATCTTTTTGCGTAGGTACTGTAGATTTTTGTTTGCAAGGGTAAAAGCTCTAGAGTTACAACAACGACAACTGTCGGTTTTGTGATGGTGAGATGTATGATGAATGATGAGTATTTTTGTGAGTGAGTCAACATTTTGTTGGCGACACGTATGCGACACACGTCATAGCTCCAGTCGGAGGAATCGAATTTTTCCAGTCATTTTATTGCACATCACAAACCAAAAAAGTGTGGTTGTTACAACATACGGTACAGTATGCCCATGATGAAAGATTCGTCCCGAATGTCTTCTGCAGAATCTCCTCCTGACCGGTCACCTTCCAGTCGAGCAATCATTGTGCATCCACTTTTCAAGAAGCGACATCCAATCTATCAGTTCTTTGGCTCTGGGACAATGTTTGAAAAGTTCCACTACGTTCCCATTCCTGGTTTTCCAGTCCCTTTTGTGGTACAGCAAAATTTTGAATCGAGTAAAGAACACCTTGGATCGGTCCTTTGGCACGCAGGAACTTCTGCTGCGCGTTATATTGCCTCCTATCTGAACAACCTTGACAAACATGAAGCAGAAGAAGAAGAATCAAAACAGCAAACACAAGAGACAAACGAATGGAAACGACCACGACAACAACGTGTTCTAGAGCTTGGATGCGGAACTGCTGCTTTAGCTAGCCAATGCGCTGCATTATGTGGAGCCCAAACCTTCATGACGGATCTTCCTGAAGTATTGGAATGGGCCAAACAGAACGCCAAGACCAATCTTGCCAATCAGTTGGCATGGAAACAACGTCAAGATGGTCAAGCGACAAGCCAACCACCCCCTCTCGACACTTCTAGTCTATCACCTCGAAATATTGGTCCCAACTTGTCAGCAATGGTACTACGATGGGGCGAGACTTCGGATCTGGTGGAAATTCAGCGAGCCTTGCAAGAGGAGGAGGGCGACAACAACAACAACAACAACAACAATGGTGGCAACCCCTCTTCTTATTTTGATATAGTGGTAGCTGCTGAATGTCTTTATGCGACCAGTGACAATCCCGATTTACAGTCTAAACTGTTGGAAACCCTAAAGGGTCTCCTTTCCAATGGTCGCACTAAAGTTTTCTTCTCGTACCAGCTCCGAACCGGAGACGAGAAATTGTTTGTGGAGCAAGTCCTGCCATCAGTTTTCCCCAATTACATGGTGGAAGAAGTAAATCATCGAAATGATGATTCTGTCATGGACACTAATGTATATTCCATGCTGTGGTTTCGTCCAAAGGATTTGGATGAAAACTAGGGTTGCTTCTTTCCCTCTTGAAAGTTCAGAGCTGGTGTCCCTCTTACCAATTCTGATCAGTCCAGCAGATTGTGGCTCATTATTGGCTCTAGCGCTCACTGTTGTGCATCCCAACACGACATCAGTGTGATGGCCAATCTCGCTGTTTCGTCATCGTCTCTTAAAGCTTGACGCATGTTTGAGTGCTGGCCTCGCCTCTGCAAAGTCACGAGAAAATTGTGAAAAGATGGAAAAGAGTTCGTGGGGTCGTTTCGATCGCTCGCCCGCTCCGTTGATTCCAAAGTATATCAGAAGATTCTGAAATTTCTCAATGGTGGCATCGACCTTGATGTGAAGTTGCGAGAGCTGTGTGAGAGCATCGATTGTAAAGCGGCCGGTGGAAGTTGATTTAAGTGTTGCAAATTCTTCGTCTTCTGGTACTTGGATGCAATTTGGCGCCGCCACCGCCTTTGGAGTGCTGCTGCCATTCATTATTGCTATTGATGATTCTTCTTCTTTTTTGGCTTCGTACAGAGCCATCTGACGAAGATTCTCCACATGTGTCTCAACTTCTTTTATTTCGGACACGCACACGTCCCAATAGACCTTTTCCGCCTTAATGACTGTTTGAATGTCTTGAGCAAAATCCAACAATGATTCATCATTTCGTTCGACAATTGATACAATGTAGTTTAGAAAGGTCGTCTTCTTGTCAAATGCCTTGGTCTCTTTTAATTTGAGTAGCGAATCAAGGTCAAAGGCATTCGCCTTATCCTCAGGTCCTTGGGCAGCCGTATTGAGTTTATTTCCTAGTTCGAGAACAATTCCAAGCAATTTTTTCAATCTGTCGGAATTCCTTAATTCATCACAGGCCTTGTCCACCAAGTCGGCATCTAGTAGTGTAGTACAATATAAAACTTATGAGAGTCGAGATTCGTGTCATGACGGATGATGGATTCTTCTTCTTTCTTCTTACCTTGTACAATTGAATCTATGGAATACTGAAAATCCAACTTGAAATGCATGGAATCCAACTTTTCCTTGCGATATTTCACCGTCATCATGGATACCATGAACTTTTCGCATTCGCATAGACTATTGAAACGAACGACCAAGTCATCTTCTTGTTCAACATTTAACATGTATTCGGTCAGTCGTTCCTGTTCCTCGTTGCTAGGCAGGTACTCGATCATGTTTTCGATTTGTCCAGCCGTCAATGTGGAAATGTCCATTTGTTCCACTGTCTGTGACATTTGATCAAAAGTCATTTTGATACGAGCCAGACTAATTCCCCCATTGTTGGCTCGTTTGGCATCAATGACACGAACTGCCGATCCCATCTTTTTCTTCTTCATGTTGCCGCCAATGGATTCGTGTCGTTGCTGGGCTGCTGCTGCTGCTGCTTGTTTAGTCGATTCCTCTGTTACCACTTGAGCCTGAAACAATTCTGTAAACTCCTCTTCATCAATATCAATACTCTTGATGGTTTCATCATCACTCAAGTCTCCCCAGATAGACTCGGTAAAGAAATTGGAAATTTTGTTCCATCGGAATCGAGCTCGTCTAGGTTCCGAGTTTCGTTTGCGTCGACGTGGTTGTCGTTTGGGCATGGAAATATCACTAGTTTCATTCTTGTTGCCACTGTTGGCTGGCTTGTTATGATCCTGATCCATTACATCTGGATTGATTCCATCCCGTTGCATGGCATGCTTCACATGAGCCAATGGCATTCCAACCTTGAGCATTCGAAAGTACTTTTCAAAGCGAGGGTCCTTCTTGAGAGGAAGATTCTGATTCAGATCAGTAGAAGCATTCTTGTTTGCACCATTTTTTCTAGTAGGAGTTGCCGGTGTTGTTAGCGATGCTCCTAATTCAGCAATTTTTGGATGAAAGACAGCTGACGGAGGAGGCTTCCGTCTTGCACCCAGTAAGTTGCTGAGTGCATTTCTCGCATTGGCTCGTTGCTGTTTGGTATTCTCCATGGTTGCCGTGTCCTCCTTATGTTTGTTATGATTCTGTTCCCCGATTGTCTTTGGAATCCCAGCTGGGACATTTTTCTCTCCTAACAAGTTGTTCAGCATGAATGAATGCTTGTCCCCCTTGTATGCGATATCATTCGCCTAGCTTGTCCTTTGTCGTTCCTGGCAACTAACTTCTTGTGAACTCTTGAACATCCGCGTGATGATGATGAGGAAGTTGACCGTTTGAAACTGAAATAGTCTGACCGCCGCGCAGTTGAATCTAATTCGAGTTAGTCGTCTGGTGGGAGTACAGTAATGCGTACCTGCGATCTGCGATGGTACCAGGTACGAACCACCTCCGCAGTGGAAATGTAATGTAATGTATGTAAAACTGTACACTGTATCACCTTCTTCCCGACCTTTATTTGCTTTATTATCATCGTTATTATGGAAGAACTATTCATCCTCTCTGCTCATCAACAACTTTCACAGATCGTGTGCAAGAACTTTACTACATTTGGAATCACAACATCAGATCCACATATATAACGGAACTCTTCTCGATCCATAAACTGTCGCTCGGGACCATCATTGATGCATTCATGATCTATTTTTCCTTTCCACAAGGCCATCTCCACGATGCACGTGATTTCCAGTTTTTGGTACAAAGCAAAATCCGAATACAGTTCTGTATACAAGGTTGCCCTTTGTTCCTTGTCATGCGCAACAATCATAGCTTGCACCTTATTGTGCATGGTTTCCATCCAGGATGTAGCACCCCAATGGGCAAGTCGATCAACCATCCAGCTTTGCAGTGCTGTTTGGAGCAAAGGCGCACTAGTTTCAGTAGTCCAGTTGGTAAGCAAGTAATCCAGTGGTCGTTTGTCATTGGCATCTTTCCAGCCGAGAAGGTGGCATGGAAACTTGTCTAGAAGGACTCTGAGCAGATCTTGGCTGGGCCAGATGGTCGATAATAGGACGTGGAAGGGAGTCATTTCGAATCCATCCTTGAGCGATTCTTCGTTTTCTTCAATGCACTGTTGAAGCTCTTGGGCAGTGGTCGAGGGATAGTAACAAAGCTTATGCACTGGATGATTGTCAAAGCGGGATATCAAAGCGGCAACAATGTCATCTTCTCCCCCACCAAAGCGATCTTGTAACATCGCACATCCATCAAACGAGTATTCGTCTGCGGCACACGACCTTTGCGGAAGCACAAGATTTGCAAGAGCGCTGCAGCGACAGAAAGATCCTGGCCCAATCCATACTGGCTTTGAATCCAGGGTCAATAGCACTGTAACCAAACAAATGCAATTGTTGAATGCACCTGTACAAATATGCTCCAATGAGTGTGGTAGGCTCACAGTTTGCAGCGAGCCACAATCCTCGAAGCAAAACATTGGAATCTCTTTGACGGACGATGTGGATAGGTTTGCTTCTACCAAGGCCTTGCAGCCGTTAAAGGCATGACTGCCAATCATGTTTACAGACGAGGGAATCTTGACTCTTTGTAGTAAAAGGCAAAAACAGAACGCTGCCTCTGCAAGTGTCTCTAGCCGGTTCGGCGAAGACAATGACGATTCAAACTCTACTTTCGTCAGATCTTTGCAAAATCCAAATGCACAATTCCCAATGGATTCGACAGTGCTGCAAATCTTGATTTCCAAAATTTTGCAGCCTCCAAACGTCCAAGCACCAATCTTGATTAATCCTTGGGGCAGAGTTACTTCGTGCAAACACAGACACTGTTGGCACAAGGCATTCGGCAAAACCTGAATGTCTGGATTGAAAGTCAGTTCTCCAACCTCATTTGGTACCGTTTCTCCTTCATTGCCTTGGAACGGTAAACATGATTATCTACCTCCATCATATCTTGTGGTGCTTGGTTCGAAGTTGCGTTTTCAACATCGAAAGCGATGACATGGAATATGGAGCAAAAGATGCGTGCGATGACAATGAGATGCAGAAACGAGAAACGAGAAAGTTCCGTGTCTGTGATCTGTTCTGCGTTCTTTGTTGTTGCACCTGAAAGTCTGTCAGGCCTCCGTACTATGATATTTTTAAGAATCACGTCTGACCGCCGCACAGTTGACCACGTCCTCATTTTCTGAAGCCCAAAACCGCTTCAGTCGTAATATAAATAAAAACGATCACAATCAATCAATCAGTCCAGTTATCATTGTCACCATGCCGGAAGAAGAAAAGAAGGACTCCATTGTCAATGGTGAAGAAGAAGAAGACGAGGACGAAGTGAACGGCGAAGGAAATGCCGATGCAGGAGGAGCCAAAAAGAAAAAGAAGAAAAAGAAAAAGAAGAAAAAGGGTGGAGGTAATGCAGTTCCACTAGCTGAAAAGAAGGAACCCTCGGAGAAACCTCCTCATCGTGGACTACTTCCCACAGCCTTTACTGATGCTCACGTCAAATATGGTCAAACCAATCCTCCCACCATTCCTGTGGCAGACGTCTTTCGTGGATTCGAGTTCCCCAAGGGAGAAATTCAGAACTATGCCTTGGAATCTCAATCTTACCGCGAAACATCAGCCGAATGTCGGGCCCGTGATCGATTGAACGAAGATGTCTACAAAAAGTGCCGCGAGGGAGCTGAGATTCACCGTCAAGTCCGAAACTTTGCCCAATCGTTGGCCAAGCCTGGAATCAAGTTGATTGACATGTGTACCCAATTGGAGAACAAGAATCGTGAACTCTGCCGTGAAGCTGGATTGGAACGAGGAATTGCCTTTCCAACTGGCTGTAGTTTGAATCATGTCGCAGCTCACTACACTCCCAATAATGGTGATGATACCGTCCTTGGCTTTGATGATGTCATGAAGGTGGATTTCGGAGTCCAGATTGATGGACGAATCATTGACAGTGCTTGGACCTGTAGTTTCAATCCTCGCTACGACCCTCTCTTGGAGTCTGTGAAGGAAGCTACCAACACTGGTGTTGCCACTGCTGGTATCGATGTTAGATTGTGTGACATTGGAGAAGCCATCCAAGAAGTCATGGAATCTTACGAGGTTGAATTGGATGGAACTACTTATCCTGTCAAGTGCATTCGGAACTTGAATGGTCACTCGATTGATCAATACCAAATTCATGCTGGAAAATCTGTTCCCATTGTCAAGGGTGGATGCGAAGAGTCCTTGATCATGGAAGAAGGTGAAATCTATGCCATTGAGACCTTTGGATCGACTGGTCGTGGTTATGTGGTGGAAGACATGGAATGCAGTCACTACATGAAGCGTTTTGACTGCCCTCACGTTCCATTGCGTATGCAATCGTCGAAGCGCTTGTTGGCTCACATCAACAAGACCTTTGGTACCTTGGCATTCTGCCGTCGATGGTTGGAACGTGATGACGGTGGTTCGGCTACTGTGAATGGACAAGAAGGAAAGCAAGAGAAATACATGGGAGCATTGAAGAATTTGTGTGATGTTGTAAGTATTTGTCCTGTTTTGGACAAATTGGCTTTCTATGTTTCAATCTGCAGTGTTCTTATTGACTTTTTGCTTTGACATTGCTGTCGTCTTGCTCGAACGAACACACAGGGTATCATCACTCCATACCCTCCACTTTGTGATACCAAGGGATGCTACACGGCACAGTATGAACACACTATCATGATGAGACCAACATGCAAGGAAGTGGTTAGTCGCGGTGACGATTACTAAATCTCTAAATGAAGGAATATGTGAATGCATGATGCAGTGACAGAGTGGCTAAAATACATACATAGGTTATTTTATTCTCCACTACTCATTCATTTTCGATATTATTTCCGAGAGCTGCTAAAGGAAGTTGAGCGGAGTAGGAATAGATTTATTATTCCTCCTTAGGCGGCGATGGAAAAGCAAAAAGGGAACCCTTCACGACGAATCATCCAAGCTGAAACAAGACATTCAGCATCCAAGTAGTTGGAGCAGCTGATAGATCAATAGAATCTACCCCAACCATATAAACTTCTCTTGCGAGTGTGTGTAATGTCACTCTCAAAGAATGGATGGATGAATGAATCGAATCATAAATAATTGTACTCTCCTGACATACCGGCACTTGACAGCATAAAACTCAGATCTTGCCAGTTTGAATACATCTCCACAGCCCAGCAACTCCCATGGTAGCTAGCGGTAGTCCAACCGTGAGAAGAAACACATTCTCGACTGTCTTGGAGCTGGACTCCTTCATTCCTGCATCTTTCAGGTAGAAGACGCTTGAAACCGAGCCCGTGGTCGCTCGTTTCTGGATCACTTTGGCAGCAGTCGATGTTGCCAATCTCATGGTCGTGAACTAAGGTATATGCTATGACTTCTTTTGGTCTTTTGGGCGAGAGTGCGGAAGCTTTGCAGTGCTTACTATTACAGTACTCGCAACACAGAGATGATGAGAATGATGATGATGAGCTGGTTCTTCCACGATATGACAGACCGACAGACCACGCAGTATTTTCGAATTCAAAACGAGTGACGAGTGACGAGTGACGAGTGACGAATGCGGTGATATTTTTCCAGCTTTCTCAGCATCGCATCCCATGGTGTACTACTGTACTGGTAGGTAAAAGCATAAAACATCATACGCCCACCTTCCGTCTACCGATAAGAAATGCTCGCTTTTTGAATATCATGAATGACATGATTGATGAGCCAATAACAGTAAGGATTCCGCCTCCATCATCAGCTTCCAACAATAACAACAAACCAATTCTCGTCATTTGCGATCTCCAACCAGATCTTTTGGGAAGTTTTGATGCCTCCAACAAGCAAGATTTTTTAAAGGCTTTATCCGTCGTCGTGGAAGCAGCTCGGAAACACAAATGGAACATATTCTATTCCACCTTGCAATTCTCCTCATCCTACCAACGCGTCCCTCAAAACCACAAATTGTATGGCGCCTTTCGGAAATTGAACCAAAAGTTGGGCGACAAGGCGGTTCACTGGTTCTTGGAAGGGTGGGAAGGCAGCCAAGTACTGAAAGAACCTGAAATGATTGCTCCCCGACCTCAAATTGATACTGTGGTGACTCGAGAACAGCATTTGCCCCACGAACTTATACGATCCATTCTGAATAGCCGTCATCCGCCAGCAACAGAGGAGGAAAGCAACAATATCATTGCTCCAATTCCACTGCAGAACAACACCCAAAAGGTCTACCTCACTGGCGCCAAAGCCAGTGGATCGGTTCAAATCACTGCTCAGATGCTAATGGATCAAGGCTGCTTTGATTTGGTGTGCATTGACGAAGCGATTCAAGATGACAATGATCAGAAAAAGCAAGCGGTCCTTCAGCATATTCTACCAATCTATGCGGACTCTATTGCAACCCTGCAAGAGTTTGTAGAGGAAATGGGTGGATTGGAAACCTTTTCCAAGGAATCCCAACAAGCCTTTGTGGAGCATTATACTAATACTTCCAACAAGAATCGACGGATCCAACAACGAGAACAGTCGATGCCGACTGCAACTCCATTACCTGCAGCTGCTCCAACAAAAGCTTCTGAAACCAAATCTGATACTACCAGCAATTCATCTTCTCCCACGACGTTCCTGATATGCGATTGTGGACGAATGGGACACGGTTCCAAGTACACGGAACTCTTATTGCAACGCACAGAACAAAGCAAGAACACTAACATTGTGTGGCAAACCTATCCCACTCAAATTTGGTACGAAGATATGATGCATGGGAAAGAATATTATTGTCCAGTTGGCAAACAGGTAGTCGACTTTTGTGATGAACCAGAGTTTAGCAACCTTGTCAGTATGTATCTTTTGGGGAGGGAATGGTTGGACGAAAAGGACAAGTTCTTGGACATTGCCAATTATAGTGGTGGTGGTGGTGGTGGCGATTACAATGTTGTCAGCAATTTTGGGCAACAACAACGACACCAACAGAATCAGCAATACATGCCCAAGACGTATTGCTTTGAAAAAGGAAAATGGAGGCACGGACTTGCCCCCGAGGATGATAATAATGATGAAAATGATAATGGTCCATGGTTCGTTAAGGAAGCCAACAAGAACTTGGGAGGGGCTGCCATTAATATTGTGACCAAAACATCCGAAATCGCCGACCATCTTTTATTTCCCAACGATCGACGGTATGTGGTCCAAGCGCACATCCGAGATCCTCTCTTGACAGATGACGGAAAAAAGACACACATCAAGTTTTATGTGCTATTGGTGTGTGAAGACGATGGTATCACTTGGACGCTCTATACCTACAAGGCTTCTCTTTTATCCATTTCTCCCAATCCATGGAGCGCCACCGATTTGTCCCATGACACGCAGGTGACGATTCACCGGCATCCCGAACCTCCAGGGGAAACCGCAGGTTGGAAACAACATTGGGATAAGGTATACCAAAAGTGTAAAGAAGGAACAGCCCATATCATTCAACGAGCCATTGCAATGGGGAGACTAAAGGGGAGGAAACGAGTGAATAAGAGTATCATTATTGGTGGGAATCAGACAGAGGGATATGATGATTCTTCCAAGTGTACCAGTGGTACCTTGTTTCAAAAGCAGTTTGAAGTCTTCAGCGTGGATTGGATGCCAGATATTCATGGCAATGTGTGGGTGCTAGAGTGCAATATGTCCCCTGCTGTTGCACAACCGGAATTTGAAGATCCATCTCATCGAGATGCGCGAAGAGATTATCTGATGAGGCATGACGAAGCCATGCTGAAGGAGGCCTTGGAGATTGTCTTGCCTAGTTCGAGTAGCCAGCCATCAGACTACGGACAGTGGGATTTTGCGGGTACGTTCTGCTCGGATGAAGAACGATGAGAATCCAAGACCCGCTTGCGTTACCATAGAAGAAAGTACAAGTATCCTGATTCAAAACCTCTTATTGAAACTTAAATTCTCCAAAAGACAATCAACTTTCATCCGTGACTCAGTGTTAAGTCACATACACCTCAGGTGCCGCAGTTATTCTATTTCTCAAATCAAGACTGCATGTTGTCGAGATTGTATTGTACGGCTTCAAAAGTCTGTTTCACAAATTCGTTGTGTTTCATCAAAAGAGGCAAACGAGGATACCGATTCAAATCTTTTCGCCAGCTACTTTCGGAAAGCTCGTCTAGTTCATTGACCAAGTAGTCTACATGCTTTTGCAGTGCAGCTAGTGTCTTGGAAAAATATTGTTCGTGATATTGCCGCTTCATCGCTTCGTTCTCAGTCATGTGAGCCTGATAAAAATCTTGTTGTTCTTGGGGATTCTATGTAGCACAAAAATCAAGAAGACATGTTATGAAGATTCTGTTGGACGAGCTCAAACGTGTTTTTCACAAACTCATTGTGTCTCAAGATGAGGTCCAGTCTTGGATACCGCCATGGATCTAGCCCCTGATCCATTTGGGTTTCTAAGCCCATCCCCAACTCTTCCAACTCGTTCAAGAGGAAGTCAACATGATTCCGCAGTGCAGAAAGCGTCTGAGGAAAATATAGCTCGTGGTATTTTCGCTTCAACGCTTCATCATTATTCATGTGAGCATTGTAGAAAAGCTGCTGATCGTCGGGACTCACCTGGGCAAGTTCTTGAAACAGAAGTACGTCCCACACCTCTTGGGATATGCTACCATCGTTATAGAAGAGCATTCGTGATTCATCGTAACCCATATTGATATGCTCCTGTGAAGGATTCTTGATGGTAAATTTACAAAACGTGGCCGGAGATGACTCATCAAGAAATCCGTATCTGGCCAATAAATTGGATGGATTTGTCGGATCTCCATAACATATTCTCAGCGGTTGCCCAGCAGGCACATCACGTGTTGAATAGGCGTAACAATTGCCGTTGTCGTCATACGATATGGAAACGTCTTCACTGCCATGGTGATTGAAAAAGTCGGCCAAAGGAACGATACACATATCTCCACCTGGCATGGTGAAATATCGGGTGTGAACAACCGAAAACGCCCATGTTGTCAACTCCTGATTGCTTTTACTTTCAGAGCTAAGGAATGGAACCTCCCTGAGTGCCTCGACAAAATGACGCAAACTTCGTTTTTCCGTCAGTGAAACTTCAGCGGCATATGGCGGTAGACAGCCGTAGCAAAAGTCAGTCATAGATGCACCATTCGAAAAAAACCTAGGCAACGAGTTCAACCATGGAAGATACACACTTTCCTCCCCAAGCTCGTATTCCTTCAGGACTTTCAGGAAGAGATAGAACTGTGATATCCGGTTTGATGCTTCAGAGTTCATTAGCATTTGTTCGGCTCCATAGGACATTTCTCCCATTTCCAGTCTTGCCTTGCTTCCCGTCAGGATGAGTTCGTTTGGTATATAAAGAACAGGACTGTTTTCTGGTAGATCCTGATTGGTAATTGCATATACATCAGCGTCATTGTCACTATCAAGCTGAAAGCAATCTGCCGCCTGGACACCCCAGTTGCTTGCCCATTCGCCCAGTGATGATACATCCCTCGGGGCGGTAATATCTACTACATTGCCGACAGCATTATTCTGCTTGGTGCTTGATGATGCTCTTGTCGCCAATCGTAGGCCAGTCGATGATATTGATGCCGGTAAATGAGAATGCAATGCCGACGCGAATGAGATCAAAGGTAGAATATAAAGAAATGAGCCCGGAAGCGATGTCATTTAGAAACGACTTTAAATGAGGTGATGAAGTAGAAAATGCTAACGTTGTCAAGTGGACAAGGATATTGACACCAATTTTATGCAACGACCAACGACGTCTGATTGAAAATATGAAACGCGTCATCAAAAAAGGTATTCCCCTTTTATTAGTATTCCCCCTTTCCTTCAAATGCTGAATTAATGATCATTATCATTGCACTGTCGGATCCAAAAACGATGAGCAACGGTTCAGATGCCAAGATAGAAGATGATGGAATCAACCTATTGAAGCAAGTATTGGCCGAAAATCCACCCGAGGAAAGGGGCGAACGGGAGGAATGGGCACAACACGTCGGGTGGCATCGGAAAGAGGATGTCTTCAAAAAGCCATCACTTCGGGGTGCTCCATCCATCAATGCAGACGCCAATGCTTCGAGCGCTGGACAAGAAAGTAAGAGTGAAATGAATCTAGCAAAGTCAGACCAATTATTCTGGAACGGAAGGCACGCGCTGATAAGGACTGGATGTGTATTGGTTTCCTTCACATGTCTATCGGTGTTGTGTCGACGACTTCTTCGTTTGTCATGTTCTAGTAGTAGGAGGAGCAAAACCCGGTGACAGTAGAAGCGCTATTTTAAAAATAGTCTACACGTATTCTAAAAGAACACAGAACGGTGTCATCAAAGGCAGACCCAGATGTCTTCTTTGAGAGAACGGAAATGAACCTATACCCATAAAAATGGATTTGTCACAGTATAACTGTCAATAATCTCTGGGTTGCATTGACCTCATTCTTTGCCACCGTTTTCACATTCACATCGTTTCTCTTTATGCCTCAATCGTATCATCACTTGCCTCGAAGCCGAAGCGTTCGAAAGGCTGCGCTTACCTTCATGCGTGCCGAATCGCTATCGACTTCCAACCAATAATCACCCCCATCATCTGCCTGTTTTAGAAACATCCCTGATGAACCCCGTACCATATCCAAAACCTCTTGCGCCACCACAACTTTCTTTCCCTTTTCGGCTGTTTCATACGACTGTTGCCTATCTGCCACAATCTGACGCATTCGCATATTACCCTCAAAGGTTTGCACAGAGGATCCCTTGCCAAACAGAACATCGTGACTACAAGGCACAAATATACGTGCCCGACGAGGGTAAAACATCCTTTCCTGTCTTCGCATCTCTTGAAGGTATTCTCTATATGAATCTGCATTTGTTATGGCCCCTTGTTCTGATAGTGGCACTAGGTCAGGGTGTACGCCATGCCCTTGAAGACTTGACATGCATTCTTGGTGAGAACCTAAAGTGAAAGAAAGCGAAGTGAGAAAAATCCGAAACCCAGAAACATTGGGAACAGCTATGACCTACCAAAGTGCGTTCGAATCCGGATCCTGGTCATCAAGTTGAAGGAAGACTTGATCAAAGCAAGTAGTGGAGCAAGCCATTTGTTGTCGTGACACATGTGAAATGCTGCAACACGAATGGGAAGAGCAGCTGCCAATCTCGGCACAGCCCATGCCTGATCGTATGGAAATGGTGTTCCTGCTTCCCTCTTCAAAAGGTAGAGGAGATTGACTATACCTTGATGTTGAACGCTTTTATTGGTTCGTAGTAGTAGCATGTTTGCGTAAAATTCTCTCCGTAGCTGAAAGAAGGAACATCGTGAATAAGCTTTACCCAGATCAGGCGAAATCACTCTCTCCAAGAGCACTTACTAATGCTGTCACGCTATAGCTCTCATGATGCTTGGATGAGAACCAAATGGCTACGATCCTGTTGTTCTTATCAGGCGTTCTTAGATATTGAGCATATCCCATGTATAGACAATCCATTGCCTCTTTGTCCAAATCATCTTGCGTGATCTCTTGGGTAAGTTTCTCAACTCCAAATAAGTCTCGCTTTGCTTCAAAATGATGGATGCATCGAAGGGCTGCATTGTAGGCATTAAAGAGGTCTGAACGAAGAAACATCAGGCGGAAGTCTGGGTCCCGAACGTAGTCTGGATTCATAGATTCAGCGATGTCATAAGCTTCTCGTCGATGCTGACTCCGAAGATGACTGTTCATTTCCACGAGCTTTGATGACACAAATTCAGGAGTCTCCTCAATGATGGGAGAGATCCCGTGGATGTCCAAAAAAGCTTGTTCCCTGTCTTGAACTGTCATGTTTGACATTTGCTGGGCAATCATTGAGTCGACATGATCGATATCCGTCGCTTCCTTTGGAATATTGCCGGGAAAGACATCCGTTGATGCTCCAGGTTCTTTCGATGCAACGCTGCTTGATTGAAACATGGGCCTTGGTGCCATATCGTCAAATGGATTTTCTACTGTCAGGATCGTTGAATAATTGTGCTGTCCATCAAAACATTGAAAAATCGTTGTTGTTTTCTCGCGGAGAAATGTTTTTACAGACGAAAAAAAGACCGAGACAGTTCGAAGAATCAAAGAAAGCCCGAAATTATATGTGTATGGTGCCTTGAAATACATCGTACGAGTGTACTGCATTTCCTGCAGGTTTTTCGTGGAGCCTTTTATTCGTTAAAACTTCCACATCTGTGTTGAAACATGATTTTGAAGTTGAAGTGATCACAAAACTTTGGCACTGGTGCAGTTGGCCAAACAGATGGGAAAAATAGTAACTAGAATCCTTTCGATGGTCGCATGTGGTGGTACGGGGAGAGAAGGAATACTTTGCGATCTTCTCATAACTTCCTAGTCGCTACACAACCTATGATGAGTACCTTCTGCAATTTTCTTCCCTTAACTTGTCTCAGTTTCCTTTGTTACTGCCCGATTCCGGAGGTTACTTCATTCATGTCTTGACAATGCTTCAGGTACCTTTTCCTTTTTCTCAAAAGGGTCGAAATAGGCCAGGGGTGCCTTTTCAAAATCGCGCATGCTGCTAGTTAACATGTCCATTGTTCACCCCCTACCCTGGAACGTCACCGTCCTAGTGTATGCATATGGAATCACCATTTTTATCACTTGCTCCGAATCCGTAAGGTGCGAAATGCAGCACTCACTTTCTTGCGAGCCGACTCATTATCAACTGCTACCCAGTATTCTCCCCCGTCGTCTGCCTGCTTCAGGAACATACCAGACGACTCATGTACCATATCAACAACCTCTTGAGCCACATCGACCTTCCTTCCCTTTTCGGCTTTTTCATATGCCTTTTGTCTATCCGTCACAATTCGACGCATTCGCTTGTTGCCTTCGTATGTTTGTACAGATGATCCTTTTCCAAAAAGTACATCGTAGCTGCAGGGAACGTAAATCTGTTGTCGCCGGGGAAATTGTATCCTTTCCTGTCTTCGTACCCCTCGAAGGTATTCTCTATAGGAATCCTTGTTGGTAACGATTCCCCCTTCTTCAAGAGGCAATATCTCAGGCGGTACACCATGTCCCTGCATGCTTGCCATACATTCATTGTGTGAACCTAACGATGAGCGAGGAGGATACCAAAGTGAGAAATGTCAGAGCTATCCAAGATCTTGCATGCTACAGGAAAAGCGAGAACCTACCGTAGTGGGTCCGAATCCGGATCCTGGTGATCAGATTGAAAGAATATTTGATGAAAGCAATCAATGGTGCTAGCCATTTGTTATCATGTGCCATATGAAATGCTACAAGACGCATAGGCATAGCATTAGCCAATCTCGGAAGCTCCAAACCAGTGTCGTATGGAAACGGATTTCCCGAATCTCTGCCCAGCAGGTAAAGGAAAGCGACTACACCGTCTTTTTGAGCGTGTTTGTTTGTACGTAAAAGGTGCATATTCTGGTAAAACTGGCGGCGGAGCTGAAGCACGAAACATCCAAACATGTGAGGTCAATGAGATCTGTCATATTCAACATGCAACCAAAGCGCTTTACTTTGTTTGCACTTACCAAAGCAGTTACGCTGTATTTTTCATGATCCTCTGATGATACCCAGAGACTAATGATTCTGTTACTCCTATCAGGTGTTGTTAACTGCTGAGAATGTCCCATGTAAAGGCAATCCATGGACTCTTGGTCTAAATCATCTTGTGTGATCTCTTGAGTAAGTTTATCAACTCCAAACAAGTCTCGCTTTACTTCAAAGTGACGGATTAACCGAAGGGCGGCATTATAGGCATTAAAGACATCTGAACGAAGAAACATCAGGCGGAATTCTGGGTCCCGAACGTAATCTGGATTCATAGATTCAGCCATGTCATACGCTTCTCGACGATGCTGCTTCTGAATCTGACTCTCCATCTCCTCAAGCTTGGACGATACGAGTTCCGGAGTCTCCTCAATGATTGGCGAGACTCCGTGGACGTCCATAAACGCTTGTTCGCGGTCTTGAACTGTCATGCTTGACATTTGCTGGGCAATCATTGAGTCGACATGATCGATATCCGTCGCTTCCTTTGGAATATTGGCGGGAAGGACATCCACTGCTGCTCCAGAGTCTTTTATTTCCGCATAACTTGACTGAAACATAGGCGTTGGCTCCACAATGCCAAATGGGTTTTCAACAGTCATCTTTGGTTTACTGTTTTGAGATGGACACAATCATCAACAACAATAATCATGTGCATGTGGCACCGGTATTTAAAAAACTGTAGATGTTGAAGTTAGAAAGTGATCAAAAAAGGGTCTCGTTCCATCAAATTTCAGCCAATGAGAGTTAGTCGATAACTGTTGTCTATTGGGTCATTTCCGAAATAGAGGTGATAGATATACCGATAGCCAATCACAGCTGAGTGTCTCACAACCGACATAATGAACACGGCCCTACTGACAGCGTGCCTTTCTCTCATTGAAAAAACACGTGGACATCTTGGTAAAGAGAAAAATTGAATTACCGCGACACAAGTGGGTGAATTCAATCTCAGTCGATAAACTGGGCATCATTGCCTGGGCGCATCGACAACAACTTTTGACGGTCGAAGGCCGTTCGGCCTTTGTCCGTCTGTAACACAATGTAGTCAAAGAAATCGAACAGTGTGCCTGCGGTCTACGTTGGACTATCACAACTCAAAAATCAGCAGCCAAAATTCTATTTTCTTTCTTATTATTAATAATACTACTAGCATATTATTCCATTGGTATCTTACTTCATGTCTTGCCAACGCTTTACACTACTGTTAGTGCCTTTTCCTCTTTCTTAAATTGTCTAAATTGAAAATGGGCCAGGGGTGCCTTTTCAAAATCGCGCATGCTGCTGCTAATAGTTCACATGTCTACTGTTCACCCCCTACCCTGGAACGTCACCGTGCATATGGAATCACCATTTTTATCACTTGCTCCGAATCCGTAAGGTGCGAAATGCAGCGCTCACCTTGGTGCGAGCCGACTCATTATCAACCGCTACCCAGTATTCTCCCCCGTCGTCTGCCTGCTTCAGGAACATACCAGACGACTCATGTACCATATCAACAACCTCTTGAGCCACATCGACCTTCCTTCCCTTTTCGGCTTTTTCATATGCCTTTTGTCTATCCGTCACAATTCGACGCATTCGCTTGTTGCCTTCGTATGTTTGTACAGATGATCCTTTTCCAAAAAGTACATCGTAGCTGCAGGGAACGTAAATCTGTTGTCGCCGGGGAAATTGTATCCTTTCCTGTCTTCGTACCCCTCGAAGGTATTCTCTATAGGAATCCTTGTTGGTAACGATTCCCCCTTCTTCAAGAGGCAATATCTCAGGCGGTACACCATGTCCCTGCATGCTTGCCATACATTCATTGTGTGAACCTAACGATGAGCGAGGAGGATACCAAAGTGAGAAATGTCAGAGCTATCCAAGATCTTGCATGCTACAGGAAAAGCGAGAACCTACCGTAGTGGGTCCGAATCCGGATCCTGGTCACCAAACTGAAAGAATATTTGATGAAAGCAAGTAATGGCACTAGCCATTTGTTATCATGTGCCATATGAAACGCTGCAAGACGTATAGGCATAGCATTGGCCAATCTCGGAAGTTCCAAACCAGTGTCGAATGCATACGGGTTTCCGGATTCCCTGTCCAGCAGGTAAAGGAAAGCGACTACACCGTCTTTTTGAACGTGTTTGTTTGTACGTAAAAGGTGCATGTTCTGGTAAAACTGGCGGCGGAGCTGAAAGGGGTCAATTAGATATGTCCCATTCCACATGCAGGCTGTTCTTTATTTGCACTTACCAATGCAGTGACGCTGCATTTGTCATGATCCTCTGATGATACCCAGAGACTGATGATTCTGTTACTCCTATCAGGTGTTATCAAATGCTGAGCATGTCCCATGTAAAGACAATCCATTGACTCTTTGTCTAAATCGTCTTGCGTAATCTCTTGAGTAAGTTTATCAACTCCAAACAAGTCTCGTTTTGCTTCAAAGTGACGGATCAGCCGAAGAGCTGCATTATAGGCATTAAAGAGATCTGAACGAAGAAACATCAGGCGAAATTCTGGGTTCCGAACGTAATCTGGATTCATAGATTCAGCAATGTCATATGCTTCTCGACGATGCTGCTTCTGAATCTGACTCTCCATCTCCTCAAGCTTGGACGATACGAGTTCCGGAGTCTCCTCAATGATTGGCGAGATCCCGTGGACGTCCAAAAAAGCTTGTTCCCTGTCTTGAACTGTCATGCTTGACATTTGCTGGGCAATCATTGAGTCGACATGATCGATATCCGTCGCTTCCTTTGGAATGTTGCCAGGAAGGACATCCGCTGGGTCGTTTATTTCGACGGTACGTGGCTGAAACAAGGGCGTAGATGCCATTACGTTGAAGTGAATTTCCACCGTCATTTTGATTGTCAAAATGGAAAATTTATCTGCGAAATGAAAACGTTGTATTTTCGCACGCTTTTATATTACGTGGAAGAACCTAGCGGAGAAGCTTTGAGCGTTTTTATTTCTTTGAACTTTGTTCTGTTTTTTAATATATTATATATTATATATGGCAGATTGTTTTTATATTTTTTAGAAAATAAAAGTGTTGCAAGCAGGGTCAATAGTAATAGAAACGAATCTTTGAGCCATTTTTAATACCACGACTACAGCGATCCCAATTTTGGTGCTCCTCCAGTCACTCAACGACATGTACCAGGTTAGAGTAGCAGTACGTACAGGATATGCCAGTTGAACAACAATACCGTACCTGGTAGCGGAGCCAATCCATCGGACTTTTTGAGCGCAACCACGTGATCATTTTCATTTGGGGGCTCCTCGTCAACTCAATTAAATAGCAGGCGCCTACCTACCGGTACTCGTACCGTATGAGTAGGCAGCCCGTGTCAATTGGGCCTTTTGAAGAAGCACAAACGTCAACATTCTCAACTGATAATTCAACACCTGTCCTGCTCCTAATCGTAACATGTGCACAACTTGAGGGTGCTATGTCGTCATTGGATTCAGAACGGAAAGAGGCTTTGCCTTGCATCTCATACTTTCCACTGTACTGGACCGGTACACATGCAAAAGCAGGCCCATTTTCAATTTACAGGTGCGGTACAGTGCACGGTAGGCGGTAGGTATTTCGTCCCTTTTTTCTCACAGGTACTTGCAAAGCTTCTTTAGGAATGACGTACTGATATTGTTTACAAATCGATAGACAACACGCCCATCACCAAACTGAGACTATGCCGAGTCTACTATCATCTACATTACTTTATCTACTTTTAGTAGGTACCAGCTTCCATAATGCTGCCTCACTGCAACTAAAACAGCCGATTTCTCGCCGTTGCATGATGGCGGATGTTTCCAGTGCCGGTTGCTGTATTTTCTTGACGGCAGGCAACATGTTGTTGTTGGGCGAGATTGCCCAAGCCGCCGATCTCAGCTTTCAGACTTCCAAATCCACTGGATTGCAATATGCTGATGCAAGAGCTGGGACTGGGCAGCCGATGAAGGCGGGAAATATTGCCACTATTGATTACGTGCTTTCGACCACAGGGGCACGGTACGGGTCCAAGATTTACAGTACTGCCGACAAGGATACTCCCTACCGATGGACACTTGGTGATGGATCCACCATTGCGGGGATCGAAAAGGCAATATTGGGAGACGGAGACCTTCCAGCGATGCTACCAGGAGGTATCCGCCGAGTTGTCATTCCACAAAGCTTGGGATATGGAAAACTAGCGGAAAACTCAAAGGCCCTTTGTGTCCAAGATGGTCAACCAGGACCCATCCCGCCGCCCAATACAGCTTTTGAGGAGTATCAGCGATTCAAGAATATTTATTGCAATTCAGACAGACAGTATCAACCAGACATCGTGATGGATATAAAATTGTACGGTTCGAGAAGATGATGATGCTACACTGACTGAATACGACGAACAAAACTATTGCTTGAATAGTTTGTCATATGTCTCATCATGTTGTTAGATATGGACACTAGTGATATACTTATGTACTTGTAGACTTCAGGGAGGATGAGAAGCGGCAGGAGGGCAGGACGAGGAGCTTCTTGCTTGGCTGCCCTCTTGTGGCGAGGAATCCCTGCTATGCAATCGGCGTGGGTATTAATAACACCACCTCTAAATTAAGTCATTTTTCTGGTGCTCTCGAGATGTTGGATGAATTCAGACATACCGTACTGGTTAATTAAAAAAGTTATTAGGCCCATCGGGCATCCAATCGTTTCAATCACGGAGGAGTTGCTCGATTTCGCAAACAATTAACATATTCCGATTCAGTTTTTCAAGATATAGATATATCATACGGATTAAAAAAATCACTTATGTCACTTCGTCCCTATGCAGGAATTTATATTTCGCCACGCCTCTCGCGTGTATGACATATCCCAGCGACTGCGGCAAAAGTAATAACTTTCAGGCCAAACGCCTTTCATTTCAGTGCGCCACTGCGACTGCAATTGTCCATTGTCAGTGCGAGTGGCTATATCATCATCATCGTCAGCATCAGCATCAGCATCAGTATGACCGCTTACTCCGATGAAAGCTCCATGGACGATGACTCTCTTCACGAGTCTCGTCCATATAATAGAAAAGCATTAGAACGCAAACTATCGACCTTTGATGATCAATTTGGCGGCAGCAACGGAGAATCGTCTCAGGTGTTGACAGCGACGACAGGATCTTCGACGGTTCTGGGTAGTTCTGGTCTTAACGATTCTGATCATTCCAATGATTCGTTGTACTTTGATGTAGAAGCGGAGAAGAAAAAGAAGAAAAAACAGACCAAGAAGGTTGAACCTTCGTTCAATCAAAGTGGTGCATTGGAGATTTTGATGTCACCGCCAGCAAAGAAAAAAGCTTCAGCAGCAGCAGCAGCGATGGTGTTACCCAAGAGTATCGCAAAAGGCAAAAAAGAAACGAGTGGCAGCAGCATGTCTTCCAAAGTAGCGAGCACACTTGATAAGCTTGGCAGCGAGTCTAAGAAGAAAACGTCGAGGCATTCATTGAAAAGCAAATCAGGTGATAACGACAAGGCCACCGTCGATGAAATGTGGGACCTCTTAGGAAAAGGATCAGGCCATGGTGCCAATCATAACCGCAGCAAGAGCATTACAATGACAGACCTTACAGATTCATGCGGATTTATAGTTGAACCTGGGTCTCCTGGAGCATTATCTTCAAGTGCACATCGGAACAACAACTCGGCCGGTGAAATCGGTCGATCTTCTCGTCGAGGTGGACGACGAAATGGTAACGGTATGGGAAGCAGCTCTCACCAAAAGGGAGGTCCTACCGATGCAGAACTCACGGTGAGTCCTGCCGCTCGAAAGGGTGCTATTCGAAGACGTCGTGATCAGAACAACCAGCTGCGGTCCTCCTCTCACGGTCCTGGAGATCGACTGGGTTCTTCTTCCCACGGACCTGGTGATAGAGTTACTGCACAGAGTCCCGGTCCTGGGACTCCTCGCTCGCGTAACCGAAGCATGGGAAAGCTCGCTCAAGTACCTGCCATGGAGACTCAATCGGCTCATGTGTCTACTGACACTCCTGTCAAAAGACGGATGCGTCGCAGAGGAAGTGGGTCCATGGGTCCACCGGTCGATCTTCCATTCAGCAGTCCAGGATCTGGTTCCAAAGAAGCCGTTAATGCTGCTGATTTCCTATCTGTCAACAAGGGCGTAATGTCGCCTTCAGATGGCGGCAAACGTCCCATGAGAGGTCGTCGTCCAAGTCAACGAGGTGGTGATGATCTCAAGTCACCATCGGATCATAATCCACGACCGGTGCGCAACGGCTCCATCAAGTCTGCTGCTGGACGACCCCAGCGCAACGGCTCCACTGGGACACGACCGATGCGCAACGGCTCCATCCAGTCTGTTGGTGGCACTGGGGGAAGACGAAGGCGAAGCCGAGATCCCGCACTCGTGAATGCTGGGGTACCTCAAGCATAGGACGGGATTGAAGCAATCCTCCCACGATCTAAAGCTGGTTATTCCAAGACCGGAGCATCTGCCATCATCTAGTAACCATGAATGATATAGATGACGGCGGTGTCGTAAGAAGCAAAGTTGCTGCCCTGTGAAAGATGAGATGGGCCAATTTGCAGATAATTGTTAATATTGTGATAAATAGGCTAGGAATATATTGTATGGTTTGAATTATGTACCTGAACTACATACAGTAGATGGTTGCGGCTGAAGCTGATCGGGGAATCATCGATCTACTAGTTAGGTAGGAATTCAGAATGCTGGTGAAATGTTGGCAACCACTATTTTCTTGACTAAACTTTTATTTTATATCCACCGTATTTGGAGAACCAGTCATTTCACATTTCACATTGATCCAATCGCCTTTCCGCTAATGGATTCTGCGCAACCTATACCGCTACATAAAATGACTAGCGGCCCAATCTCGGCCATTATTTTAGCAGTCACAAGAAAAAACAGAAACTCTCAATCCTCGGCGGTCTGCAATCTTCACGCTTCTCCCATAGAAACAAATCAGTACCGCAAAAACATTCTCTGGATAGGTATACGACCGGTAATAGGTAGGCAAACTTATTGATCTGAATACTACTGGCTCCTCCCATAGCCAAAAGACTCACTTCCCAAGCAAGAAAAACAAGGATAAGACCATGGGGCTTCAGAGCAAGAAACTCTCTGGCGTTCACGCGGATAATGATGATTCCAATAACAATTATTATGAATACGACATGAGTGATGGTGAAGGCAGCGCAGGGTCACATGGTCTAAATGACTTGGATGACTCTCTCTACTTTGATCAAGCTGACGTTGAAGCTGCGAAGGAGAAGGCGCGTAAGAACGCAAGGGCACAGATTCGAGCACAAAAAAAGGAACCCAAACATGGGGGAGGACTGGAAGCCTTGTTTTCACAGCCTCCTCCCCCTCGAGTCAAGTCCATTGGAATACACGGGGAAGGAGGAGGCTTACCCGCACCTCGACATAAACCTGCTCCACCTTTGCGTACCAGAAGTGGTGGAATCATGAAACTGAATCGAAAGATATCCAGAACTGTGACAGATGCGGCCCGAACCGTGGTGGATGCTACATCTACAGTTGCCGAAGTAGCGACATCAGTTGCTAGAGGCCGAGAGGATGGTGCTAGTAGTGAGAGACCAACGAGAAGTAATAGTTTGGGTGCCTTGTCACGGAAATTTTCGTCTCGAGTAGATCGGGGACGGGAACGAAAAGCCAAACAGGAAGCAGATGGTGACAGCTTGGGAGGTGGTATGATGAATTTGAACTTGGGTGACGACAAAATTCGAACTTCGTCAATCGGTGCTTTATCTAAGAGAGCAAGGAGGAGCCGTTTCAAGTCAGTGGATGATGCGGAAGATTTGCTCAGTGAACACGGAGAGATGGAGCTGAACGAGAAATCGCCGCTCAACTCACCAACTCGGGAGAGACGTGCGGGGTCGGTTGGTCCCGTATCAACAAAGGCCAGAAGAGAAAGATGGAAGTCTGTTGATGACGCGGAAGACTTGTTGGACGCAGAAGGAGAATTTGAAATGAAGTTGGATGATTCACCAAAGACTACGCCAAAGCAGAAAAAGAAGAAACGATCCAATTCTGTAGGTGCTGTTGACACCAAGAGTAGAAGAGAACGTAAAAAATCGGTCGATTCAGAAGATCTGGAGTCAAGAAGCAAATCTAGGGAAGGTCGCAAAAAAGGGAAGACACGAAAGGCAAAGAAGAGGAGCGAGTCCAGAAGTTCAGACACCTCCGACGATGACAGCAGTGCAGAAAAGAGAAAGCCACGAAAGGGAAAGAAGAGGAGCGAGTCAAGAAGCTCCGACTCCTCCGACGATGAAAGTGTGGTACCATTAAGACGAAAGGCATCAAAGGATAACCTCCGCAAGAAGCCTAGTAAAACCAAGAAATCCAGTCGAAAACTTAGTGCTGACGACGACCCTTCAGAACAAGAGGCGAGAGAAATCCAAGCAGCAGGAGGTCTCGACTTGGGTGGAGGTCAAGTAAGAGGTGCTGGCCGTCGCATGGGACGCCGGTCATCATTAGGTGGACCTGTGGCACTGAAGCAACAGGAGGAGGTCGATGCTATCCTGAGGCGCACTCAGCAGGCGGATCAACAATGGGATGCATCCAAAACAGACAGTAGTGTCATTGAGCGTCGGGTGAGACGACGGGCATCCATGGGGGCAGACGAAGCTGTGATGGCTCTTGGTGCCAGACGTATGGCGGCCAGAAAGAAGTCAATGGATCCATGAGCTGAAATCCTTACCGCACCATGTCTACGCAGCGAGGATCACATGACAAATGAAAGGAGAATCAATCTGCACAACTACTAGGTAGTCAATCAATTCAATTGGTTGCTCCTTTGACGTCAAAGCGAATTAGAATCTATTTATAATAACAGTCGACGACAGTGTTCAAAACGCAAAAGTCGTGAGGGCTGCTTTCCCCTTCAACCAACAGCACCTTCCTGGAGGGTATCTTTCTCCTGTGTGACTGCTACGGATAGAAACTCAAAAACGGTACCAACAGGAGGTTGAACTGTGAGTCGAGTCGTTGCATTCCAATACCGGGTATTACTGTAGTTTCTTTGGCGTGCATTGCTTCCCTAAGTAGGTACTGCGATTTATGTGCCTCTGGCTATATGTACGCCACCAAACTATTGCTTTGAAATAAAGTTGGTGGCGAACCGTCCAATACCGCAGCCTTTTAGAGCAATATTCGACCACGAATCTCATGTTTTAAAACACACTATATGGCCTGCATACTCGTTGATGCCGTCCTCCGAATGAACGGCACCACTCGTCGACCATACCTAGTCTAGGACAGTTGCCAATCCGATATACCAATTGACCCCACAGTTAGGACAGTTAGATTAGTTATTGAATCACAAGATGCGTCGCCTGACATCGAAGAAAAGGTTTAGCTCACTGACCGGCAGAGTTACAGAAGATGACGAATTTTCTTTGGATGATGACGTCCTTGCCAGGCAACCGTCCTCTACAACGTCACTCTTTAACGACTATGGTTTCAGTGACGATGAAGAAGATGTAAAGGGTTCCTTCAAGATCCAAGACTCTCTTTACTTTGATGAAAGCAGAAGGGAAGACGTGAAAGAGAAAATCAAGACAAAGAAACAACCGAAGCAGCCTCGACCAAGCGGGGCTTTGGAGGATCTCCTTTCTCCCGCATTACCGGAACAGGCACAGAAGCAGAAAACAGGAAAACGATCTCCCAAAGCCAAAAAGAGCAAGATCAAGTCACGGAATTCGTCTGACCAGATAGACAAGAAAACAAGAAAAAAGTCTGTCTCTAAGAAGTCTCCATCCGTTGGATATCTGGACTCCAAGTCGATAGGAGGAGGTGACCCGCAGTTGGATTATCGGAATCAAAGCTGGAATCAGTCCACCAGCTCTTTCATCGAGGTCAACGAAAGCGACTATGAAACAGACACAGACGACGACTTGGAATTTGGTGGTTCTGACAGCAAAAAGCAAACGAGCCACAACTCTTTGGTGGAGAGGGCTTTGTCCAAGGAACGATCTTCCTTAAGACGAAGCTTGTCGAAGAAGAGGGTGATGGACGCCTTGTCTGTGTCCAACCACAGGAAGGAAAGAGAAGAGGTCTCTGACAACGGTCAGCGATCTCTTAAACGAAGCCTTTCAGCGAAGAGGATGATTGATGCCCTGGCCCTTTCTAGTCACAAAAAAGACAACGCAGAAGCGGCGCAAATGAGAACTCGGAGAGCTATGACCAAAAAGGATTTTTTGGAGGGATCTTCGCCATCCGACTTTAAACCCAAACGGTCCTCTTCGCTCAAGAGTTCATCCTCACGACACAGGGGCCTGGACACATCCAACCATTCTACCAGATCATCATCTAAGCCCAGACTACCCAGAAACAAAAGTTTTGACGAGGATGCAAAGTGTCTACGATCGCCTTCAAGTAGCCGAAAAAAGAAGATTGGCTTGGACTATTCCAACCATTCAGAGAGATCTTCGTCAGTGACTAGAAAAAAGAATAAAGACTTGGACCGCTCCAGTCACTCGTCGACCCCGAAACGATCATCGTCTGTCAAGAGAAAGAAGAAGGATCAACTGAACCAATCCACCCATTTGCCGGAACGCGGGCGACGCAGTGCTTCAAAGACTAGAGTAACTGAGGACTCTGGGTTCTTATCTCCAGGATCAACGAAACAGAAAGGACGGCGGGTACCAATCAAGAAGCAATCATCTAATGTGGACGATGAGACGACAAGACGGAAACTGAACGATATGAGTTTGTCCACTTCCGAGCATGGGCGACCAAGACGTTCCTCAAGAGTTGGGAAGGATAGTGATGAGAACGAGAAGTTGATGAGAAAAATGAAACGACGGAATTCGAGTTCTGGATAAGGTTCATGAAGAATAATGAAACGCGTTATAAATTTTGAAATGTGCAGTACTGTACCTCAGAGTGTAGACAAACTAAAAGTAGGACAGGTATCAGTACCGAAGACGGCATATATACCGGTACAGTTTCATACGGCTTGAAATTCCTGTTCCTGGTGTGATCTGATCAGACATTTTGAGATTTGAGCAAACCTGTTTTTGTATATATATTTAAAATATATATCGGTGTATTGCATTGTTAGCTTTTTTACCAATCAAACTACTTAACGTTTCAAGCTGAAGGCGATGACCCGTTAATTGTTACAGAGAAAATGACCTCACTTTGAATCCAATTTCACGATGAGAATACTGAAACGATGATGATACCGTACTTGTACTGGTATCGATACCGATACCGGTATTACCGGTAGATACGAATGGTCAAAATACTTACAAAAGACTGTGCGTCGTATTTTGTTCCTATCAATATTCAGATCGGCACCACTCATTCACCACACACTTCTAAAAAGACAGCTATCTATTCACAAGATGCGTCGCTTGGTACAGACGAAGCAAAGTCTCGGTCTATTGACCGGCAGACTTACAGAAGATGATGACGTTTCTTTCGATGGTGTTTCTTCCAATCAACTGTCCACATCGTTCGCCAATGATTATGATTTCAGTGAAAATGATGAAGACGAAAAAAGTATGGGAGACTCACTTTATTTCGATGAAAGTAGAAGAGAAGAAGCGAAAATGAAGCCAGCGAACCAACTGACGCAGCCTCCATCAAGCGGTGCTTTGGAGGGACTCGTTTTCTCCACTCAAAAACCAAATCAAGAGCAGAAAACAGCAAAAGTGGATGGCGTACCTACCGATAAGGAAGAACCGAAAATGAAGACAGGGAAACTGCAGAAGCACCTTCGATCAAACGGTACCATTTTGAAGGAACTCGTCTTTCCAACTATGCCAAAACAGGCGCAGAAGCAGAGAACAACAAAAGTTGATGGCGCATCTATCGATAAAGAAAAAGAGAAGATGAAGATGACTGAGAAACCAGTGCAGCCTCCACTAAGCAATCATTTGAAAGAACTCCTTTTTCCCAGTGGGTCAAAACATGTACAAAAGCCAGAGGAGAAACAACTGAAACAGTCTCAATCAAGCGACACTTTGAAGGGTTGGGGTCTGAAGGAGCCTCATCTTTCTCATACTCGACCAAAACAAGGACAGACACAGAAAACAGCAATATTTGATGACGGACCCGTAGCTAAGGAAGGGAAAATCAAGACTGAGAAACAACCGAAGCCGCTTCGATCAAACAGTTCTCTAGAGGAACTCGATTCTTCCAATCTGCCAAAACAAGCACATCAGATAGAGAAGCAACTGAAGCAGTCTCGATCAAGCGGTACTGTGGAGGAACCTCATTCGTCCACTCTACCAAAGCAGGCTCAGGGGGCAGAGAAACAACTTAAACAGGTTTGGCGAATTGGTCATTTGGAGGAGCCAGTTTCTCCCACTCGAACAACACAGGGACTGCAGAAACAAGGGAATCAGCCTCGATCAAGCGGGGATTTGAAGGACACTCATTCCCCGACGACTCGACCGAGATGTGCACCTAAGACAGAGAAAGAAGGGAAGCAGCCTCGGCAAAGCGGTGATGTGAAGGAACCTCTTTCCCCGAGTCGACCAACGCATGGACAGAAGAAGAAAACACTAATAATTGATGACTGGCCAGATAAAGAAGAAGAGAAAGAGAAGAAAGAGAAACAGCTGAAGCAGCCTCCATTCAGCGGTGATTTGAAGGGGCCTCTTTCTCAGACTCGACCAAAACAGGCACAGGAGACAGATAAACAACCGAAGCAGGTTCTGTCTAAAAGTGAATGGAATGAGTCTTCGTACCCGACTCGACCGAAACATTCACAGAAGATTGAGAAATATCAGAAGAAGCCTCGATCAAGCGGCGATTTGCGGAAACCTCTCCCCCCCACCCAACCAAAACCAATAGAGAAGGAAGGAGAGAAAAAGAAGACAGAGAAAAAAATGAAGCAGTCTCGATCAAGCATTACTTTCGAAGAACTGTACTCTCTATCAGACAAGGAACTGAAGAAAAAGACAGCGAAAATGTCCTCTAAATCTCAAGTGAACAAGTCACTCAGCTCTTCCGACCATGTGAGCAAGAAATCAAGTAACAAGGCTGCCTCTACTCACGCACTGTTCGGTGGCTGTCGAGACCTCAAATCATTAGAAGGAAGTGATCATCGAAATCAAAATTGGAATATTTCTAGCAATGGCGAAGACTTGAAACTTGTTTCTGGTGGCAAAGAGGAATCGTTACGCCACGATGCTTTGGTAGAGAAGGCTTTGAAACGAAGCTTGGCCAAGAAGAGGGCTTTGGAAGCTTTGTCTCTTTCCCATCACAGGATAGGAAGAGAAGAAGTTGCAGTCAAAGGCCAGCGAAGTCTTTCTGGCAAGAGGTATATTGACGCTCTGTCCCTTGCTAGTCACACCAAAGACAGAACAGAATTAATGGCAAGAAATCGGAGAACCACGACCAAAAAGAGCTCTTTAGACGGGTCTTCGACATCCGACCATAGACGCAAACGGTCCTCTTCAGTCAAGAGACCATCCAAAAGCACTCAATGTGACGAAAAGAGTCACAGAGCGGCTTCTGGTTTGGGCCATTCGGGCCATTCAGAGAGATCCTCTTCAGTGACTAGAAAAAAGAAAGATTTGAACCGCTCCAGTCACTCCACTACCGCTAAACGATCATCGTCTGCCATGAAAAAGAAGAAGATCCAAGGGGACCGATCCAATCATGTGTCGGAATACGGGCAAAGAAGTTTTTCCAAGTGTAGATTGCCTGAAGCGCACAGGTCTTTATCTCCAGGATCCGCGAAACAACATGGAGGACAGGTACCGCTGAAGATGCCACTCAATGCTGGAGATGAGATGATAAGTCGAAAGCTGAGCAATATGAGTTTGCATTATTCCGAGCACGGGAGTTCCGAGAGGTCCCCAAGAGTTGGGAAAGATGGTGACAAAGATAACAATGTGAAACGAAAGATGCATCGACGAAATTCAAGTTCTGCATGCCTGTGATGAATCTATCAAGACTTCTTGTATTTGAAATGCGTCTTACACCTTGGACTATAGAAAACTCTAAGATAAATACAAATAGATTGAACTACAGCTGCCTGCTTTCTTTTCTCGCAAGGAAGTTCGACGTTTTAGTTGTGTCCTGTCTTATATTGACTGGCTTTGGATGGA